TGGTCCCGCCATTGGAATTGAAGAAAATGTCGCGATGACGGGTGAGTTGGGATATGTAAAAATGCGTCGCTCAGATCTATAGATGTCAAGTAATCGTTTCGATTTATTAAGTGGCAGACGTGTCTCGGACGCTCTCTGTATCCCTCCTAGATTATCATTAGGGTGTCGGGGTCGTCAGTAACAGTCTACCAATTGCTTGTATCGTGTGTGATAGCTCCCGGCTCTAGGGAGCGATCGCTCCCTCTGCTGCTGCTCCTGCCTCGCTGTTGGCTGTATGCCCTTCGTCTGTTGTTGCCCCTGTAAAAAGAAAGCTGGTGACCGCCAGTATCATTATGGTGTGTATAGTTCGGGTCCCGATGGCGCCGGTCCCATTGTGGCGTACTAATGCTGACTCCAGTATAAAGAGGTGATACCAACAGTAAGACAGCACGTTTTCATACCTTGAGAAGTGACGCAAGGAGACAATTCGTTGGCAGGGAAACTGTGAGGGAGCCATGTAGAGCACATCATTCTTTACACTTGGATAAACGATGGCGAACAATAGAATGGGCGACCGCCACTCAGTGCTACTAGTAAAGAAGACCGAGGGTGGGTGAGTAGAGAATACAATTGAGTTAGAGGTCCTCAGAGTGATTACACAAGAAACTAATTGCTGAGCATGTACGGCATCTACTTGTGGCAGAATGGAGACACACAACTCCGTCCCTACTCTTGCTGGGCAATACGTATGAAATATTTTCTGTTCAGAATGGGCAACGTCGATCAAAGTATTTCTGGGGAATAAAAGGACAAGTAGCAAATTTGGCTCTACCCAGTGCTTTATTATTCCTTTTATTCACGTGGATCAGCATTCGGTTGCGTCACTTTCTGGTTCTTGGAGTACGCTCGAAAAAGCCCCCGAGCTCCTCAGGGATATTGTGCATGAAGTCAGAGAGGGTCAGAAAGTTTGACTGGAGGATATTGACGGGCCTCAGCTTCGGAGAGCTAAAAAAACAGTGCTGGACGTCGGTTCTCGAGGATCTCTATCCGTGCTGTTGAAGCCTTGAAGATGAGAAGTTCGTTGATGGACTCATTTGTAAATTTGGGATACTTGAAGATAAAGGATGGGTTTTTTACGTAAAAATACGCAACTGCTTGATACGTCGTATTTACATACAATATGTCGAATAGCATCTTCACAGTATCTTTAACCCCGGATTCCCAACATCACCACTTCAACATTAACCTGTTAGGCCTTTCGAATTCTAGTCCTGTCATTTTTTGCCTCCAATTCGTCCCGAAAAAATCTCAGAGTGTATTTTACATCCACATCCAATTTGAGAAAGACTATCTGCTCGAGCTGACGTGGAAGCAAAGAAGGAGTCTGACCAAAAGGTATGATGAGTGTGAGAGGGGTGTCACTTCTTCAGACGGCAAACCGAGTAGCCTTTGGTCTGAGTGTCTGTTTGCCACGAGGGATCAGATACAAATCTCGTCTACTGAAGAAGAGAGCCGAGCTTGAGGGTCTCATGACGGCGATGTCAAGTAGAGTTTCTGGTTATCGAAGCAAGGTCTATTTTTTATTAGCGGAGTGTTTGGTTCAGGGCTGGCTGTACTATTCCCATTAGAGAGGCACTCTTATCGACACCAGAGCCATGAACCTGTTGTTCCAGGATATTTACAAAATATGGGTAGCTAACGAGGCGCTCTACATGACAATCAAGGCAGATCGCCCTCATTGAGCCAACCTTGGCCAGCCAACTTCAATAAATTATGGAAATTGGCGTACTACAAGACGACTGGAGAAGCAACCTCCTTCAATTGGAACGATATCAAGGACAAAGTGGGGCGAATCATGGACCAGCAAGACGAATACTCTTCACGGCATCTATAACTGCAACGAGACAGGGATATATCTAAAGCGGAGTCAGGTTGGACTCCCGACGTTGTCGTCTTCTGACGTGAGTCTCAGTGCTCTTTTGCAAGAATGGTATGAGCACTGACAAGCGTAAGTCCTTATCCTGAGTAAGTTACTATGCGCCCGCTTTATCCACTCAAAGATAATATTAGTCAAAGCAGGATGCTTTTTTTTTTTTTTCCTTCGTCCATCGCGCTGTGAAGTACCTGCGAGGACTTGATTCACAATTATTGACACTGAACCGGCACAGCGTTCCCCCTACGGCTGGTGAGGATGGGATTGAGCCCACATTACTCTTCTGCTCTTCAAAATACACATTCAAGGTAAGTTATGTTGCTTTACATGCCGATCATCCAATTTTTTAAACCTCTGCACTTGTCTCAACGCCCGCCCGTACTTCATGCTTCTAAAATTCACCATGGCGAAAAAAAAAAAAAAAAAAAAAAAATTCTTCAGCAGCACGTTCGACCAAAGTAAAAGGCACTTCATCAACGGACGGGCCTGGCACTACCGACTATACACGCTTGCGACAAAGCCATTTCCATTAAATGAGGTTCAGCATTACCCACATACTCGCAAGTCTGCTATTTGCAAGAAATTGAACCTGAAATACAACGCCGCCGCCAATGTACTTTACAGTCAAAACAAAGTCCTCCATGAAAAGGGAAAAATGCTCTCCAAGGCTGTCAAGGCAAAAGCGCGGTTCTTTAGGCGACTTTTGGGGGCATTGGAGAAAGTCGTCCATGAATATATTTGAAGCCAAATAAGCCTAGGTATACTAATCATCCGCTTCCTGGACAAATTTCCGGGTAGTTTCTATTGCTAATCATTCACCTTTTACGACGACGGAAGGCTTCTCAGTCACAGAAAGCCGCATCAAAGGAACAACTATCAAGATAATGTGTGAATTGACGAGAACCACCACCATGATTATTCGGCGGTCAGTCTACCATTCGTAAATGGATGGCTTCGTAGCTCCATGAGGTAAAGACGTCTCAAGCAATACACTGGCTCCTGTGAGAGAGTTGATGTCGATGCGAACAAGCTTCAGGCATGCCTTGAAGAGACTCGGCAAGCACACACAGCGTTTAGTATGGATGATTTCTATAACTACGATGAAACTGGCTTATACCTCAAAACTATGTCTAAAAAGACTATTATGGCTGATCCGATTCGTGCGTCGATTCCTTTTTGCAGCAATGCGACAGGCGCAGGCAAACCGATACCAACCATCCTCAGTAAGTTTTTCATCAAGTGCTGCGTTGCTGCGTAAATTTTTACTATGGTAGATGCTGGGAAACTAAATGATTTTACCTCGAATGTTTATAGACATGCACTGCCTTAAATCATTAAATTGCTGTCTAAAAAATCGCCAGTACTACTGGACACTGGCTTCACAGACAAGGGGCTACACGGCTATCCCCTTTCATGGCTGGTTACTAGATCTGGATGAGAATATGTGGAACCAGGGGCACAACATCGCCATAGTCCTCGACATGGAGCTTAGTCATAAATAATGCGAAGTTATAAAGCTTACCGATATTACAATCAGTTTGCACCGAATGCCTCAGGTAGGCGCGCTACATGGGAGTTGACACTGAACTGCCCTCAGGCCAAAGGAAATAGCACCTTACTGTTTAAAATACTCTTCTATCGTCTAAAGATTAGAGGAAAGATTATTGATTAATGTTCGTTGTTAGACACAGCTGCAAGGTAGCGATATTCAGCATATTGTACATGGAAATATCCATTTATTGACCACATACCGAGGTGCATTCAGTAGGTAAGTACCGATAATGGGAGTGAAGGAGGAGTGCTGTTACGAGTGCTATTACAATTGAAAAAGATGACGATTGCCGTTGATTACGAGTGGGGAGAGGGTGAGCATGAAAAGCGAGGTGAGATAGCATGTATCTATACGAACTAGGGAAGAGGCAAACAGCCCAAGGAAATAAAATAATAAAAGTGCAAATGAATGACAGAACCGTTGTTACCGACTCATGGACATCCCAATATGTTTTGCACTATCTCCATCAAACCATGATATCCACTCGCTCTTCGCTGTGCGTTGTCAGTGATGAACCACTTATTTGTTATTACATCCAAATACCAGTACGCAACGCGTCGTTCGCTCAGACATGGCGAATGTTATTGTTGCAACCCGCAGGAAGATGTTCCAGCGCTTTATTTCCGTGTTAAAGTACATCTAGCGCATTTTATACATATAACTGAAGAAAAAAGACGCTTGAGAACTGAGGGCGGAAGCGACAGACGAACCAAATGTCCCATCAGGCGGCTATGCTATTAGTCAAGTGTCTGTTTGAAGCGGCAAACTGGGCACGTCGATCTCCAAGCTGCGTAGCAAGCTCCATGAAATCTATGTCCGCATCCAAGCGATCCTACGTCCTTCATGGGCTTCAAACAAATAACGCAGCTCTCGTCATCATCTAGGCACAATGTCTCAATAAGCAATCGTCGCCATATCGCCTGCTTGCTGTGAGGGAAAAGTTCGTAGCATGCCTCGGGCTTGACGATCCTCCATTCAGAGGTATACTGCTCCCCTGTGGCGTCCTTGATCCCATGGGTCCTATATTTGCAGTTCATGAACCCAGCGATGATAGGGACAACATTTTTGTTCCCCATTGTCTTGACAAAAATCGTCCATTCGCCCTTGTTTACAGCTCGATAGGTCACAATACTGCCAAAGACAGAGTATTCGGATAAAGGCAGTTGAGTGTTGGCTATAGGAATGCCGTTGATATAGAGGGCATGTTCCTGGATACTCTCCTCAATTTTACCAAGCATGTGAATGATGCGGCTTAGGATTAGATAAGCAGATTCCTGGAATCGAAAGGGTACTACAACGAACCTACCCGGGTCGGTAGCAATGAGAACCTTTAAAGTAGGGAAAGACATTGTGAATGATGTGATAGAGAACATTAAAGGAAGAAAAGACGAAAAAGATCAAATTCGCAGTGCTGTAAATAGTAGAAGCGGAAAATGAAGAACTATGGACAACGACAAAAAGCGGCAAAGGACAAATTGCAAGCGACGGTAGAAGATAAGAAATAAGAAAGCCTTTATAGCGGCACGGCTTTGTGATTTAGGAAGGCGTTTCGTAAGACATTGTTTCTTGACGATGCATGGGAGAGTAGCCGGGCGCGTATGAGTGCCATCTCAAGTAGTTGCAATCTGTGCATGGTAAGATTTTGATTTGAGCCTTCGCTGGCAAAATCAGATTCAGGATAAGATGAATACTGACACAATCGTGCTCCCGCGACCGCCCTGTCGTATCGTCGATAGGGTCCAAAATGGCCTTCCCATTCTCAGAAGAGGCCCAGGAGGGATTGTGCATTAATGCCTATAATGAGTAGTCAGAGTAGCGAGGCCAGTGTCCGCGTGCATGATTGAAACGAGATGACTCTTATTAAGATGACTTACCCGCTTCTTAAGTTCCAATGAAAACCTGTAGAGGTGGCCTCCTACCATATCGGACAGTGTTCTCGCACACTGGCTCATGAAGGAGCCTTCACAGACGTCTCTATCCTTCAGTCGGAATGGTGGTGCCTGGCGTTGCGAGGTGATCTGTAAATACTCCTGAAAAATCTTGTCGGACGCCATTAATGCAGGTGAACTAGCCTTCTTGAGATCGGAATCGTCACTGTCCCATCTGATTAACCGATTCAAAAGCCGCTGAAAAAATGAATCTCGTTTACCCTTCAATAGGATATTGTTGAAGTGTTCCATTCTTTTGTCGCGATGCACTCGTCCTCGATCTCCGTCAATTGCTGGGAATGTTCCGAACGTTCATGCTATGTAGAGATTGGTCACCAAAAGGCCCTCGCGTAGCAAATCAGTATGGACTCTTGCCATCGTCTGCATGGTCTCGAGGAGATGGTCCAATAAGAGGCTACGGTCCTGGTCATTCATGCAAGGGAGCGACTCTTTGAGACTGTGAATAAGACACGACTCAATCCGGCCAGGCCTCATTGCGCGCATTGGATGCAAAGATGCAACAGCGTCGACCACCAGGTTTGTTGGGTTGATCTTGCGGGGAACAGCGTTCTCGTTCAGTGGTACATCGGCATCACGAGCCTCCCTGGAGCTCTTGGTATATGTAATCTTCTTGAATGCCCTTTTCTTGGGACGTTCTGCATCGATAGGCTGGTCCTCAGCTTGTTGATCCCCCTCGTAATCGCTTCCGTTACCAGAATTGTCGTCAGAGTTGTCGTCAGAGTTGTTGTCAGAGTTGTCTTCAGACTCATTTCCGTTCATTGTATTCTCTTCAGCTGAGACAGCAAGAGGAGCAAGGAGGTTCACCACTGCGGCATCATTCGAGATATCTGCATTGTCTGGGAATGTATCATGATCGTCGTCGTCGTCGTGATCTATGAGCACACTAGCCGTGGATCCGGGCCGACCGATGGTCCGATCTTTCACGCTTACAGGCTGCGTGTTTTTGTCCTGACTTGTGAAGGCTGACGTGAAAGCCCTCGGACGGTATTTGTGGCCAGTGGTGTATCTTTGAAATCTGTTTTCCGCAGACGAAGGAGAGAGAGAGAGAGAGAGAGAGAGAGCAGCTAATCAGACATATGCCCTATTTTCAGTACGTACATAGCTTGATTGCACACATTTTAACTCAAATAAACTTACCCATTGGCATGGTTTCTGACTGCAATGCTATCAACGTTTCTTGTCACTGTTCCTGCAGAGAAAGCCATGCGAGCTACCAGTGGAGGCACATGAGGTGCCGTGGTCGACCTTGATTGTAGCTGTGGGAGCGCAAGCATCTCAACCACATTGTCGTTGCCTTCAGTCTCTGAGAGCTGGACAGGGATGGAGTTAATTGGCGTGAGAGTCAAGGGTCTTTGGCTTGGTCGGGACTTCTGTGACCAGTGGCTCCTACGGCTGTGTAATGGTACGAATTGGTGATCAGCCAGTACCTGAAGCAAGTTGGATCGACATAGATATCTACATTTCATTCTTACCAGAGAGTCAATGCCTCGACTCGATATATGATCCTTCTTATGGACTCATCAATCTCGTCATCTCCTTGAGTGTATTGGTCCAGGGGCGTCTCAACCAATTTCACAAAACTGTCCAATGGCTTCTTGACGTCGTCGTGATGAACATTTTTCCTTCTGCAGAGTTCTTTGACATATCCGTCTACCGAACGGTCCTTGCTTTTCTTGCGAAACCAGTCTTTTCTGATCGCAGCGATATCTTTGATAGCCGTGCTGAATGACGTCCGACCCACACTTGGGTCATAGTCATTAAGGCTGACGACAGCGGCAGCGACCCACTCTTCCGGTGGTTTGAGTCCGCAGTGACGAATAATATTCTCAATAGGGTAGCAGTAAAAGCGTATCCCTTTCGGATGTAAGCGGATGAGCCGTTCAGCGCCTACGAACATGAGATCACTGTCGGTTGAAACGACTACGAGACCTGGGTTCTCTCGTACCTTCCTGCCGACACAAACGTCAAATTGACCAGCACACACATGCGCGTTCCAACCGTGAGACTCTTGTAGTTCATTGACGATGGCCCTTGAGGCTCGGGGATCCACACCACGGGTTTTAATCCAGCAGGGAAACAGGACTTTGCTGAGAAACGATTTAAATCGAGAGACCTGGCTGTTGGATAAGTTGGATTTTGCCTCCATTAGCGACAGTCGTGCCTCGGCGATTCCGAGATACTCGGACAACTTGAGGATTTGTTTTTTTGTGGCCCGCTGCCGTCTCTCATGGGCAAAGGCTTTCTGGGTTGTCGGTGGACCATCATAGTGAATGAAATCTGACTTTTTGTAAAATCTGTCGTAAATCCTGTTCAGGACGTTGGCTACGAGGGGCCAAACAACATCGCGAGCGGAGTTCAGTTCGTGATATACATCCATCGGAGGATGTGAAGGAGGTGATAGTGCAGCAGAGGAAAGTGCTGGTGCCGAATAGCGCAGGCCCGATGACGATGATACCTGTTGAGTAGTCGTTGAGTTGATCGAAGAAGCATAGCAAGCGGAAGACGATTTCGGAGCCGTAGACAGATTCAGTGCAGACAGGTCCGATGCGAGACCCTTGGTCGTTACCGGGGACGGCAAAGACCATGATTCTTGATCCCAGTGGGCAAGGCGAAGGACAGGACCAGGGATTCCAATGGAGACATCTTCCTTAGCCATATTTTTCAGTTGCTTGAGCAGTAACCGTCCCTCTGTGGTCTTGAATTTCATGTAAGAAACGGCAAATCCATCAATATCGCATGGACCTTCTTTCTGTGGATCAACAAGCTTGATGGCTTTGCAATCTTTAGCGAGTTCGAAAGCCTGAGTTACACCCATCCTGGAGACAGATAAGTATCGTGATGAGGTAATGAGAACAAGTTTGAGTTAATACTTAGAATGGGGGTAGGAGGGAAACATGTCATTGTTCGCGGTGATCTAAAATTAAATAAAATTGCTGCCTCAATCTTACGTGCTTCCATTCAAGAACGCAAGTTTAATGAGGGAGATTCATCCACTCAAGGGCCTAGAAAGTAAGGACAAGAAAAGGCTAAGAACAACAGTAACCATTGTGCAATGCATTGGGATAAAAAGAGCAAAAGGACGTTACAGGTCGGAACAACGTCCGCGGCTCAAGCCCGGAGGTGTGGCTCTTTCTTGGATTAATCGGATAGAGGATAAGGCCAGAGAGAGAGAGAGAGAGTGAGAGAGAGAGAGAGAGAGAGAGAGAGAGAGAGAGAGAGAGAGTGTGTGTGTGTGTGTGTGTGTGTGGGTGAGGAAAAGATGAGAAGGAAGAACAAACGTTTAAATTTTAACGGCTAGGGGTTGCTCCATGCTAGGCTTTCCCGCCCCTTTTATGTCGTTGCAGCGGCCTATGCCGCACACAGCCACATATCTCTAATTGGACAATCCCTAATTGCACACGCCCTTATTTGCACATGCCCTTTATTTGCACGCCCTCTTCACCTGCACGACTGCTCCTTTTTACCACTGCACTATTTTTGTCCAGGCTGCGCCCAAACCCGGCTGGCTCCTGAACGCTCTCCATCTCATCTATACCCCGTTCGCGCTCTCCATCTACATTTACCCCTGAGTATTAGTCAGCGCGGCACCGACCCAGGCCCCGCTTCTAGTATAAAAACGCGATGCCTACCATGAAGAATAAAGCGGTTCCGAACACCCAGAGAAAGACATACTACCTTTTGCGACTTGACTGAAGTTTATTTCACTTGCCCCGTTTTCCCTCCTACCCTGACCTCTATCTACCTATCTAGCTACCTTACACCCCGCCCATCTACCTTACCCACCTTGCACTTATCTTGCCTACCCCATCCACCCCTTGCCTTCCCCTATAAGCCTACCCTATCTTGCCCCGACTCCGATTACCCGTAACATCGTTGACAAAAATTAAAATGATTGTGTATCCAAAGCCCGTCGCATCGAAGACCGCCTGTTGCACTTGGCGATGTTCTCTCGTGTGCCACTCTATGATCTTAGCCAGTGGGGGTAGCCATCGTCCTTGACTCGGTCTACCCTGTTTTGAATCATTCGTGTCACCAAACACCGACACCCTGTATTTATCTTGACTTCGTTGTTATGTAAATGGGCTTATGATTCGAGCATTTGATTTTCTGATATTCTACGGTGCGATTTGTACTGTTTCACTGCTCGCTCTGCAGCCTCCATTGGCAGTCCCTTCCTGTAAGTGTCCATATATCTAAATGCCTTCCAAGCATACCTTCGTATGGTTTCAATAGGCACCGAGTCCAGAGCCTCAGAGATGATTGACTGGAGACCTCGGAAGGAATAGTCGCAGTGCTTCCGGGTATAGCACTTGCTTGCTCCCCAGTACATCTCTATGAAGTTGAGCTCACAATGACATTTGGGATAGAAGACAATACGCTGTCCTTCCTCCCTTGCAATCTCCTCCAGTATCGAGCCCTGAGCAACAAAATCGGGCTGAAGTTCTAGAATTCGTTCTGCGCAACAGTCCACTCGATCAGGGTGTTTGTCGTCAGCCCTACATCTCGAGCATGTTCTAGGGAGTCCATCAACCCAGAGACCTCGGTCCTTGAGAACCTCTTTCATTCCCTTGGGTTTTCCTCTTAAAGCCTCGTTCGCGTAATTATCTGGAAAGACCATGGTGTAGTGAGTTCCATCTACAATGGTGTCCCGCATGACCGCTTGCTTTCCACCAGATGAAAGGTTCATCCTACTCATCACCAGTGCATCTTTGGCAACACAGTTGCGGTTTGATGAATTATCGAACGCCCAAAGTCCAATCAGATTCGAGTGGTTCCTCTTGTGTATAGTGATCGCTTTCTTGAACTACCGAGCCATGTCTTCAGCGGTCCAATAGCCATCATGAATTTTCCCTGGGTTGATGATCTCTCGAGCACGTATCACCTCGCCATTGTCATCGATCGTCTTCAAAGGTCCCTCAAGTTCGGAAAGAAACTCACTGACCATGATGGATCGACCATAACCTTTCTTGCGCAACGGATGTTGACCATCTGGATCCCAAAGCATAGAATTTCCTTCGTTCGAGTAGAAGATGCTCTCATCGTGAGTGTAAAACACTATCGCCTGTTCGCCTGCAGCCTAGAGCAAAGAGAAGTAATTTAGCGGTGCGAATTAAATACCCACGAGTTATCTCCTAATTGCAACAAGCACTTACCAGAGTGGGCTCGATGATCTTTATTTGATCTTGGCGTCTACGGCTATCATCCTCTTCTCGTACTCCTCCATTCGTACAAGAAATATCTCCCGACACTCTTTCACGTCAGCTCGCTCATGGCGATCGAAATATAGGCCCTTTTTTGCCTCTGAGTATATCCAGCCCAGCGCATGTAGCTACTGACCTGCTGTTGACTCGCTGATTGAGAATTTGATGCCATTTGCTGGGAGGAAGACGTTATTGATGTGCCGCCGGAGTATCGATGGCGTGATAGTGTATTTATGGTTCAACAATATCCAGGTTCTCAACTCGTTAAAGTTATCGCCTTCGGTTAGTTGATTCCTGGTTTTGGCATACTTCCTTTGATGCGACACAGTGATTTCCTCATTGTTCTCCCACTGAGTAGCCCATATCATGATCCTTCGTGAAAAGTGCACGCCTCTGCCAAAACCTTTCGCCGTAACCAGAGCTGCTTTAGTCTTGCTCACTCCTGGGACCAAGCGGCGTAGGTACTGCTGGAGTGCTTGCAAATTAAAGGCCTCGTCACTGAGGGGCGGATATTTCTTGTACTTGTTATCCAAGTAACCTTGAATTTCCAATACCATCCCTGCATCGCGGCGCACATCTACATTCCCGAAAGGTGATATTGCATATATGTTAGTATTAATAATTCATATTATAGGCACACAATATCCAGTTATCATACCTGAAAGTTCCACTTCCTGGATAACTCTCTTCCGGCGAGGAGCTGTCAGTGTTGGCACAGTGAACCCAAACGTAGAGAGGGGAGGGGTGCCTACTGCAGCCCTTTTGAGGACCATCTTTCGGTGGTGCAAGTTTTGTCGAGTGGTTCCATCGCAAGGCTTTGTCGTCTTCACTGAAGCAGCTGCCAATCGCATACTCGTAAGGAGTTCACCCCATTCCTCGTTATTCCCGAGAGTTCTTCTGACTGCCTGCCAATCCTCGTCATCAGTGTCGTCTTCAGCAGGTCCATCATTGTCCGATTCCGCGAGAACAGCATTCCATTCCTCAATATCGCGACTTGACTCCTGTATCTCATAGCCCGCTTTCACAGGCACATAAATGACGTTCTCCTCCTGCTGTTCTTGGTAGACTGGGTCAAGAATAGGCGGGAGTGGTTTGGGTTTTTGCGCTATTCTTCTTAAATGCTGCGTGAGTTTCTTCACTCGAGGTATTCCAAACTTAGAGGAAAGGAATGCTGACGACGATGGAGTGATGATGAGAATCACGGAAAGGGTCGGTTGAATGGAAAATACACATGGACGCTCCAACAATAGGACTAAACGTCAATTGTGACTGCTGCGACCCAATTATTTGACAAAATCCAAAAAAGTGTTGTCTTCAGATGAAGTGCATCATATGGTAGTAAATTACTCTTAAGGTTCAGAGCGGTAGAGGTAGCACAGCTGGGGGTAAGGGATAACACAGGACGCAAAGAATATGATACCGAACAAATGATTTGATGTCAGCCCTGTGCATTGGCCACTGTGCTTTTGTTCTGCTTTACAGTCTATTCAAAATGCGAACTTATTCGAAAGTAGTGCTCAATCGCTCTTTGCAAAGTGAGTGTTTATGTTATGGGCCGCAGTGAGACATACACCGCTGAGGCTTTCTCGCTACAAGCACACCGCATAGTATCTTGTCCGCATGGAGCGAATCCTAGCAGCAATATAGACTTTATGAAAGATGTGAACGAGTGTTTCTTTATTTTATATAAGATGCAAGGTTTTTACGAAAAAAGACACAATTTTTGTTTCTGCCCAAGATGTTGCTCAAGATAAAAAAATACGAGCGCTTCGCGTTTGCAATGTAGCTCTCGTTCACTTCTCAGTATACTCCAGGAGGAAGTTCTCTAGGGACTGAGAGCTGAGAGAGTGACTCCTGTGGAAAGATATCGTGGAAGCACTGAGTAATATGCTTCCAGGCTTCTCCCAGATAAAGCTGATCACAGGCGTGATAGCTTATACAGAAAGAATCAAGCCTGATGTTGTGGTCCATAAAAATGCGATGCCATGGTTTGATTCCTTTCGCGCCTTTATCTGTGGTATTGTGGTTATGAAGATGCATTCCAAACACCACATATATCCTTTGTTGTCGACTAACGCGTGTCTCAATGAAGGGGAGGGGTTTTTTTTTTTACCGAAGCTTTATTGTGCTCTGTTTGTAGATAATGCACGCTTCTCGCAAAAATTAATAACCTTCTGACTCTGCTGCCTAGAGAAAGGCTCTTAGCTCACTCTTCACATGTGCTCTAGTGTTGTCCACTTTAAGTAATAGAAGAATATCTTCGTGCGATTGCTTCTAGTCAAAAAGCAGCAAAATGAGTGTCTGGATGAGAGGGGGAGGGAGGAAGGGGGGTCTGTAAAGAATAGAGCACTTTGAGGTAAAAGCCTTTTCCTCATCGGCGTGCTGGCTCTTGCTCACTATATGATTTGAGAGCAACCTGATATCATGGATCTCCTCTTCTCTGTGGATCTAGTTTTTTGAGATATCGCCTTTGAGAACTACAAGGTATCAATTTAGACAATTTAGAGAGTACGCACGGACACAATGCACCACTTTGCTTTTTATTGCTCCTATCCAAAACACTATTTCGAGTGATGACTACGCCTGGCAGCATTTCATTCTGGAAATTTCAACTGAACCCTTTATCAATGCCTTCAAAAAAAAACAGCAGCCAGATGTTCCTGGTAGAAGGCGTATCTCGGAGCTGATATAGTATCATATCCAGAGATGAATTCTATGTAATTATATAGATGTCGTAGCAGCCCGAGTGAAAGCTTGCACGTTTCCCACTATTTAGTCAGTAAAGCCAGGACCCTCATCTGCTCTGGGGCCAGGCCACATGGATATTAGGGTTAGCGGGGTTTCTATAGAGTCCAGGTGTCATGGACTGTTAGTGCCGCTCGCCTTTTCAAGACCGCTGATGTTGGGAGTAGCGGCGTTCATCATAGACGTAAGGTAAGAAAGCTGGGTTTGATGATAAAATGAGCAGAGGAAGCAAACGCTTTATCTGAAATGAAGACAGTGTATTTATACTCTGAAAGCCTTCAAGCATTACATGTCATTGTCGTTCATGTCAAAAAAAAAAAAAGAATTGAAGCTATCAAAGCTGCGAAAATGGGTTTTTAGAAGCAATTAAAAAGCCATTTGCCGACTTCATAGCGCTTTTCATTGGTTTTTATTGAGATTAACGAGCTGGCTATTATTGAAACGCTACGTATTTGTCTCATGCGATATGTGCCTGTATTCGTTTTCAATTCTGTGCATGAGAATACTCTTGGTCCTGCAAGTATCCAGGGCCTCAAAGACCTGGAAGCTGCTCGCCGGGAAAGTTGGAGACGAAGACCTCGATGATATCCTCGTAGATATTTCCCCATGTGAAGTGATCCGGTGGGGTATTCCACTCATAGTGCGTGGAGACTAGAATACGCAACCCTCGAATATGGTCCTTGACAAAGGCGCTCAACCTCGAATGATGTTCTCGATACAAAAGAATAAGTCTGTTAACGCGTATTATCACAACTCTTTGTCGTTGCTGTTCTGGAGTGAGCTCCGAGACGACATCATTATCAAATGCGCCATTGGTATCGATTAAAGCGATATCACGGAGCTCATTTTGCTCATTGTTTTCGGTCTTTACAATTAGGACTGGCATGGTGGGCGTAGTTTCTTTTTCGTTGTGTAGTTATGTAGTTGTAGGGGGAGTGAAGAATAGAGGGAATGACAGAGAGCCATATAGCTTATATAAGACTTCGAAGTGAAAAGATATCAATGGTTGAATGTGGTAGCAGGCGGCCGTAAGAACTTTGCTGATTACAAGTGAGGTGTTGTGGAAGCCTTTCTAAACAAGACGTGTTCATAGCCTTTGGGCCAAATACTCGCGACTAATTCAGGGTTCGTTTGCAGGGAGATCCACGCATTATGCCGTCGTGTTCCAAGCTCCACTCTATTGTCGATCGATTCATGCCATTGCGGTTGTCCCTTGCTGATTTGCCAATCTCATTGCTTTACCGCTTTTACAAGAGATCCACAAGGGCGACGCATCGAAAAACACAACTGGGAAACAGTCGGCCAGCTGGTGGTGTAAGGGTACGCGCCTCATATTGATTTTCTCATCACTTCAGCATCAACTCATTCATATCCTTCATCATTAAAGGTCTCTTTTAACATAAATAGCAAACTCGCTAGATCCCGCGGACCCTCATCTTGATCGGCCAATAGGCTCTGCTGTGGAGTGTCATTGAAACATTATCTCTCTTATTCGTCTTCAAGATACAGGTATTTCCCTTCAAGGAGCTCTTGCTCAGCCTATCTGCCTCACGTTATTTTCGACAAATGCTCCTCCGCTCTTTTGGAATACCGCTGCTATACAGGTCGTCAATCGAATCCCCCTAGGACTCCTACAAAAGTATGTGTCGTATACATGGATCTTGAGCGACGAGACTTTGTACAGCCGTATTCTTCGGGATGAGTAACTATAGCACATGAGATTCATAAGACTGCAGTGGATTACGGCGCAGGGGAGTATTGAAGAAGATCTCAGATCTGCGAGCCCCCCATCTGAACACACCGGAACCCGCCACACCAGACGACACCATCTGAAATAGACTGAAGCACTTCGAAGACCATTGGCTAACAACCAATTCATTACACTATCGTGACGAACACAGCAATATATTCCTTGCGATCAATCGCCTCGGTATTCCAGGATACTTGCGACGAGAAATTGATATCCATCTCTCAAGATGTTGGGTATCGAGGGCGCTCTTGTTCGATTGATCGACTACTTTTCGCACAGCTGCCCCAATTTCGGATCTGAATATGTTTTTGGATACGGCGAGCTGGAAGAACCCTGGGCCTTTGAAAAATATGGCGATCAGAAACTGGGCCCTGATACTTTTTGAATATGAATCCGGAGGGATAAGAGGTATCGGTGGCGTACGCAACCGAGGAACAGTGGGCAGCCAGCATATGGTTGATGATGCAAAACAATATGTAGTGGGGGCTATGAAACTGAATGGACAGCATCGGTTCAGAGGGCGAGCAGTCGAGTTTTGAGGCCAAAATAATGATCGCATTTTTCCTTACCTGAACAACTCCCGACACGATCTTCTTTATCAGGCCAGACGATGGGGAAACGCTTGGAGACCTGGTCCACTAGACTGGACGAGCGCGAGGACTGAACAGTCCGCCATCAAAGTGACTAAAATACTGACATCGCTTCCATAGAGATATTATGCGACATAAGGGCTCATTTGCCCGATGTGTAAGTTCCATATGCAGTTGTTGAAGGAGACAGCAGAGTGAATGATACCAATGGTGCTTTCTTTGTTGCAACGAATATAAAGATGTTGCTGCCGGGCAATGTTTTTTGTACAATACATATTCAGCAACTTTTTATTAAGCTTTTCGGGCTGCTCTACAGCTCCATGGCTTCGCCCTCCGTAGTCGTTGACGAAGAACTAGTTTCAACAAGCATATTCGAAAGCAAATAAAGCAATCAGTTAGTAACGACTCTCACAGAAGAAATTCAAGGGTGAGCTGCGTCGGAACGAAAATAAACACCTACTCGGTACTACTCTCCGAGTTCTCTGCAAGAGTGCTCGTCCTGTTCTTCTTGTTCATCTTGCTTTTCCGCTTCTTTTCCCGCTTCTTCTCCTTCCTCCTCTCCCGTCGCTCTTCCTCCAAATCCATCGCCGAATCCTCTGAACCTATTCCATTACTCTTCGCGACCTTGTGTGCTACTCCATCCGTCCCTGACCCCTCGCCTTCAGAATCTGTGGTATCCGGATGGCTCTCTGAACCCGACTCTCCATTAGAGCTCTGTCCTACCTCTGTAGAATGATGATGATCGTCCTCATCCGTATCCGCTGTTCCTTCGGCATTCACGCTGCTGATCTGACGCTTTTTCTTATTCTTCTTCTTCTTCTTGGCCTTCGTTGCCGCCGGCGCAGCGCCATCCTTCGACGCAGGACTTGATCCGTTCAAGCTTTCATTACCCTCACTTGCAGTCGTCGTCATTGTCGCAACAACAGGGGTTTTCCCATCCGGGATGATCAGTTTGGGCTTCCCAGCAGCGCCGCCTTCGCCTTTGACCTGGTTGATTCCCAGCACGGCATTGATAACGCGCTGAGGCGGGATCAGTCTCCAGTCCACATTCGGCATCAAGTTTGCGAGCGCCTTTTGGACCTGAAGCTCATGATCCTGTTCTGCTTTCTTCTTGACCTCCTCTTCTGCAGCACGGTCGTACTTCATCGGCACTCCAAACCCAAGCGAGTTGCTGTCTATTTCCGTAAAGATAATCGTGAAAGAATAATAGCCAATTAGGCAAGAATTCGCGTTTGTGCCGATGCGCGTAAAAGATGACTGCATGTTTACATTGTGATCCAAGATCGATGCCGTCGTTGCCTCGAGCTGATACACCAGGGATCCCGATATGTCTCTTGGTGAGTGGCGCCTCATTAGGATGCTTTGACTGAAGCGGAGCAAATTGAAACCGCAAGTTCGGGTCCATATCACATAATGTGTCCCGTATTTGTTCTAGCGTCGCCGCTCGCAGTGTCTCCTGAAAGTTCTCCCACTCCTGGTTGACGCGAACCAAGTTCGTCCAGAATGTTGGTGAGATCGAGCCTGCCTCTGTACTGGCTGTCGCACTCTCAATTCCGCCCGCACTGGTCTTTTGCTCCAATTCCACAGACAGTCGAATGCAGTTGAGGATTAGAATGATGTATCCCCTCGACCCTGTAGGCTGCTCTGTTTTTTTGTAGTGCGCAATCAAACGGCTGACGAAATTGGTCTTAACAAACAGTCGGTCGTATACAGTCGCTTGCTCTGAGTACAGGACTACACGGAACAGTTTGTAAAACTGTACATGAAAGGCATTGTTGAAACTATGATGAGTATTGAAAGTCATCGAAAATCAATTTGTGAGATTTTTGGACACTTGCGTCTTGATATCAACGCTGTTTTCCTTGACCCACGTCGCTCACCGAAAGCGGAAAAAGCTATCGACCAAAAGAGTCCAGAACGCCTCTGGAATAGACTCCAAGAGGATAGGGTCATCCTTGACGTCCTCCAGACAATGGTATATTGAGTCCAGAAGCCACAGGCGAGCAACGGTGAATGAGCAAGGAACTGTGTACCCGGGCAGCATAACCCTAATAAAAAGAGTGGATGGCACAAGAGGTAACTAGAGGTCAGTATGTTGACAACGATCAGAGTCACAGCATAGACGCTCAGATAGTTGCTCCATCAGCGTACTGTTCGCCACTAGATTCCGATCCGGTGAAAGCGCGGCATAGGTCGGGTATGTGAGGTGCGAGGTGCTTTCCGAACTCAATGGAGATCCGCTCTAGATGAGATTCGACTCTGTCAAAGGACCGCTCTCTGATATAAATACTATTGAGGAACATGTCCTGGAAAGGTACTTGTATACTAAAATTGTATAGTTCAACCGTCAGAAAGGGTATATTGACCCATATCCTATTCGTAAAGATTAAGGCAGTGGCCATGCACTTACCTGCGAACCAGTATGGAGTAGATGATTTCAATACAACCATGACGTTTAGCAACAGATGCAGATTGAACTCCTTGTGCTAGACGCTCGGCCCAGATTGGATCATCTACCAGACAAGTCAAGACGATCTTCGCCTCCTTGGCGCGCGTGGCCTCGTCCAGAAGGGAAACCACAAAGTCGGCCATATTTGGGGACGGATCTATCAAACAGTCATATCTAGTCATTAATTTCATCCATACCAATTAATGTCGTGAGTATACTGCCATAGATGCGGTTAATACACTACCCTCCGTCAGAGTGACCATGGCAAGGAGCATTTCCATGAAATGGCCTGTTTGCAGGATCTTGTAGTAATCCTGAATTTTCTCCGCAAGGCCGTACGTAAATGTCGGAAATAGAACTTTGACCATCGACAGAGCCACGGGCGCCTGATCCAAGAATGGTAGCATGTCAAAGATCAAGGGCGTCTTGATAACGCCCGTCTCTGAGTCCACGTCTTCAAAGAGGGTCGTCATCGTTTGCGCTCTGAACTTCTTTAATATGGTCTCGAACACTTTCTGGAAGTGATAGAAGTTCCCCTGCGACTCCGGTCTGAAGATCTTAAATAGCTCTTTGACTAGGCCAAAAAAAAAAAAAAAAAAACTATTAGAATCAAGCCTCAGAAAAGTGCCTGCAGTTCATTCCTTTTCGCCATGCATTATGTCCTTACCGATCGACTGGTGGCTACTACTGAGAATGAACTCGTTGTAGACATCATTCCTTGTAAGAAAATTCATAGCGGTATAGGACTTCTTCATGAGATCCAGATCGGAGTAGTCGCGCATTCGCCGGCACTGCTTCACGCGTGTCATGAATTTCGTCTCTTGGTTGTAATTATCGTCCATGCCATTGCTGATATTCTTGGCGATCTCAGGATCCAAACGAGTGATGCTCTCAATAACATATGGTATCATGCCTACCATAATTGGTGATAAAAAAAACGTTATTGTCGCGCTGCGTAGCAGCTCAAATGCAAGGCAATACAGATATCAAATAAAGCGTGCGCTTACCATTAATCATAAAGACCTGAAGCAACTTGTCGTTTAGCTTGGTGTTTTCGAGCTCCAGGAACCGACTCACAATGGGCTTGGCAGCCTCCAACTTCGCCTCCTCTGTCGCCTGCCGTGCTGCTGCGGTACTCAGGGAGCCCTTGCTGCTCTTTGCCTTGACGGACTTCTTTGACTTTTTGGTGATCTTTTTCGTGGGGGTTGCAGAGACGATCTTTGAGGGCGAAGTCGATAATGATCCAATAGAGGCACGTTTCTTCTTTATAGGGAGACCAGTACGTGAACGTTTGGAAGTGTCCTTGCGTCCATTATGTTCCTGCGCACTGCCCACTCTGTCTGCCACATTCTCCATGTCATCGTCGCTATCCTCGGATGTTCCTTGGTCCTGACTGGAGTTCCCTTCGTCGTCATCATCGTGGTCGTGAGCATGCGCGTCAGCGTCATTCTCGTCATTGTCGTCACTCTCCGCAGCATCGCTGCTGTGGCCGCTGCTGGAGCCGTTGCTGCTGGAGTCGTCGTCCGCGGATGAGATATGGAGACGGGAGGACGATATATTGAGGATGTTCTGCGCAGTGTCCTCGTCGTCGAGCATATCTTCGTCCACTGCGTCCTCACTGATGGCGTCCAGGTTGGTGGTGTGAGATGCTGTCTCTGGCAAAAAGGTGCTGGCTGTCCATGCTCGGCCTTTCTCTTTTTTCGCTGCCATCAAACGGTTGTTGTGGAAATTGCTGATTAAGTTGATTCTTGTCGTGTATTTCGGAAGTCGTTTTGGTCATGGGCACAGACTGATGTTCGCTTCCAGCTGTCCGATCTAAAAGAGGGCGGGAATCCTTTTCCAGTCCAAGGGATTGGGGAGCTAAGGGCCTTACGTAAACCTATAAACATGCATATGATTCTTTACGAAGACCTATCTGAAATATGCATTATCACAACCGCGTAAAAGTCCATATGAGCTCTCTATCAGATGGGGAATGCGATTTTCTGCGAACAATAATCTTATCAGCATTGTGCATTTCTGCAAGGGAACAACCCGCCAAAAATAAACAACAGTAGACCTCGCACGTGATGTAACCAAGGCAATGGAAGCTGCAGGTCCTAGACAACCTGCAGCTTCATTGTTAGAAAGAGTTGATGAAACGTCATGGATCAAGCATGAACAACGATTCAGACAATAGTGCCACGCAGGCAGAGATCGCCGTTATCGACCAGGAACTGAGCGCAATCGAGGAGCAGATCACGGACTTGAAATGCCGTCGCATCGAGCTCGAAGAGTACAGGGACACTCTCCTGATCTCTCTCTCCTCCAACAGCGCGTTATCTCAAGGCAAGGGGCAAGCATCTACAGCTCAGGACAAGGACTATGGTCGAGAGGATTTCTCGTGGTCTAAGGAACTGAAGCGGTTGGCACGCTCACATTGGAATATCACCAATTGGAGGGACAAACAACTGCATGCCATGAATGCCTCCTTGGACAAGCGGGATACATTCGTTCTCATGCCTACAGGTATGAAAGCATCGGCTCGCCAATTGTCTTCTCAAGATGGTATCACTGTGGGTGTTAAAGAGATTGAACATGGTCTGTAGGTGGTGGCAAGTCGCTGTGCTACCAACTCCCAGCACTGGTCACCCCAGGCATCACCCTCGTCGTATCCCCGCTCTTGTCGCTGATCCGGGATCAGGCCTTTCATCTGGAAGAGGCCTCGATTGGAGTGGGCATGTTGACATCCTACACGTCTAAAGAAGAATCCAAACGGATCATGGATGCCATGCTCGGACCAGTTCTACCAAAAGGAAGCACATCCAAACAGCAGAACAAGAACTCTATTACATCAATCAACATTGCGGACTCTGACACTGCAGCACAGGGCCCCAGTATTACTCTCAAACTAGTCTATGTCACGCCTGAAAAGATCAGCAAGTCCAAACGCTTCATGAGCCACCTGGAAAAGGTCTATACCGCAGGGAGGTTGAGTCGGATTGTTGTTGACGAATGTCATTGCTGCTCCAACCTTGGACATGACTTTCGACCGGATTACAAAAAGTTGGGTATTCTACGGGTTCTTTTCCCGCACACCCCAATCATGGCTTTGACAGCAACAGCATCTCAAGCTGTCATACAATCTGTCTTAACCACGTTGAACATGGCGCCGATCGAGCAGACTGGTGGGACACTTCTCTTCGACTCGCCTCTATTCCGACCCAACCTCGCCTACAGAGTGTTGGCTCGGCCGAGCTCCAACGATGAGACGTTTCAATTTTTGGCCAGTTATATCCAGAAACAACATTCCCGGTCGAATGGAATTCTTTATTGCCTGTCCAAGAAAGATACTCATGTGTTTGCGGAGGGAATCTCGAAAGCAAGCAATGATCATATTGCCACAAGTGCCTACCATGCCGACATCGAGGATCATGAGAAGGACCTAATACATGAGCAGTGGAGAGACGGCCGTATTCAGGTTGTTTGTGCGACTATTGCATTTGGACTGGGTATCAACCACCCCAACGTCCGGTTTGTCATACACGTCTGCATGGCAAAGTCCCTGGAGGGTATGCTACTTAGTACCATTGTCAAAGATTGCGAACTTCACTTGCGTTGAATTTAATATTTAACCTTAATTATAACACATCTAGGGTACTATCAAGAATCTGGTCGCGCTGGTCGCGATGGCTTGCCGGCAGACTGCATATTGCTATACCGCGATCAGGACGCCTCCCGACTCTCGACTCTTTGTATCACAGAACCCGAGGGAATCACAAATGGTATGAAATACCGTGGGCGGTTCGCATCCATCTCATCTCTCAATGTCAAAATTGTGATCTTAACCATGTCTGCATATCATCTCAGTATACATCATGACCAAATACGCACAGGATGTCCGAACATGTCGCCATCAATTGTTTGACACTCACTTCTCGAAGCATCTTGCCCAACAACTACCTCCATGCGGATTCTGCGACAATTGCATCCTAGCAGGATCGGATATTTTCACGGAGGACTTGCGAACAGAAGTCCGCGCCCTATGTCTTCTTGTCGATCGGCTGAAGGCTGTGAACGAGCGAGTGACATTGAATAAGCTAGTCGAAGCGTGGAGGGGGGTGGGGTCTCTCCGGGCTATAGCCAAGGTCGTCCGGGACGAATACCAAACAGACGTTGTCCCTAAGCGAGCCAACAAAGATGTAAGGGGTACCTTGCGCTTTACCAGCTATTGTCTACTGATAGAGCTGATACGATGAATCGGCCAGCCCTAATGACGAACGGTCATAATCTCATTGATAGGACTATGAACGGATAATCAACCACCTTATTATCAACGGCTATCTTCGAGAAGACTTTCACTTTACAGCATATTCTACACTGGCGTAAGTATATTTGTTAAAAATTGGCCATTCACTGTTTCATAAATGTGCGCATCTATTAACGACACCACTCTTTGCTATAGGTACATTGTCAATGGGCCTCGCGCAAATCCTTTCCTTTCGAAAGTTCCATCATCTATACTGCCTTCTATCAAAATTGTCTTTGGCAGAGATACATCGAGGATAGCAGATGACAACAGTGCTGGTACACCATTTGGGATAGGGAAGCGTCCGTTTAAGTGTGCAGCTGGTCGCGTAAGCAAAGATGACGACGTGGGTGGCGAGATATCTGAACGACACATTCAGGAGATTTTGGATGACGAGGACTCAGCGGAGGATGACCATGCGTCACCCCTTATGGAGCGGCGAAAGCGGAAAATAGGCAGCGAAGGATCATTGAGGGGTCGTCATGAAACGAACGAGTCCTCTTTGTCGTCCAAGAATCGCAAACTAGTCATTACTTAGCAATGGACGTCCTGAACAATAAATACATTGTTCATCTGCCTGACAAACCTATCGTGCCTGAATGCTATGCCTAGCCATTGGGTAGCGCGGAGACAACCACATCCGTCAGCCTTTCTCAAGACTGTTCAGATGCATCTCTGGTGCCCGTGTTAAAGAATGTAGGCATTGATCCTCATCCCACCAATTTCACACTGCGGCATTGAGGTGATGACCAAGTGCGAACAAAAAAAAAAAAGACGCGGAGCAGTAATGGGATGCTCAAAGGTATGCCGATACGGAAAAGGAAAGGAATCGAAAAGTAAAAGTTAAAATGTAAAAAAGGCTGCTCTCATGCATAAACCTTTACATGGCGATGAGGATAACACAGTTGAGATGGGAGCTGAGGTTGGTCCATCGCCCTCATTGACATTTGTTCGGGAAGTTGAATTCTGAATCTGATTCCGCATCCACTTTTCTCTTTCTTCTTCATTTTCTGTCCCCCGTGCCTGAACCACATTTACACACACTGCCTCACACAAATAAGAGTCCCCTGCTGCCCATATCCACATCTTCACACGCACACTTCCATTTTTTCGTAAGGACAACACTCCTCTTCATCTTTCTCACCCCGTACTCTTTCTGATCCATTAATCCTTCTTTCTGAGTATCACAACTGAGTACTCTGCCTCTCATTGCCATCTCCACCTTATAATCCTTTTCACCTCATCCTCCCCAAGAGCCAAGTACAAGACGAGCACGGTCCAACCCTGTGACCAGGCTAACTTTTCTGTTGTGCTTCGCCCAAGCATTCAACAGTGTGCTGTAACACAGTGTAACTGATATTCCAACAATGAGCCGAACTCAGAGTGTAACTGGCGTCTACTCTCCCGATAGCCAGTACGACAATAACAAGGACGACAACAACTCCACGGAAACGCTTTCAAAAATCGACTGCAGCCAACGACAAGGTATAGGCTATAATTGTTATTAATGCGCATAAACTAAAAAAAAACGTTGGCGAAGGAAAAATAACAAAACGGCTTGTTTGTTCATGAACAAGTTGACTAATTGTCGTCCCGCCTTTTTTTTTTACCCGCCATCCCTTCCGTCTTTCCCACTGTTCTCTCGCCCAATCTTTCCATCTCCCTCTACTATCATCGCCATCGCCATCGCAAATAGCACACTCTCACGACCCTCAGACATCTCTCAGCACACCTCCCCCAACACCCAAAACACCTCGGAAATGCACAACCAGCACCATTAGCGACAATATCACACAAAGATCTCATCTCCTCCCCAATCCCCATCTCCATCTAACAGCTGACACCATCGCGGATCCAAAGGATATAGATACTATTGCTGCAGCCCGGGGAGATGTATCTGAGAGCCCACAACTTCCTCTGCATCCGCTACAACTACTGCTCGACCCCTCCCTCCTCCCTCGCTGTAGCTCGACTGATACGGACGAGCGCGAATCCTCTGAAGAACATGGCACTTTAGAAGGCAGTCTAGGAGGTCCACATAGCATTGTAGGAGAGAAAAGGACAAGGGTAGGAGGAGGAGAGTCTAGAAGTTCGTCTTCCACTCGCGTTTCACGCGCCGGAGGATTACGAGCTACAGGAAGAGACGTAACGAAGGGTCCTCCTCCTGTTAACGAACGACCCCGCTGGGTCGGCGCTTGGTCATCACTGGCGACCTGGAAGGACCTCAACAAGAATGATACGAAGAACAAGATACCAACAATGATGCCCGCAGACCGACGTCAATCTATCACAACATTGTCTCGGCCATCCACCCCAACCTCCCCGTCCACGACAGCACGTCCTTCGAAAGTACCATTCTCTCCAGGGCTTAGTGGGGCAGCAGCACGACGTATTTCCCTTCAGCCAAACCACCTAAACCACCGAGGCGAGGCCGATAACAACAAGCCCTCAGGGCATGCAAGGGGTCGTTCAGACTCTATCGCCAGTAACACTGGGAGACCTTTGAGCACACTTAACCCCACGAACAACAAGGGCAATAATAGCAACAGCAGAAAGGGAAACATTACCAGCACCAACAAGGATGGGTTGCGTCCCAAAATGCTTAGCAGCCAAATCAGTGCATCGTCTAAAGAGAGGCAAGGGCCCGCCAAGAGCACCAACAGCAGTGCAGGCATCGATTTCATTGTCCAGGCCCCTGTTGTGCAAAGGGCGGAATCTTCTCAGGAGAACAATAATAACACCAACACCATTCACGAAAACCGAATGAAATCTTGTGCAACATCAAACGCCGACGCCCAGTCCTCTCCCGCACTAATTCGAAGATTCTTGTTTAGTACTACGACCGCTGCCAGCAGTAGTGATGTCGCGTCCACGACAACACAGTCTACGTCCGAAGAGGCCAGGACCTCTTCTGACGCATCTTTTAATACTGTCGAGGCCGCTAGCAAGATGCACAATCTTACTGCACCTATGGCTGTTGTCGCGTCCTTCGTGGCCAATGCCACATTTGACCACCCTCAACAATACGCGTACAGTGACTCGAGTTCCTCCAGTTCTCTCCACCGCCGCCGTGACTACGGCTCTGCTGCATCATCCATTGCATTCGCTGATGACGCTATGTCTTCTATGTCTTCGATGACTGCCGGAGAAATGGCTGCCCGTGAGAGTCAACCGGCCCATGCACCCGGCTACCCCTCCTCATCTGCCTCCTCGATCACCGCTCCCACTTCACCATCCACCTCGTCCGCCCACCAAGCGTTCTCCAAAATCATGGAACAGAACGACCGCCAACGCAGTGTCTTTGACGTGCTAGCTTCCAAAACTCGACTCTATCTCTCCAGTGGCAGAGATTCAAATACCATTGAAGAAGGACAGCTTCGATCAGGACGACGAGAGTCCAGTTACAAAACGACCTCCCCGGTCACGCCAGAGAAGAGATCAAGGCTGCCGATGGAGTTGGCCGCGTCTGAAAGCGATGCTTCGAGCCTTTATCATGTCCGTGTGTCGAGCATCGAGTCGTTTCCGAAGCACGTCATGTCCAACTCCTCGGCTCCGACGATGCAATATCTCCGGGGTCTATTCCGCCGTGCTTCGGTATCGGGTGCAGAATCTACAGTAGCAGCAAGAGTACCGGCTGATGGAACGGATAGCAAAGCAGTTAATAGCTGAAAAATGAATAAAGATATGAACAAGTAAAAATGAACATGCACTTATGTCGTAACATCAAGAGATATCATGCTCAACGTGCGTCTATCTCAAGCTATGTGGGTACCAATCTAGCTGCGTGAACTCGCATATGAGGGACCCGATCTAGCAACCTTGAACTACAGCATTGATGTTCGCCAGCCTATAGCCCATAGGAAGAGCGCATCTGAAGCTGCTTCTGTTGTCCATGTGCCCAATATTCAACTCGCAAGCACCTACCACTGGTTTAACGCATCCTTGTTTTATGGCTCTCTCGAGCGGAGATGCCTCCGAATTGTCGCATTTACCAACAACGGTTTCGACCCATCTCAACTAGCGCTGACGTTTTGCCGGTCAAGTCCCTCATTGCTTCCTCGGAGTCCACTTCTGAACTAGTGGTCAAGAAGTCCGGCGTCGAGTGGGGTGAAAGAGATGGGTTTGTTATCCAATAGCTCCAAATGGAACAGCCTGTCTATTTCTGTGCCGATCTTGGTTGGAAAACGATATGCGAAAAAAATAAAACTATCATTAGATATCAACATAGCAATAGGTTGAAGCAGATACTGATGAAGCTTGCTACCCTATACAGCAAGAGCCAAAATGTCATAGCTCAGGAACATCCTTGACGAGCATGCTCATCAAATGAAACATCCCGCTCCAAAGCCGGCGAAACAACGAAATGCAGCCTCGAAGGACGTATTGAGGTTGCGATCTGATTGAGTTTTGCGAGACGCTCCATCTTCCATCCAGCTTCCACGCTGCTTTTCGTCCAATAATGATTGAGGCTCAGACACGTGCCCCGCATCTAGAGTCTTCGCGGTCGGCTTTGTGGTTTGTGGTAACAGACACAGCTGCTAAACCGCGCGGAATGCAATGTGAGCATGTCAACAAATCAAAAAACTGTTAAACAGATGCCGTTACTCAGATTATCATCTTACCTTTGGTTAGCGCCTCGAGTATTGATTTCCTCGACTGCCTTTTAGTATCATATTCCAAGGAGGACAGTCATTGAAGACAATAAAGTGTCGGTGAAACACAAGGAACCTTGCCATCGACGACACGATCCATACCACTCACAATTTCGATGTAGGGCCGCCGCGCGCAAGGTCCACACAAATTAAATGCCATCTGAAGACGATCCTGCTCTTCTCTTGCGCGCGCAGTTGTAGTTCTCTAACATTCTTTGAGATGATGATGCTGGCACGACGGACAGTGTCGTATCCTGTCCTTATGCCTGAAGATACATAGAAACCGTCGTTGTGATTTTGACAATCAAACAAACACTTGGTTTCTTTCAACGAATAATGTGCAGCTGTAGTATGTCTTTACGCCTCGAACGATGTCGGAGGCATAGCAGACAGGGCGGGTTTTGCGTAAGAACTCCCCTTAGAACGCGTCGGAAACGCGCCTGGACCGTGGCTGTGATGGTTTTATTCGTATAAATCATGTGACATAATGACTTTTAGACCCTCCGAGCAAGTTGCAGCGCTGCAAGCTCACCCAGCAACGCATTTTCTCTTTTGTTTTTGTATGCTTTATTCTCATTTATCTGCTAAGAAGAAGAAGCCGCTATATCCACCGCGGGTAATGCTGGTGCCAGCCCATTGTCCACCCTAAGAAGCGAAAAAAATAATAGAAAATAGTAGTTGCCCGGCAATGTACGTAATACGCAATGTACCAGAAAGTGTGCGCACCATAGGGATACCAATGCACCGAATGCTCAGGAGGCGCCAAAGTGAGTCTATTGACGACACATAATCGCCTTGATCCAAAAGCGGAGAGGGGAAAATGTTAAGTCGCGTTCTGAATGTTTGCCACTAAAATTGAGGGTGACGTACCAAAAATGTTCAACTCTATATGCCCAAGGCCCCGAAGATTGACCCTCGCTTCATTACTGATTCATTCACCAAAAGGTACGTCTGGACAACGATCATTTCTTCAACAACCGCAATAAGATCAGCACAACGGGATGATGATTACAAACACTTCAAGTAATCCGAGTTCAGCTCAGGTTGGGGTTACAGCCTCATAAATACAAAAAATACAGCACTGCAGCAGGCATGAGAGTGTTTCAAAGCGATGAATGCGGATAGGTACTCATGGAAGGTTCTTCAGAAAGAGGGTTCGCGTCCATGATACGACGTTCAATGCACATCCCCTCGGGTTCATCCGTGACATTTCCCCGGCCACGGTAGTATTTGGGCGTTGGCCGACTCCTCTTCGATTGTCCCCGTATTCATACTCGCTTAGAATGGATGCAAGTCCTTTTTTCGCTGTGGTTTGGTACGGATCGAGGCCATCTAGTTTTGTGTTCTGGTTTCCAACATCACAACCAAGCAGATGGATTGAGGAGTCAGCGTGGGATATGGAGGATTGTCCTGTGGATGGTTTTGAGTCAACGGCGCGCCTCATTCATGACTCCTTTCATAATATTGAGACTCTCCATCGCCATATGCTTCCGCTCTTCTCGCTTGCTAACGCAGTTGCTTGCGTTTTTGTTTAGCCTGGATTGTACCTTGACTTTAATAGGCACACGAATGAATCCCTTTCCTTTGCCCCTTTCCAATTGCTTGTCCTGCCAATGCTCCTTGACTGACCCTGGCCACTTCATTTTGATGCCTAGAAGAGCCTACTAGTCCCTGCTGAGGCACTATCGCACCACGGATTCGCGGTTTGACCGAAGAGGCGCCAGGGCGGACAGGAAAACACCTGGACTACAGGGATAGTGGTCTCGTCAATAAGTCGCGATATTATAGATTTTAAAATAGTCCTGTCATGTCAAAAATATATGGTGGCATTTATTGACAAGAACTTTAGAACTTTATGTCGCCACCAATGTCTTAAAAAGACCTTCAGATCGCGTCTTGAGGCATGCTTCCTACACTTCATCATTTCTGATCCAATCCTCATCAACACCATGTCGTCTGCCCAACAATGCCGACAGAGGGAGCAAAACTCTCTGGCGTGCACGTCGATCCTCGACAATGACCTCTACAAGTTCACCATGCAACAGGCCGTGCGCCAACACTACCCTAACACGCCCTGCGACTATCTTTTCACGAACCGATCCCCAGACCTCGCCAAGCTGCCGCATAAGGCACTTCCATGGTTGAAGGAAAAGATCCACGACATGGCCGCCCTTCACCTGACGCCAGACGAGCGTTTGTTTCTGGAGGCTAAGTGCCCGTATCTGACAAAGGATTATCTCGACTGGTTGCAGAATGAGTTCAGATTTAAACCGGAGGAGCAGGTTCAGATCAAGTTCGCGGCAGTAGCAGCAGCAACAGGAGCAGGAACAGAAGCAGAGAAATCAATTGACACTAGCGAACATGGGTCAGAGTTGGTCAGGATCATGATTACGGGCAAGTGGGACGAGGTGATCCTGTACGAGGTACCGATCTTGGCGCTCGTCTCCGAGGCGTACTTCCGGTTCGGTGACCAGGACTGGAGCTACGATGGGCAGTTCGAGGCAGCACAGACAAAGGCCAGGCGATTGGTTCATGCAGGAGCCAAATTTGCAGAGTTTGGAACCAGGCGTCGACGGGACTATGAGACGCAGCGGATCGTGCTCGAAGGACTTATCGCCGGATCGCCGTCACCTGCAGAGGCTGTCAAGACCCAGCCGGGGCAAGGGTTCTTGACCGGCACGAGTAACCTGCATTTTGCGCATGTGATGAACCTAGTACCGATTGGGACAATGGCGCATGAGTGGTATATGGGCACGGCCGCGATCCTGCGGGATGCCAGCCAGGCGAATAAGGTGGCGCTCGAGCGATGGTCAAGGACCTACCCAGGCCAAGTGCTCGGAATTGCATTAACAGATACGTTCACAACGGCTGCGTTCCTGAAGGCGTTTAAGGGCAAGATCGCGAAGGAGTGGTCAGGCGTGCGACATGATTCCGGGGATCCATTTGAGTTTATGGATCGCATTATCCAGCATTACGATCAGGATCCGATGGTGGGACCCGAAATGCGCAAGATGAAGAGGATTGTGTTTTCGGATGGGCTGAATACAGAGAAAGCGATCCAGTTGCAGGAAGCAGCAGATGCGAAGGGGATTCAGGTGTCGTTCGGGATCGGGACGCATTTTACGAATGATTATCAGTGTCTGGAGGGGGCAAAGGGGACAAGCAATGCGATGAATATCGTGATCAAGTTGTATTCGTGTGCGGGCAAGGAGTGTGTCAAGCTGAGTGATGACCATGGCAAAGAGAGTGGAAGCGATGAGGCTGTGTCGGAGGTGAAGCGACAGATCGGCACGCTTTTGTAGCGCAGAAAGCAAGTAAACACTTACTCATGAGTTTCATTTCAGTCCATAGTTGGTGCAGGGAAAAGCTGCTGATTTGTATTGTGGATTTCTCCGAATAGAGATTAGCACAGGAGCATTCACCTGCTGGTTGCCTTGCTTCTTGCGGTACTTTCTCTGCGACTATCTCAAATATCTGTCAGATCTACCGACAACTTCGTGCTGCTATGCGTCTGCTCGATTCTCTTGAATCGATTGTGAGCCAGGTGTAAAGTGTGCTGAGACCCAGAGACGTGTTCAGATATAAATACTACTTCACTACAGTCTCATTAGCATGCCATTAAAGCGGAAAAAAAAAAAAAAAAAAAAAAAGAGCCAGCACACGCGTGTGAGGAGCCTCACAACACCAAAATATCAAAGAGAAGACGAGGAGATGGCAAGGCGAGGAAGAGAAGGGCGGAGATGGAACAGTATGCTCTAGCTTTTCGTTTCAGCAGCAACCAGCTCGCCATTCTGGTTGAGTTCATGCAAGCTCCATCCAACTTCACGACACTCTACAATCATGGCAAGTCAAAAGGCATGGCATCAGAGAAATTTGGATTTCGGACCCATCTCCATTTTGACATATTTTAATGGAGCTATAATACTCCCCTTGGAGGCCATCCTCGGCCAGACAAATTTCAACGCCATTATCGCCTATGCCTATGTAGCCGTCATGGATATTGCCGCCGTTGTTCTCTAGGTTATCCGTTGATGATGAATCTATAATGAAAAGGTTGCTATTATCATAGGGATCAGCAGCGTTGATCACCTCAAGGGCTCCTGTCCATGCTTCTTCTCCCACAAGATCCTCATTCAGCATTGCCTCTTCATGGTCCTCCTCCTCCTCAGGCCCTTTCACTAAAGGCGTTACTGTCGTGGAGGCTTGCGCTGGTTTATTACCGACTGATCTCGTCCGATTCTGACACTAGCTTTCTACGCAGAGACAAAGGTACTAGGAGGTATGCCTACAAAGCGTCTATCAAGCATCGTCTTGAGATTCAGGCGTGACAGGTCCCCTGTGGTTTGGCTGGCGACCATTTGCTTGACGACTGCCCAGATTTTCTCAATTGGCTGGAGCTCGCAATGTTAAGGAGGGATTTTGTATATAAGGCGGCCATCATTGTCAACTGCAATGTCATAAATGGTATAGCTGGATCGATCGGGGAGGTCTTTGATGTGCTGCAACATTTCCACTTTAGTTGGTACTCCGTTTGGTCGTGTAGTCGCTGGCAGTTCATGGCCCCTGTCCTGAACCCATTTGATCATACCATCCACCTTGGTGGATCTGGCAGGCTTTTTGCTGATTTTGCGGAAGTGGTAGTGAATATTGCGAAGACCATATCCCATTTGTTCAAGGTTGATGTATAGCTGCCTGAAGATGCTTTCAAATAAATATGCCAAGAAGTTGTCATGATAATCGCGATTGTCAGCAATGATGTTGGAATCGCGGATCTCCTTTGAGATATTGCGCTACAGCGCAGAGTCGTACTGCTTCTTGCCTTCTTTCGGTTTCGTCGCAAGGCGGGATTTCCCGATCGCAGGCCAGATGTATACACTGTCCTGCACAAAATCGGGCCTGCAGCTTTCGTTTGTTCTTGTTCCATGATACAGCTAATGTGGCGAATATGACAAGAAGCGGTTCCCGACCTGGTTCCGAAACGATGCCACCCTTCTTAGGACCCCATCGGTTTGCCGCAGCCTGATCGAGATGACAATATGACTCGTCCAAAAAACACCTCGAGACGATGTGGTCTGATCTTATCACCTTTGTTAATCTGGTTCTTCAAGCGGCGTTCAAGATAGCCGAGTCGATAGGTAACATTTTCCTTTTCCTCAGTACAGCCCTGGCTTGTGGAGGCCGCATGTAATCGATCGTGCAGACCTCTCGATGTTGTATTCTGCCCTCAGTTCGTTCGAAATACGGCTAGCTGAGTTGGGAATGCCCTTTTTGTTGGATTGAGTGATGATGTCGCGAATCTTGGTGGCAAAGTTCTCGTCCAGTCCATCTATAGATCGTCCCGATCGGTCAGTCTTCTCTCTGTTGTCAATGGTCCCACTTTCTGCGAAATCCGCTACCTTTCTGCAGGTGCGCTCTCCTGCACCAGTCAGAGCCGACAGCTGATGCGATAGTCCCCTCCCAAGAGGTTTCATCCAGTCTCGAACGGTGGGAGGAGTGTCAGTTGAGGTCAGCTTCTTGAAGACATGTGCCAGGAATCGGTATTCAGAGGGTGCGTAGACTGAACTGCCATGGTTGAACGTATCAATGCCAATGCTGGCGTCGGCAGGAGACTCCACGCTCCAAAACGGGTTGCTCTCTTGACCGGATTGACTGCAGGGGGATTGCTGTCATTTTTTAGAGGCGGCCTCTCTGGGCTAGGTACAGGAACTGGTGAAGAAGTGGTACCAGCCTTGTTGCACTTAGGGATGACTTTAGTGGAAGTACCGGCGTAACGAAGTGGAGAATTGGCTGGGATCTGTCACCCGTAGCGGATGGGGGAGCTGTTGAGCGATGTTGTGCTGCGATGGGGGGAGTCGCCAAAGTCCAGCGTTTTCAGGCTAGGGGAGAGTGAAACAAGTCGCGCGCCTCTCCTGGGCGAAATATTTAGAAGCTGGGTCCTGGTGGGCGTGGTCTTTGTAGGCGTGACGACTGACTCCTCAGGAACAAGAGATCCAGCAGGAGCAGACACGTCTTTCCGTCCAGACATAGGTTACGCGTTTTAGAAACCATTTAGGAATTGGGGGGGAGATGATGGTGATGGAGTTCGTGATGAGGCAGTTGCGCACACTTTTTTCTTTCTCTCTCAGCCCCTTATTCCTTATCCCATATATGGGACGAATTTTAATAAGAGAATGCACTTTTTTGCAATTGTGTAAAATACTATTATGATTGCCACCCCCTCTTTCTAGGCATATATTGACACCTGGTCCCTGGTGCATCTAGATATGTAACTTGTTTGGCATTTGCTTGGAATTAGTATTAAGGAAGGAGCCGAAATGGGATCACCCTCATTGAGAATGCCACATATTTTTTAAAATAAAAATTTCAATTCATCAGGGAGGTGACCCGTCTAAAAGGCATGCCATCCCGTATTTTCAAGCAATACCATTTCTCCACTCAATTGTGAGGGTCACACATGCATGCCGAGGGCGCAACGGAAGCCACGGGCACATTGCAAGAGGAGCATCATCATCAACAGACTCATTGCGACTATCTATTCAATGGAGAACCCGTTTATTACCCCTGGTGCTATGCCTACTGGCGTTGGTACTGACACTGACCAAGACACCAGCCCTGTGGGGTCCCCAACTGACTTCCTGTCCGTGCCAAGTGACGACCCTTTACAATATCTCAGTGATGTCGCGTCTCCTTCTAGTGATATTGAGTCCCCTCCAAGCGGAGCTGTTGCCGCAAACAGCTCGCCCAACAGCTTGCCACTTCGAGTTATAGCTGCATCTCCCGACAGGTACCTGCACCTTCGCCTCAATGGAACTCCTACTCGCTCGCCACGACGTCGCGAAGAGTGACCTCTACTAGGGACAGTAAGCAGCCTCATACCTCCATACCTCATACGTCCCAATACGGAAATCATTCAATCAATTTGAAAAAATATATGGCGCGTTACTTATTGTCGAGGACTCTAATTAACAATCCAGTTGTCTAGGATAAATGATTACCTTCATTCTTGTTGCTATCATGCTATCCTCCAGGGAGACTACAGTCTAGAAGCCTATGGCGCCATGATTTTCTCGTAGGCTCCCTCCTGATACGAAATACATTATCTTGCAGCAACTGCAGTTTTTCGCTGCCCCAGTCTAGGTGGTTTATGAGAACAGTGATCAATCACTGTTAGATACGAATGAAATAATCGATAATCAGTGTGGACACTGCAGTTTCCATAACATAGTGCATGAATATACAAACATTTTGGACGTAGACTTTGGAGTCTTAAAAGAAATATCATTCCTCACATCCTTGACCCCACTTCTTCCCTCATCCACTCCCTTATCAGCTCTCAAGCACTGTCGCATATTCTCAACGTGAGTCTTGAATGCTTCTGCGAATGGATACGTGCACCAAACTCGATCTTCATTAGCTGTCTACTTTGACTTGGCCTTTATTGTAGCAGATGGGAGTCACTGGGCTACCCAAAGCTACAAAAGACACCAAAGGAACGCTGGCTTATGATCTGCAGGGCAAGAAAGTTCATGTCGATGTCTTACATAAGTCTGTACTTCGGATTCTTGCAAACAAAGACCTTCAAAGCGACGTGTAACAGAGTCGCCAAGGAAACGAGAGCTGAGGCAACGGCTACGACAACTACCAGCGCATCAGCGGCTTCTATCCTAACAGCAACGGCGACTTTTCTCGCAGTGCCCACAGCCCCCGCAGTTCCCACAGCCTCAGCAGCGCAAGACGCGCCTTCTGTTGCAGACGGCAGCACTAGCAGGAGAAGCGGGATCAAGAAGCGCGCCCTGAGTTTCTCCGAGGCTCCATCCAAGCGAGGAAAGGCTTGCTCTAGTTATACGAGCGAGGTACAGGCTGCCGGAGTGCAACATCCTGCACTGTTCATTAGCCCTAATGGACGATTGACACCAGACCGACCTGGAACAACAGAGCAGGTAATTAAATGTGCCAATGGTTTCGTATCAGCTTACGCAGCATACAGTGCTGTTCAAAACTGAGCCAATGTTTTGCAAATTTTTACTCGGAGAGCTGATACTCACAAACTAGCGATCGGATTACCTTGAGACTTTGTAAAAGTGTTCTTTGGCCATTGTAGAAGACGTTTATAAAAGATGAAGTCGGTACCAGCAACCGTTATAAAGTATAGTCGTTGGTAGAGGCCACATCATTGGCTCAGTTTTGAACCATACTCGTAAAAAAATACTAAACGTAGTGTTATAAATATTTTTACATAAACAATGGATCGCTTTCTTTTGCAAATAGTTACATCTTACCACGGTACATCACTCTGCCAAAAATGAGGCCGATCCCTCCACTCAAGGTCAAGGAAGCTATAAGCCTGATGATGGATAATGTTTCGACTCGGGAAACCGCTCGTCGACTCGATATTTCGCAAAGAGCAGTCGCAAGGATCTATTCCGCCAATAAGGAAAAGATGCCGATCAACAAGGGAGGCCGTCCAAGAAAGATTGGCAAGGAAACTATCGAGTTTCTCAAGCTAAACCTGAAGAGAGGAATTTTCCGGAGCGCTGTGGTGTGGTAAACCCACACGGAGTATAGACGGGGTATCCAGGTACAAGGGACGGACACAACACCTGATATGACACGATGGGAGGAATAGGTACAGGACACTCATACGATCATACCAGGCACGTGCTGCACGTGCAGTTACAGGATGTGCAAGTAGAAGGACATGCAATTAGACAAGAGTCAATAGGGTTTGCATTTATAGAAATTTTCTTTGGTCAATAAATATCACAGAACGACAGGACCAAATGGTTCCTGGTCTGTTTCCTCACTATACTTTGCTCAACACTTGCCCCCGCACGACACTTCAAGTCGCTCCACGCATCCCTGTCCCAACACACTGTACCCTTCGATCGGTATACTCTGCCACAGCTGGCCTTCATAGCATATCGCCCAGCAAGAGTAGAGACGGGACCCGTGCGTCTGAACTGCTGCACCTCTAGTGCCCCCCCCCCCCCCCCCCCCCCCCAAGTGTTCCTGCGAGTCCGCTCACATTACCTGCCTGCCCCACGACAGGTAATGATCATGGTCTCATAACGAACAAGAGCGGAGGATCAAGAACAGTACCCCTCGATGCCGACGTCTGGACACAGGAGTCAAGACAGAGTCCCTTTGACCTTGCAGATCCCTAACCCGAGTGTGTTGTCGCCTTTATTATTCTTGTAAATAGTTTTGCTGTCTTTATTATCCTCATCGTTGAAAGATCTCTTACCAGTGCCCCCACATCTGGAGCTTTATTCATACACCGTAAGATAATTATTATGTAGAGACTTCGTAAAGCAGAAGAGACTTTTATTGAGCAACATATTCACAGCTAGTACTTTTACCTGATATAGAGCCACTACACCACACCGGGAACCACCGAAAAGTTGCAAAGAGCTATGGGAGCGCATCTCGAAGGAATGGTACAACATTCCTAAGGAGTACTGCCAAAACCTTATCAGCAGCATGCCCAGACGGCTTTGTGCCCTTCATAGGGCTAAGGGAAAGCGCACCAAGTACTGAAAAAGATGGGTTTTTAATAAAAATGGAAATTTTGTGGGTATGGTTCAAAACTGAGCCAATCATGTGGCCTCTACCGACGACTATAACTTTACAATGGCTACTGGTAACGACTTCATCTTTTATAAACGTCTTCTACAATGGCCAAAGAACATTCCTACAAAGTTCCAAGGTAATCGGATCACTTGTTTATTGGTGTCGTAGGACTGAGGAACTAATCTTGGAGGGGAACACACTCCACCTTATATAGAAAAATAAAGATAAAAAGGATGTGTCTAGACTCTTATCAAGTGATGAATACTTGAGCGTCAGCTCAAGTATCTGGTTGTTAATAAAGGGATCTAGATGTGTAGAGACGGGCCTCGGCCATAGCAGTGCGCGTAGAAGACGCGTTGTTTAGGGATATGGAATCGTAGAAAACATAAAGGTTAATTCTAGCGAATGAGAAAGGTCGCAAACAGAGAGAGCAATGTGGGCAAGGTTCGCCTGGTCCACAAAAAGCAGTCACTTTTGTTAACACGGAGCTCCATAAGGATAGCGCGCTCATGGTCTGATGGTTTAAATTCGTTGGTGAAGGCAGTTTTGAACTCCTCCCATGGTGTGTCGTCGGTGAGGGTAGACATACGGTACTAGGTAAGAGCAGTACCCCGCAGGTGGTCAGCAGCGGCGGAGGTCTACTCCATCGGGGTGAGCTTGGTACATCTGCAGTATCGCTCGAGCTCCTCCAACCAGTCGCGCGTGGCCAGAGCGTCGCGGCCGCCATGGAAGAGCTGTGGTTTGAGGGGTTTGCAGGCAGAAACGGAGCGAGATGAGTCTTGGATGACCGATTGGATTTGGTGGTAGGCGCGCTGCCTGTCAACGGCATTCGAAAGGTTTAGGCTGCTAAGGCCGTTGATGCAAATAGTCAGGAGTCGGAGGGGTTCTAGGGTGGAATCAGAGGTTTATTCGATGATTGATTACTGTCTAATCCTACGTTTGAAGGGCTCTTATATACTAGACACAGTTGTGTTGGAATGCTCTAGAAACTAGGCGCAGCATGGTTATGACCATGACATCATTCTCGAATAAACAGTTGTACCTGTTGCAGTTGACAAGGAAATCGATGGAGTCCATGATGCTGGTTCGAGTGGTAGGTAGTGAGGTGTCTGGGGGTGTCTGGGGTGTCTGGGGTGTCTGGGGTCTGAGATATCTGGGGTGGGTCGAAAGGTACCTTTGCTACCAATGCAAACGGTCAGATCAAGTGGAAATGAATCTAGGGTGGAAATGCGGTGTAGGGGGTCTATTAACGGGTTCTATAACTTCTACCATTAGTTCTATTTACAACGGGAGTTACCACGCGAATAGGACTTCGGCAAGGCTGTGCTTCGGTCACTTACTGGTTCGTGGTGCAGGGTCCTCCTTTAGATCGGAATGTAAGAACACAAAGGTAAAATAGACTAGACGTAAATGGAAAGGAATAAATATGGGGATCTGTTTAGCTAAATGGTGCGAGCTAGGACTATATTCCTTTGGGAATGACTGGGGTAGTTGCAAGGAGTTCGCATATTGTGATGTCCGATGAGGTGAGGAGTCGTGACAATGAAGTCCACCCCTCTGGAGTCGTTGTATGCCAATAGTTGCTGATCAGGCCTCCGTTGTACCTTTATAATGCCGTTTCACGAGGGTGGGCCGATGACGGATGCTCAATGAGACGATCGGTAATTGGGGAAGCGCTGCGGGGCAAGTACAATGTCTAAATAAGAGCGATTGACGGCGCAAAGGTGGCGAATGATCAGGATCGGCATTCCCTATTGATTGTATCTCGTTGCATGGGTTGCTGACGGTGGTAGTCAGTACCTGTCGTTGATGCGGTGTTATCCGGACAATCTGGACGAATACAATGTGTGATACAAATGATTTTGGTGGAAAGAAGACTCTGGTTCAGGTACCAGACCGTTTATTCTTTTATTCTGGGGGCGGTGCTCTTCCCCGTGATCTAATATTAACTTTACAAGAACAACCAACTGATTCTCATTTACTACACCACAGAAAGGGGACTTTATTCGTATCAATGCTGCTGTCTAGTTCTACATGTGGATGGGGTTTATATACACTAGCTGGATAGATAGCAACAGTGTTCTAGAAAGTCGTAGAAAGATGGGCGAAGCGCTGATGACATCATAATGCACTTAACCGAGCATAAACCTGTTGCAGGAAGGCCCAGATTTTCACATTTGCCATGTCCTGGTGCGCTGTCGATTAGCAAAGCGATCTTGCGTCTCTTCCTGTGCATGTCCCAGTCTAGTTCCCAGAGCCATTCGGCGAACAGATCGTGTGTCATGTAGCCGCTTCCTTGAAATTCAGCATCCATTTCCATCATTGTCGCTGTGGCCAACCCATTTGGACGGTGCTTAGCTTCATTTAAAAAGAAAAGAAAATCAGCAAGCAACCCTTTTCAACTCCACTGTCGTAGGCCTTGAATAATGCTTTATTACTTACAAAGAATTAAAGCTTGCGCTTGTCTGTGCCCGTGGCATTGCAGCGCAATAAAATTGACACTCGAGCAATTCGGCTAATCTTCTTGCCGCGGATGGGACCAGTGGCTATGGTCTTGTTTGACATAGCCTTTAGAAAGAGACCCGTCTCATCGTAATTGTAGATGTTGTCTGGGCCAAAGTCCTCGAGCCTCATTTGGATGTTCTCGATTTGGGGCTGGTAGAGACTTAAGTCGACTGATCCGCTTCCACCATGGCCAATGTATCTCTTGAATCCTTTCTGTTTCTTGAAGTTTCGAAGCCAGCCATTCGAAAAGCTAATCGGCTTTGGCAGGTGCTCGGGACGAAAGTAACTCTTCATGAGGATCCATATCACCACAGCAGTTCCTTTCAGGCGATAATCAGACACGTTGATGCCTACTAAAACATATGGATTAGGAGTATGCTTAAGAAACGAGCAACTAAGGGTCAGAAATTGACTTCCGTACCTAAAGACTCCTGCAGTTTATACCAGGCATAGAGGATCTCTTCCACAATCTCCATTGGCCTCCGTATGGCGCGTGCAATCGCTTTTGTTGCCGAAAGCGGCCGTGTCGCCATTGCTTGATGGATTTTGTCTTCCTCCTTGAGTATACGGGCGGCTGTGTAGGGGTGTATACCCAACGTTCTTGATATGGCGACATGGGACTCAAATGGGTTATGCTGTTGCTCTGCACGATACTTTGTAAGGAATTGCCACTTGTCGTAAAGAGTGTACTTCTTTCGAGACATGTGTGATTTGGAAGCGGAGGTACCAGAGCCAGCACGTTTGGTGTTTAGTGGACTAGGAACTGGAGCCGTCTGACCAGAGCGCGTTGTTTTGGGCATGGTAGAAGTAGAGGACAGGTTGGGTTCAGGAAGTGAGAGTGTGTGAACAAATGTTTAAATTATTACGTATTTTCAATTGGACTGAATACATGACTGCTTCTCCAACATAAGTTGCAAAATAGAACTTATGTTGGAGTTCGACCGTACGTTGCTTATCTATACAGTCCGTGTTCGCATCCTCTGAAATTTTTCAGACGATGCGGGCTTCATATGTAATCCTGCATTTTTATTGGTCAATTCTATTTTCTGCTCTTTTTCCCTATTCATTCCTCAACATCCGTAAAATCACAAGGAGACAGATATCAACCGCGCTTTCTGCCTGGGATGTATGCCTCGACCAATAAAAATGCAAGATTACATATGAGGCCCGCATCGTCTGAAAAATTTCAGAGGATGCGAACACGGACTGTATATGAAAAATACAGATTGTGTGGAAGGCCGAGTCGTAGTTTTGTTCACATTTCTCGATTCCAGGGACCCAGGCGTCATTCCGCGAACACTCTTCAGCGTGCGAGCACACTGTTACTGCGTCCTTGTCCCCTCCTCGACTGGAAAAGAAGTTTGCCCCGACAACCCCCGGGATGATGATTTTTGCGATGAGGAAATAAGTCTCGCGAGTTGCCAGCTTTTTTTTTTTTTTTTTTTTTTAATCAGGGTGCTTTGATCAGTAGGGTGAAGGTACCAGGGGAAGGGCGGTGGGAGGGCGTGAGAATGCGTGGAGATGTTCCCTGAGAAATAACCTTATTTGAGGAAGAGACATTCCACCAATGAAAAGCGGTGCCTGAAAAGAACAGGCCATCTGCTGAAGCACGGGCCCCTCACCCACCCGAAGGAGGAGGGTTACACTCTGTGGGAAGAAAACTTCCCAATAAGGTTTACCCTAATTAAGGTTCTGTCAAATCATCTTTTAGCTCCTTCCTTCCTCCACTCCATCCTCTCCATCCTTTATTTTTTCCTCTAAACCCTTTCCATCCCTTTTAAATGCACCCATTCTCTTCCTTTTCATATGTAATCAACCTTCCTACCACTCTACTACCCTAACCTCATCTGCACCCCCCTCCTTACCCTACTTTCCCTACCCTCTTTACCCTTCCCTCCCTATCCTACCCTCTTTATTTTACCCTCCTTCTACTACCCTCCCTACATTACCCTACACTACCCCACACTGCCCTACACTGTCCTGTACTACTCTGCAATTCCCTATACTATCGTTTGCTACCCCATATCACCCTACGCTGTCCCGATATGCTGAATGGGCTCCTCTGCTTGAATGGGCTCTACAATTAGACTGTGCTATCGCCCTGGTGCTATAAAAGCTGCGAGAAGAACCCTTGCTCTTTCTCAAGAACAGCACCCTTCTTAGAGAACACTCTCTGGCAAGACTAACATTTTTCTTGCACTTCAACTCTCGCTCTTGCTCGCACTTGTTCGTCACCATTTTTCTGTCATTGCTACTAAGATATTGTAAAATAAATGTTTTTCTTTACCTTGGCTTCCTGTTATTCTCGATCAGCGTGAGCCTACTTGGTGGAGCTCCGCAGGGCAACAAATATTGTTGGATGCAAGATACCAGTCTGAATGGCGGTCGCCTGGGAAAGACGGCTGGGTCGTTAGTTGGTGGGCATTCTGCAGGTCTCCAGCGGAATGGCAACCAGATGAAAAGCCGATGGTGAATGGCGAATGTGGATTAGATGGAGGGATGAGAGATGATGAGTCAAGAGAAGAGTATAACCCACCCGTCCTGCGCCTCGCGGAAGATTCTCTGCTCTCTGCGCTTTTTCTACTTTGCCTTGCTCACTTTCTTTTACTTTGCCATGTTCTGTTCGCTGTGTAACGTCGGCGGGAAATTATGGACCCATTTGGTTACAAGGATTGGAGCAAGAGCAACAACGGGAGAGTCAGGTTGGAGAGTCGACCGAGACGAGCAGTGCTTTACCACAAGGTCACCATGGAACAATCGTGGTCTACTGCACCGCCATAGTTTCCGGAATGTAGCAGGTTCTTTTAAAAGACTCCGCAATCGCATGCAACACTTAGCAATCGAGCTCCATTGGAATCAAGCGGGACAATACAAGATAGAGTAGGAGTCGTAGCATTTCTACAATTATATTTATGGCCGCTACATATCGCCTTTTGTTTTTTTTTTTGGATCGCTTTGACTCTTCTTCCTGGTCCTCAGAACGCCGCTTACGTCCTTTTACTTTGTCCAGAAATTCGACGTGGCGACGCGGGAAGATCTTTGCAAAGCTGTTGTCGTTGATACTGATGGATACACTTTGGAGGCCTTCAAGTTCGGGCTCAGGATCTGGCCGAACAACCTGAAATTTGACAACCTCGGCAGGGTAAGTGATTACCATGCTGGTATATGTCCCGTTCGGGCAGTAGTCCTGCAGTCGTGGTGATTGTTGTTGATCAGATGAGTTGGACTGTGCACTTGATGTTGAGTCCCCTTTCTGATGTTTCTGTTGCTTCCTAGGCCCCTATTGTCTCGGTAGACTCAATGTCGACAGGGAATGCTTCAGAGGTTGATTCAACACAAAACATAACTAGGCGATTGTCAGTGTTTGTAAAGCATCATGAAATGGATACTGAAAGGCAGAAAGTGAGAGATGAACGAAAAGAAGGATGAAGAAAGACAAAGGAAAGGATGGGAGTGTCCACGTGGCAGTGGCGGTAAAAAAAGGGCCAGGCACAGAAATAAAGAGACCGGCGTCAACATTGAAATAAATAATTTTATTTCCATGCAAATTCAGCAACCATCATTTTATTTGAGTAGAGCACTTTAGAGTTCTACACCCTGGAGGGACGATTAGCTATATTCCTGAAAAGCTTCTCCATGAGTTGCTCGAAGGTGATATGTAGAACATCTGGGAACTTGTTAACCAACTCGCGGTGCGCAGGTTCGCCAGGAGAGCCACGGATGTAGACTATGCGAAATCCAGGCACAGGCACACCGTCCCTGGTGACAACAAACCTGTTGTCCTTTATCCTCGCAGAGTGACCAGCACCATACAAATCGTTTAGGTAACGTTCAATCTGATTCGTACCATCCTTATCCCTGTCGTCGAAGGCCTTTTTGATGTTTGCCGAGTCCTTCTTATTGTGTTGTCCAAAGTCGCTGATGGATGCCTGAATGAACAGCGGTCCAAGCATGAAGTTAAACCGAGGTATCCTTCGTAGCCGCGGGTCAGAACTTTTTCGTGACCGGATCCAAGAGAAGTCCTGCCGATTTGGAGGGTATCACAGTGGGAAAAATCCAGTGAAATGATAATCGGGTTCCTACCGTTGAGATCTGTCGCATTGAGCATGATTGGTTTGGTGGTACATATGAGCTGATGACATAGTGCCGTCTCAAAATCGTCCTCACTGAGGCTGCCGTGACAAATTCGTTCCTTGGTATCCTCAGGTAGTGGAAGCGTCTTGAACAGCTCTAGAAGAGCTTGCTGGGCGGGGCTGCATAAAATGTGGTGTTGAGTCCCGATCTTGCCAACATCCTTGCTCCGATAAATGAGTCCTAGATCCAAGAAGTCCCATTCGAAATCGACTGTGCTTGTGCTGCCCAGAAACGTTTGTAGAAGGGCTGTGTAGAATCGATTCTTGCTATAAGGATCAAGACTCTTGAAGTACAGCTCCGCGATCGAAAAGTAATATTTGGTTCGGCTTTTCGTCCATTCTTGAAGGTTGTCCACAGAGATCGGATCTGCGAGATCCTTGACGCCGTCTGACAGTTTCACAAGCTCTCGTGGAACACAATTCGTGATTTCTGCCACTTCTTTTCTGATGGCCGGTGCTACCAGGCGAGGGTACGTGTCCAGTAAGTTGGAGAATACATTCTTCGATAAGGGGCCTACAAAAACTACCGAAGTAGGTCTATAGCTCTCATCCAGGATCCCCATTTCGTATTTGGCGTGTGCGGTCCCTGTGAAAATCACCCGGGACCCTTTGGCGTTTTCTCCCCACCAGTGGTACGACTTCAGAGGAACCAGCGACTTGAATTTGTCCGGCACATAGGGCTCTTTATGGAACAACTTTCCATGCTCGTCAACAAGCAGCAGCGTCTTCCGATCCCACGACATGAGCAAATCTCGGAAGATCGCCCAGACAGCGTGCGTTGAAACGTGGTATTTGCCGTTGTACTCGTTTACAAGCATCTCCAATTCATTGCCGGTCAAAATGTCTTTGTTGAGTGCCAGGAATCGCCTGACCAGCTCCAGCTTTGACTCCTCCTCCGTTTCCGTGTGCAATAGCCCCGCATCCGGAATGTAGAGGACGAGCCATCCTTCCGCATACGCCCTTGCCGCAAGGAAATAGGACAGATAGGACTTGCCAACGCCCATCGGCCCGAACAGAACTCGTCTGTACGTTCTGTCTTTGTCGCCTTGCATATCTCACCAAAACTCCAGCATCTGCTCCGTAACGAAAAGCCTGTTAGGTTGGCCGTGAAGCCCAAAGTCCTTCGGTTCTTGACCTATACTTGGCATAGTGATTGAAACACCGGCTCGAAGGTCGTCTTTGAGATGATTGAATTCTATGCGTGGTTCGGGTACAAATTTTGTGCTCGCGAGAATTTCGATCCACGAAGGAGGTAGATCGACAACTTTTCCATCGAAAGCCGTATATTGTTTCCAGCCTTCGGTAATACGGATTTTTTTGTTGCTTGGAAAATCTAGTTCTATTTCATAATAAAATAAGATTAGACGAAGCACGAAGTCGACAGGAATCAATACACGAAAGCATACAGGAGAATTCTCACCATCAGGAGGTAGCCTCTTGTGAGAAATGTTTTCGCTGGCAAGAGGCGATGGGACTAAACAAAAGGGAGCATAAGAATATGGAGAAATTAGTTTAAATTTGTCCACATGGAATGGACACACCATGAACATGGCTAAATTAAAGAAAGCAAATCTGCATTGCCTGGCGGAGGTCGCTGTACAAGGATGTGAATTGTTTTCTTAGGCGGCGTCTTCAAAGACGTCTGAGAGGCCGTCTGTTGGGTCAAGGTCTGTTGCCGACTCGTATTCGTTCAGGAAAATCGGTTTGTGTTTGTTGGCAGCAACAACTGATATTGCGACGCTCCAGAGGATGAGCTGGTCCACGGTGATGTCGTCGAATGCGGGTGTTTGTTTCGTTTTGATTAGGTCCTTGAGGTGAGCAACGGTACGTGTCGCAGAGACCTCTATCTCGAATGCCTTGGATGAGGGTAGTCCATCAACAAGACAGAGCAGAGTCAGGCTGTCGTCGGTCATGGTGTTCGGATGTAAAGTGGATGGAGAAGAAGAGTATTGAGGGTGCATAGGTCAAGAGGAAAGGCGAAGGACGAAAGAAGAGGAAGAAAGAGGAGGAAGAAAGAAGAAGGGATGAAAGAAGAAAGGCGAGGGGGATGGAAGTGAAAAATGTGAAGGCGCAGAGGAAGAAAGGGGTGTGAGTGGTGGCAATGGCAAAGTGAGGAAGCAGTGGCAAAGGCATGGTGATGGTCAAGTCACTGAAGAGAAAAATGAAATTGACTTGCACTTTGCCCTCTGAAATCGGCACGAGTACTCCATACAAGTAAACAATCCAGAAGCGCTTATTTGAATGATGCTTGACAGATATGGGAGGGAGAACGAACATAAAGGGATCAAAAAGCAACGTCGCTATGAACGCTTGGCTGCCACAAGCCAGGGGGGAGGGGGGGGGGAAGGAGGATGAAATAGAGCTGCGCATTTGTATACTAGACAGAGTTTGATGATGGTGCGCGCGTTTGGATGGTCTCTCAGTTGCTAGGACTCTTAGCCCGCATCTTTTTTTTTTTTTTTTTTTTTTTTTTTTTTTAATAAAAGTTCGCGGCCCGATGCTATATGCACACACCTCGCAAAGACGCGTACAATATCATTGCTTCCTTTGAAAAATACGGCGAGTTCATTCGTTTTTTTTTTCTTCGATAATATACAATTTTTAGCCTACTTTGCCAAACAGAACTCCTCCTCCTCCCTGTCTTCCTCGTCTTCCTCGTCTCTCTCGTCATTGCTTCTTCTCATCCTTCTCATCCCGTCCTCCTCTAATGTTTGCTACCACATACAAATATCCTACACCACAATCTCTTCCACATTCGTCGTGCTCATATCCTTACAGCTCCCATCCGCCATCCGTACCATCGAGTCCACACTATGTCTCCGACTCACCTGCCCACTACCAATACTTCCATAAGCACTCCACCCAAACGACTGTCTCAACGACGACGGCCTCGCCTGGGTCTGCCTCTCCTGCGAATCCTCCTCAACCTCATCCGCAAAGAACGCCGGCATCCCATCATCGAACCCCCGTCGCATCTCCACCTGTCTATTGTTCGTCATCGTCGGCAGATACGGCTCCTCACCATCAAACATCGCCGCCGACAGAGAACTCGTCTCGAGCTCGGTCTTGATCCTGCCAGTGCTTCGACGATGATGCAGGCTGCCACTGGAGTTACTACCGATACTGCTCAGGTTCGAGGAGGAGCTGTGACTCAATTGCCCATCGCTCGAGGTATGTCGAAGGGTATGCAGGTGCTGGCTATGGTTCCTGCTGTGAAGATGCTGGTGCTGGTGCTGTGGTGAGCTGTTCAGTGGTGCCTGCTGATGAAGCGAGGTGTTCGTCGTCGTCGGTGGCGTCGCACCGAATCCTCCGTGGTCCTCCTCCATCTCATCGAACCCCCCAAACGCCTGAAGTCCTGAATGTGCGCCATGTCGACTGAGGTTCAGCTGCGAGTGCAGACTCCGTTGTTCCATAAACTCCGAGGGCTCGTACGAGAACGAAAAGTCCCTGTTATTCAGCAGCTCAGAGTCCTGTCCGATGTGGATCGTGCCCCGGACGGGAGGTGATTCCGGTGTCGAGGCAAGGAGCAGATGTGATCTCGATCCGGAATAAGAGCGAAGCGAGTATGAGCGGACAGAGGATGCGGGTTCGCTAGGACTGGACGCTGGATGATGTGGGATATCCTCCTTGGAGGGGGCAGTATCCGGCCGCCGATGGTGCTGCTGTCCACTTCGTAGATCCACGCCATTGCTATCGTCCGTAGTGGATGCGTTCTGATTCTCTCCCGCTTCCTCGGAAGCGCCCGATGGCTGTGGATCGACCATTTCATAGTCAGAACTCTGAGAATCCTGCTCGGTTGACTTCGTCTCCAGTCCAGCAGATTCTCCCGTCAATTCATCCTTCTCGTCGTCATCCTTCTGTACCTCCAAAGCCATTACGATCCCTTCGGGTGATGGTGACCGCCCGTCGGACTCCTTGAGGGTTTCAACATCCTGGTCCCTGTCCAGCTTCACTGTTTCTGAGGGCTCGTTCGTGGAAGATGCCGTATCCTTTGATGTTTTCGCACTTAACTCCTGTGTGGACTGGACATCGTTCGCTACAGATGCGGTTGTTGTGGTGGTGGTAGTGGTAGTGGTAGTCTTTTTGATCACGACCTCCTTGGACTCCACAGACGAGGCATCTCCAAAGAGGTGTCGGTCTCTGGTCGCAGCGTTGGTCAGATTCCGTGCTGTCGAGAAGGTGTTATGCTCGTGGTACCCATAAAAGTTGGACATGATCGCATCCGGCTGTGGGGTCGTTGTCCCTGTCGTTCCAGCACCTGATGTTGGGATGATGGGTGTAGGAGGTAGAATAGAGAAGATCGACGAAAATTCATCCGTGGTCGGGTAGATGCAATACGGGTCCGGCCCCTGTGTGGTCATCTATAATAGTTTTCGAGAACGAGAAGTTAAATACAATCGTCGTCAGTAATGTGAAAAACTTTTCAGGCTGCGCGCGCATATCTGAAAAGGCCTCTCTTTTTTTTTTCTTTTTTTTTTTTTTGTCAAAAAGACTTACGGGCTCCAGAATTGCATCGTTCAAGCCTTTGTTTGCGATCCTTTCGTAAATATCGACCTCGGCTCGCACGATAGTCGACGTCTTCTGTAAAATCAGCTGCAGGTTTGCCTGCTCGCTCTCCAAGTTGCTGAAGTAGTAACCCAATTTGATCCGCTCCAGTTCATCGACCTGCATCGTCAAGGTCGTAAGTGCCTGCCGAAATTGGAAGAGGTCTAGATTCGAAAACGAGATAGTAAAGGGAGGTGAGTCAATTAGCTATGCATCAGCAAACAGAGAGGGAATGAGAGAGATAGCATGTCTGGTATGGTTTGGGATGGTGCTGTTGATCCCTTTTTCACACTCCAGGTTTCCGGGTGTGCAAGTGATTGTGCCGCAACGCCTTTCGACTGCGTCTATTTTGACCCCGCAGAAGGTCGAAGCTGGACAAAGCAAGTGTATGGTCTCAAAAAAGGAGTCGAACGAATCAATAAAGCGCAGGGTCGAGGGGTCGACCAAACAGGAAAAAAGCCTAGGGTCGTGATCTCCATAAAGTAGGCAGTAACTGGCCAGCAGCATCAAAAGGGCTGGATAGGATAGGTCGTAAGCTGTAAAAAAGGAATGGGGAGGGGGGTATCGAACACGGGGATGGTGATGATTGGAGACAGGCGTCGCTGTCTGCCCAGCAGATAAAGGGGCAGCGCGTGCACGGCATAAAAAAAGAAATATAGCGTCGACGCGTCTTGAGGGTCGATTGTCCTGCAAAGTCGATCGAGCAATAGGAAGCCGCCACTGGCGAAGCAAAAAAGGGGAAGGAAAAGACCGCCCCATAAATGTAAATTGCTTTGATGGCCATTTGCGGCAGTTTCCCCCTCCCCCTCTCTTTATCCCCCTTCCCTCGCCCGAAGGAATATTCTGTGTGCAAAACCCGATGAAAAAGCTGCCCCGAAAAGGAGAGCAGTACGCCATCTGCAGCCCATATGACCCATGTCGAATGCATATATACTTCATACTGCATGCATGATGATTGGTAAGGAATAAATACTGGGCTAACAGGAGCACCAATGCATTGTGCCTGGTTTTATCAATTGGCCCACACTCACTCCAATTCCTTCAACTCCAATTGCTAACCTGGCTAGCTTGCCTGCCCAGGGCTAAGAGAAACTTTTAAAATGAAAACGAGGACTATCTTGACAAAAGAGAGCAAGACAAACAGCTGTACCAAAAAAAAAAAAAAAAAAAAAAAGAGAGTATGGTATGTTGATGGATCGCATAAGCATGGAACGAAAACCACAACAAAGAACCAAAACAACCAAAACTCAATGGACAAACCATTTCCCCAAAGCATACCGCCACACAGCAGTGGGAAAAAAGGTTTGAAGAAACAAAAGAAAAAATGCCGAGGAGATTGAATGTGTCAGAAAAACATACCTCGCTGTCGTTTACGACCGTTCTGCAATGAAGTGGCCTCGGTCTCCTTGATCTTCTGGCTCATATCCCTCATCGATCGCTCATACTGTGCCTCACTGGCCTCGATGTTGGCCTTGTGGGTGTCGAGGTGCTGGAGCAGTGGAATCTCGAACTGCTTGTACAACGTGTCACTCTGAATGATGACAGTATAAAGAAAAACAAAGTAGAGTCAGGCGATAGGTCGGGGATCCATCTTTTTTTTTTCTTCAAATAAACCAGGCGTTACTGGTAAAAGGGTAACGTTTCGCTTCCTTACCAGGATCTGATGATGGTTCGACATTAGATAATGCAACCCCGCGGCAGCTTGGAGACTCGATGCTGTGACCAATAATAAAGGTAGGAGTATTTTTTTGCTGGTTAGGAGCATTGTCAGTGACAAGACAGGGGCGGACTCATGCTGATCATGAGTCCCAGTCATACCCATGATGACGATAACGGTGATGAACGATCTCAAGTTCGAGTCAAGTCAAAGTCAGTTGGGGTGTGTACGTACAAACATTGGATGGATCCCGAACTGCGGCCTTGGAGTGTGCGATTTTCTCGAGGGCGTATCCAAAGTTGGCGGCTGTCTTGGAGAGGGCAAGCATCTGCAGGCGGTAGGCCTTTGCGCTTGTGAGCAGTAACTGGATCTGGTCGACAGAGGTCTGCTGGTCCCCACGGGTGATGATGACCGCAGGTCTGCCCATTCGACTGTTCTCTGGGCCCGAAAAGGACGGGTTGAGGGTGGTGGGATCAATTAGCGAGACAGTTGACAACATGGCGGGCATGTCTCATGGGAGTAGAAACTGGTAACTGAATAAAAGTAAGAACGAAGAGACAAAGTGGACAGAGGACAGAGAAGCGAAGGGGAGAACGTGAAACGGAGACGTGGAGGGAGGGAGGAGAAGGAGGGGAGGAGAGGGGATGATGGAGGGAGGACGAAGGCTGCTGCTAGTCGGGATGGAATGTAATCAGGAACACGGAATCAAGAGAGGTGCGAGAAAATAAGGGCGCGAAGAGGCAGAAAAAGAGGGCCTTTGCAACGTGGATCCAAGGGGAAATATAAAATGGAGAGGGGTGCTGTGGTCGCTGCTGAGAAGTGGCCCCACACTCCAAATGGACTCCCTATTCAGTCGCTGCTAAGCTCCTATTGGCAATGCCATGCGCCGTATTATCTCATCCGAAGGGGGCGAATGGATCATGCCATGCAGCAGCAACAAGGGGTTGGTTCGTCGGAGTAGAAAACACAAAAGAATGTGCGTGTTCCTGGCTGTGGTGCCAAGATGATTACCAACGTATGCTCCATCGTGCATCCTATTTCGTTCCAGGGGCTACCCTGACCCGTTCTCCATCCCTCGGCAGGAAGTCTCCAGCCTGGAGCTCACCCTCGAGTCCTATCTCTCAGGAAACTAAGACTAATTTTTCCCACCAAATGCAGTCTGTTTCAGGCGCAGTCGACCTTATTGGTCGCCACCAATCGCGTACCAATCAAGGCCAAAGAACGACATGCTAGAGACCATGACGCCTTCCTTGGGGACCTGGCAGCAGTAGGAACCGGTCTCCGATTTGCAGCGGTTCCTTCTATCACAGGTGAGCTGAACAAAGCTCGCCTTAGTTGCTTATGTAGGTAGATATATGGATTGTGCTGAACAGGAGGCCGCTGGCTCCTCATCCCAGCCTGCTCTTTTCCTCGACTTCCTTCTCATTCCTCATCGTTTACATTCCTCATGACCCGGAAAAACAACAACGACTGAGTCAACCTCAGCAGTCTGACCGAGGAGACGTATTACCCCGCAGTAAGGGCCCGGCAATACAGGGACTGCAGAACCGTATCCGAACCCAGGACCTGAAGGCATACGCACTTGCCTGTCGCTACTTGAACAGGCATTACAGCCTACACCTGCTCCCTTCGAGTTTATCCAGGCAACACCTCCTATAACACTCGCCCTCCCCTCCGACACGAGGGAACCTGTGCGAACTCAACCACGGAAATAAAACTGGCGCCCTTCAGCACCACGGCGACCACATCGACACATTCTACTTCATCTTCGCAGACAAGGCCACACTCAAGTCCATCCGAACCTACTGCCCCTCTGTCACGACCCTATCCATGCTCTTTGGCACCATGGATCATTGATCAATACCGGCAATAGTGGGAAAATTTCTTCAGGAGGATGCCCCAACTCACAACGATTGAGGTCCAGTTCGATTCATCTTGGCCATATTCATGAGCCTCTCTCACAGATACGGGACCTCAAATCCTTGACCGTGTATGTGTATTACTCAAAGTACTTGACTGCCACGCATTTATCCTCCCCAGGCGTCCATAGCGATTCTGGACTGCTGCACCCATATCCAGGAACTCCCGAGCCAGCTGAAGGAGGGAAATAGGGTCCACGGTAGGGGACCTTCAGGTAACGTGGTGGAAGAACAGATGAGACAGCCGAGACGGTCTCGACGAGAGAATACATCGAAGGTAGAGTACGGCTTTCGAAGGCCCATTCGTATGAGTCTTCAGAAATGATGGATTCACTCGTTTCGTTTTTCAGACGCAACCCTGAAACGCCAGACTACGAGCTGATGGAACACAGGACCTGAAGGCTAATACCGTGGTCTTCGACGATGAATATCGAGGTCTTCTGCAATCTGACGGATCATTGTCCATTCCTGGAGGAATTGATCATGAACGGCAAATAGAACGAGTCCACGGACAACATCTGGAAAACCCTCGCGGTATTGGGTGTCCCTGGCCACGAGCGTTGGTGATCCACAACTGCGAGAGTCGGCATCTGTCCAGCCCCTAAACGCTGCTCAGTCATTTTCCTCAACTGAGGAGGTTCAATGAAAAACCAGATCTGTCGAACGTTGGGTTTAACCTCGAAAGTAACCGCACAGGAGTTGAAAGGAGATTTATCCTTTCAAGCACCTTCGTCTTATGGGATCGATTTTCCTGACCGATCAAAGTGCGTATGGGTATCATCACCAAGCGTTCGGTGACCGTGTCCGTGTCGGCTAAACGAGCGATAAATTCACGACAGCGACCAGCAGCGCTACCGGTGCCATATGAGCTCAATATGGTGTGGCCATGTTAGAATAGTATCACATCTGGATCTGATGGTGACTTAATTCCTGGACGAGGAAGTTTTCAGGAGAGGTCCTTGGTCAAATCCAGCGGCTACCACGACTGCGATACCTCGATAATCCATATCCATATGCTCCTGGCCATGGCAGCGGCGAGGGTGTCTCGGCCAACGAAATCTACATCTAATCTGGGCCACCACGATTCGACAACGCGGATAGGGTTCTTTTGAGCTTCCAGCATTGCAAGTCTCGGTGGGGGGCATTAGAGTTGAGATACCGATTATGTTTGATGAGGTTGCATATATGGTCGATGCGTCTCCGTGAGGTTGGTATCTTACACGTTTGGAGATAAAGCGCTCTCGGAGGGTTTTCGTAGATGTTGGCATTCCTCGGCTGTGTTAAATAAAACGAGAAGCTGAGGACGACCAGGCGGCTGTTGGCGCAGGGTCTGCTTCCTGTGCCCTGAATATGTTTTGCCACCAAAAAAAAAAAAGAGAGATCTGGTTCACTCAGAAGCAACGGACTCCTCATTAGTCGCCGCTAAGCAAGTATCCAAAGAAACCATGGTGCCCTCTCCAAGCACCATGGGATATGCAAGTACTGGTTCTTTACATGCCCATCCCTTTCATCGGCACTGGGATAAAATAATCTACTGCGCTGCATCCTGTCCCCCAAGTTTACTGCAGCAGCAGATAAACACATCTGCAGGAGCCTCATCTGGGCCTATTCCCTTCATTGCCTTTTCTCCCATTCATCATCATTTACATGCCTCATGAACCGAAAGCATCAGCAACTGAATAAACCCCAACAGCTCGGCCAAGGGGCTGTATTGCCCTGCAGCAGGGTCCTGGCGATTCAAGAGTTACAGGACCTTATCCGAGCCCTCCTTCCCTTTCGGGACCTGAAGACATGCACACTTGTCTGCCGCTACTGGAACAGGTACTGCAGGCACCTCCAGTTCCCTGTGTCCCTTGGATACCCTGGCGGACTAACACCGCATCCTCCCTTCTCCCCCTCCTCGGGGTCTCACATAGACTGTTTGAGCCATACCTATGGACACGACTGGACTTGCACCAACTCGACCGTGGCAAGCGAACGATCCTGCGTCGCCACGGCACCTACATCGATGCACTCTACTTTGTCCACGCTTGCAAAACCAATTTCAAATTCATCCGTACCCATTGTCCCTCTCTCACGACCCTCTCTCTAGTTTTCGACAGCGACTCCACCTGGATCAGCTACTCATACCTCGAAAAGTTCTTCAAAAGGATGTCCCAGCTTACCACTCTCCAGATCCTCTTCGATGCCTCGACATTCAGCCCCGGCATGTTCTGGAGCCTCTCACAGCTGCGAAACCTCAAGTCGTTGATGATGGATGTGTATTACACAAAATATGAGAGCTCGAAACATTATCCTCCGGAAGCCTACCTGGCAATACTGGATTGCTGCACCCATGTCCGAGAACTGATCGCGGGAGGGATGTTTCTAGAACCGACCGAAGTGGCAGGGCTCTATGTCAAGAGCTCGGTTATGCAGCGGATGAGCAAGGTGTTAAGGCCTCTGCGAGAGAACGCACCGGCAACTGCCCTGGAGGCCATGGCGGCCGTGGAGCGGTCGAGTTCGCATGAGCGGTCAAGATCGACAGGGTCAAGGCTTTCGATTTTGAAGCGCAGCTCTGTAAGGATGGCGACATTTCATTCGAAAAGCCATAGCGACTCCATGAAAGCGGCTGCAGTCTCTCCAGTGGAGGTGCCTTCGCGATCGGTGACGTATCAGATCCGGAGACTGGAATTGAAGTCATCCAGGATGGATATCGATGTGTTCTGTACGCTGACAAGTCGTTGTACGCTTTTGGAAGAACTTGTCCTGGACGGCCTTTGGATCAGGATCACAGATGACACATGGAGAACACTTGCTGTGAAGTGCCCACGGCTACGAACCCTAAAAGTATGTGGCAGTGGGGATCAGTACCTTCCCAGCACACAGACCCTGATCACTATTTTTCCTCGGCTCGAGACCTTAAGCTTGATGACAATCGAGTTCCGCACCGACCCGGATTTGTCGAATTTAGGGACAACACTGCAGACGATCAAGCAGGCCCAAGGCGATACGCATCCGCTCAAGAGCATTCATCTCTCAGGATCGATTTTGAAGCCGCTCAAGGTGCTCCTGGACATTGTCACGCAGAGCTCGACGGTCGAGTCCTTATCTGTGGGGTTCACATTGACTGCGATGCGGGACATAGCCCAGGAGCCAGGGATGCCCTATGAGCTCAAGAAACGATGGCTGTGTCAAGAGAGTCTGATGCACCTCGATTTGACGTCGATCGCGTTCCAGGACAAAAAGATCTTCAGTAAGGTGTTTGGACATATTCAACGACTGCCGCGACTACGATCTCTCCGGATCTCTGTGAGCCATATCCGTGAGGCCTGGTTCTTTACGACGCGTAGTCGTAGCCGGGGCGAGCCTCGAAATGGAAGGTCTTCGAATCGAGAAGGAGCTTCACCATTGACGTATTCGATATCCTCGTCCTCGACGCCTGATCTAAGAGGATTGTCGTCGAATGGGTCTAGGTCTAGACGGACAGGGTTCTTTTGCTTTTCGGCGTTGGAGGTATTACGGATCGGGGTGCCGTACTTTGTGAACAATAACTCGTTCGAGACGCCGATCGTGTTTGATGAGGTCGTGTATATGATCAACGCGTCGCCTCGACTGAAGCAGGTTGAGCTGAAACATTTGTCCGAGTCTGGGATGATCAAGCGACTGTCCGGAGCGTATCCGCGAATGGAGTTTTCGTAGGAAGGCACCCGTTTGCTATTCTATAAACGGACTGGGCCAACACTATTGTCCAGTGGGATTTAAGGTTGCATGCAGCAGTCCCTTCTGTGGTGTTTTGTCCAGCTGTTTGGATCGCTATTTGCAACATACCACATGTCACGATGCCGTTGCTTGCTATCATCTGTAGTACGAGAAACTGCTTTTTTTTTTTTTTTTTTTTTTTTTACTTAGGGCTATGTACGATATATCGGGTTATTATATACAATTGTGGAAGGACGAATGCAGGGCAGGGAAGTCTTTTTTTTTTTTCTTCTTCCTGTGACTCCTTCTCCTGCTCCTGCTTCTGCTCTTCCCTCTAGTGCTCGCATGACGAGATATGGCGAACGGGTGCACTCGGTCCTCTAGAATAACCTCCCCTGGTCGACCATGCCGATCTTTGGGTAACGTCTGGGTGCTGGGCGGATGGTGAAAGATTCACTGGTGTGTCCGTTATAATCGTAGATGTGAAACTTGCCCCTTGAGAGCTGCAGATCCAGGGTCGTGGGGATGGTCCATTGAAAGGAGTCGGCTCCGGAAGGGACCTGGCCAAAGGCGGAGATTTTGGTGGCGCGATTGTCACAGTAGCGCTCCTCGTCTGGCAGGGAGCCCCTGCAGGCACGGGTGGTGTATTCGAGGTAGAGCATGGTGTTATTGCTGTCGTTCTTGGACAGGGACCGGCCTAGACAAGGGTGGGCATGAGCATGTTAGCAAGGGCGGAGATGCAAAACGAAGGCGATGCCTGATACGGTGGGTCGCCCCCCCCCCCCCCCTTGGGTGCAGAAGATGCATGCATGCGAACATTTCTCGAGGAAGGGAAAAAAGGGGGATGAGATGTGTGTGTGTGTATGTATGTGGTGGCGGTGGTCAATCGCTTGATCTGTCGAGGGGCAAGAGAGAGCGAGAGAGAGAGAAGGCACTTACGGAAACGGATGTTGACGGTCTCCCCGAGGTTCCAGGTCGTGTACCTTGAAGGGGAGGTGATGAATTCCGTGGAGGGGGCTGCGGAGGCCTGGTTGAGGGAGGAGGAGGAGAGGACGGTGAGGGAGAGGAGGATCATGGAGGAGAACGTGCGCCTCCACGAGACGGAGGAGTGTCTGCGGCAGTGCGATGCACCAGCAGCAGCAGCAGTAGTGGTAGTAGTCATATTGTAAGACAAAGGGGGGTCTGATTGGTGGCAACGACTCTGACTATTGTGGACAGGAATGTGGACGGAGCGAGTGGGGAAGAAAGGAGAAGACAGAGAGGGGAGAGAGAGAAAGAAAAGAAAGAGAGTGAGAGGGAGTGGTAATCGATTCGCGAGCAAAAGGGGGCACACATGCTGGAACCGCCTTTTTTATATGTATGCTTCCTTATTTTGCGGTTTGACACAATGCACAGGTAACAAACAACCGGCGGTATGCACCACTCTTATCCCCCCTAAAATAGTCTGGTGCAAGAGAGAGAGACATGCATCTCCCCGTCCGTCGTCATCGTTTTCCCTTCCCAAGTCCGCTGCATCGCTTTTTTTTGTGTTTGTTTCTGGCTAGTATTCAAACCCAAAAATGCTTGGGCCCACCCGCCTGCTCCAGCACACCACACAGTCCACTGCCCACTCATACGGTGGTCATGCATCAAGAGGAGACCCTCTTCAATCGTCATCATGATCGCCGGTCACCCACCTCCTCTTTCCTTATCCACATCTCTCTCTCTCCCGGCAAAACCCCCAAGAGGAAATCTTCCTTCTCCCAATCAATTGCGGACCCACAGTGAGCGAGAGATTGAGAGAGAGAGAGAGAGGGCTCCATGTTCCAGCTCAGCAAGTGTGCAGCTAATTTCACGCAGTGTCCATGGAAGTCCTAGCCTGAACCTTCTGTTTCGACTGCCACACCCCAATAGACTATGTGAGAGCACATGGCGCAACTCCGGGTCCACGTCCATCGCCCTCCTCCCCCGATTCAGTGCCGCCCTCTGCCTCTCTCTCGTTGTTAACACTAAAACATAAAATATAAAATATACAGCAGAATAATTATTTCCCACCGCTCTCATTCATCTCACTTCGCCTCGCTCGGCTGTTTCCCTGTCGATTCGGTGTTATATTTTTTTTTAAATTGCATTTGTGTCCGTACAGCGGGGCGTGTACACCTCTTCCTCACGCTCGCATGCTTGCTCCCTGCTCTCATCTCCTATCGATTTTCCGTAGTTTCCATGCCGTCCAAAACTGGGTTATACCATGGCGGCCGTTCTGGGTGTGTGACAGTTATGGACCCCATTGGAGTTTTGGGTTTGGATAAAAATAGTCAATTGGGTAGATGTAGACTACTCATCAACCGCGGAGCCTTAGCTCCGAGGCGGAATGTTTGGAGAACCCCCCCTCTCCTGCGCCGACATAATTTCGTGGCACAACGAAATAAGGTTAAGAGATGAACGGATGACACAGCCATGTTGATGCATCGCCTCGGATTCGCGAATGGCGAGGTATCCCTCCTCCAGGCGCCACCAAGATAAGGAAAAGCTTTTTTAGCGCCGGAATGTCTTTGCACTTCGACCTGCATTCCTGGGTGGCCGATCGCGTCTAGACTAACCTGACACCAACAGGAATGGGCATCCTGTCATTGCATTATACCGCGCGCAGGGATCAGGATAAATCGACCGTCTAAAAGACGGTCTCCTGCCCTGACGTTCTTGTTTATTTTTTCTCATTCGATGAAGAAGGGCAGTGCATCACTGGTTTACATCGAAAAAAAATAGAAGGTGCGCTTTTTAATTAGGTTTCGACCTCGGACAGCTGTTCTTGAGCCATCTACTCTCGTTACTCTGCTGGAAAGGAATTCCTCAATCGGTCTGTACCACTGTTAACGTGACAAGTTTCGATGGAGCGCGGGAAGGGTTTGCCCCTTTCAACATACATCCGCGCAAAGACCCTGTTACACAATATTCTAAGCAGGCACTGCGTGTCAGCCAAAAAAAAAAAAAAAAAAAAAAAAAAAAAAAAATATGGGAAGCCAAGAAACAGAACTAGTCCAATGGAGGAAAGCGGCTTTCGCACAAATTGCGTCACTGCGACGAATGGGCCAGGGCCTGCAAATTTGCTAGTTAAACCTTACGGTTAAAGGGTACGGCCACGTCCTTCACATCGAATGTTCCACGCATCCAAGCTTTATCTGTCCTGTCGCGCTCATCCCTCTTGAGAAGATTTTATGAAGAAGTCGCCTAAGACATCATAAGAAAAGCTGAAAATAAGCCTCGGTTCTGTCCATGTGCGTCTTTATTTGTCGTCCATTTTGTTTGATTACCTGTGCAGAAATGAGAGGTCCCAAGCCAAGCAACAGTCCAGACTCGTATGGGCTCGACACCAGCCTGAACTTCCCCAGATTTTTCAGCTTGTAAAATGCCTCAGAGCGAAGACTGATGCTGTAGACATCTATCTCCATGCCTTGTCCATGGATCAGAATCACAGGCGTAGGGAACCCATCTTGAAAGAGACCGTCGGCGACCTTCTTGCCCATTATGACCAGCTTCTTGTAGTCTTTTCTCATATCCTCTGACGATGCGACAACCGGTTTAAATTCATCAGGAATATAGGAATGCTCGCCGAACGATACCTGGTAATCAGGGAACTCCAGAACGGAGTCAAGGTTCGCCCTGCTGGCAACATTTGTGATTAGAACATGATCACATACTTACCATCGAAACATAGAGCCCGCAAACATGCCGAATGCCGCTGCAAGAATGGGCTTCAAGAGGGCGTTTATTAATGTATCCTCGCTACTGCCTCCCCCTGGCTGATACTAGTTTGTGTGGGCCCACAGGCTAACCTCGCTGAAAAAAATTGGACACAGCACGGTACACCATTGAGCTCCCAATCATCTGCTCCCCTTTAAACCAATCCTGAGTGGCCTCAAAGCCGCACGCATGTCCCTGGCTGTGCGCACAATTGCGCCACGAACTTCTGCTCTGAAGGGGAAGCGCATGGGGCCTTTGCATCCGGAGAAACGTCGTTAATGACATCACTTAAAATATCATCAGGCAGCACAGACACCAACAAGGCCTTGGTAACCGCAAAGTTGACCAAACTGTAACTAAACAAGCAACTAAAAGATGAAAGGTTGAACTTGAAAAGATTGCAATAAAGCACCATTAAACCAAACATACAGCCGCTCGTGCTCCGTTGTTGCTTGTGCTTTACTGGCATGGGTTCCCGGCCCTACGAACTAATCGATGTCTTTTGGACATGGGATCTCACCAGTGATATTCTCATCACTTGTATCCTCTAACTGGATCAAAGTTTGGATTATTAAAGTGCGCATTAGCCTTCCTTCTACAAATCAATGTTCATCGTTTGTCAATATGACCTCTAGTCCAAAGACTTTTGGGTTTCAACGTTTTCTACATATAGTCGCGACTAGATGTCCCGCACTATAACCAAGCGGTCTGGCCTAGAGAGACGCAGAAACAAATTGGAGAGAGAGGCGAGATTAGTCGTGATGTCTTTCAAGAGAGAGAGATTACAGGGTCGCTAAGGATCATCATCGACCACTTACTTTCTGGACAAAGTACGATTGGAATGACTCATGCAAAGAAGATAGTTCGGTCTCTGGAGGCCAGTTCCCCAGGCCCACGCCGATCGCGACCTTGTTGCTGTCTTCTCTTTTGGCGGCAGTAGATCCCGCCGGCCGATTTGATAAGACGGTTGGCAATCCACTTGTACTCCTCGCCTCGCGCCCTTCTTGCATCCCATTTGTGTTTCTTGAGGACCATGTGGCTGTTGTAAAAGGAACCGGAGTGTGCCTCCAGGTCCTTGAGCTTGCCAACGTAGACTCTGCTGCTTGCTCCAGAGCCGGCTCACGGAGAAGGAGTCATCTTTGCATTACATATCCTCAACGGTCGCGAGTGCTTGTGTGAAAGGTCTTAAGAAGTGTAGGAGGCCTACAAACTGCTCTGTTGTCGATGCACGAAAACTCCTAAAGAGGTACGGAAGTCCTCGCTGGTCACATTCTTGCTAAATACTTGACTATGATCTCCGCATCTGTCAAAAAAAAAAAAAAAAAAAAAGAAAAAAGAAATGAAAAGGAAAAAGAAGCCATCATCAGAACACGTCGCAAGCGTCGTCAAACACAACATTGGACATACTGTCCTTCAAGTACCTGATACTTCTAATGATATGATAGTCTCGTGGCTGATAATCATCCCAAGTGATGCGATGTGGCAACTGTAGTCGTTTTTAGATGCACCCTGGAGACACAAAGATTCTGCAACGCACTAGGAACGTCGCACACCAAGATCTTCCTTGATATCTTTACTAGATGGTCCCTGTAGGCGATGTGCAAGAGGGTTCTCGAAGCGATGCACTGGGTCTGCAGCTCGGAAAGAATAAATTGTAACAGGCGTAACTTTGGGCGATCTTTATTGCTGTTCATGGAGTGATTGTATATGCTTATCTCCTTGTTCCTAAGTGCTATGCAGTCTGGTTTACTGCGACAACTCGCGAATGAATGAAAAACAAATTCAGGGACAGAGCGTCTGCCTGAAAGAGGACACCGGATTGGCGGCCTTAGGCCATGGTTCCATCAACTAAGTGTCTGTTGAAGCGACACACCGGGCACGTCGACCCCCAAGCTGCATGACAGGCCCTATGAAATCGATGCCCACAAGCAAGCTGTACGTAACCGCACATGGCTTTCAGACAGATGGTGCAGTCGTCAGGCTCATTCAGGCTTACTGATTCGATAACTACTCGTCGCCAAATTGCCTGGGTACCATCATGGTAGAGCTCGTAGCCTGCCTCAGGCTTGACGATCTTCCAACTTGAGGTATACTGCTCCCCTGTGGCGTCCTTGATGGCATGGATCCTGTACTTGCAATTCACAAACCCAACGGCGACAGGGATAACTTTTTCATCCTGTGTCTTGCAGAGCGAGCAGTAGAAGGTCGTTTGAGATATTTCGAGAAGCCCATATCCCTGTGGACAGATGATCCCGTATCGCAGATTACATTTACATTCGCACTCAACGTTGGCGCCATCGTACGCCTTTCGTCCACGTGGAGCATCCGAAGATTTTCGTCCACGCGAAACATGAGATGATAGCCTGAAGTTACAGAGACCCGGTGTATCCCATTCACCCGAATGCAAGATTCCCGGAAAAGAAAGTTCGCCGCCACCACCCATAAACGGAGCGGCAGTTAGGGTCGATCCAGATCGGAACTTGTAATCCCTCAGGGTCTTATTATTCTCCAGCTGTCTGCCTCTCACGCCGATGAAGAGCGTCAGCTCGTCCAGGTGTGTCCCTCCCTTGGCATAGATCTTCTTTTTGACTTGGCGAATAGTGTCATCGGGGTTACAGTTGATGTCGGTGACCTCGCCAGAAAATGTCCTGGCATGAATCATCCATTCGCCCTCCTTCAGATTTTGATAGGTCAAACAACTTCCAAAGATGCTGTAATCGGAAAGGGATTTTTGGAGATCCGTGATAGGAATGCCATTGACGAAGAGGACATGATCCTGCTCACCGCAACTATTCTCCTTTAGCATGAGAGCGATACGCGTTAGGAGGAAGTGAACGGGCTCCTGGGGCTGAAAGGGTACGGCTAAAGACTTGCCAGGTTCGGCAGCGATGAGGACGGTGACGGTTGGGGGAGGCATTGAGAAGGAAGTGGCGGTGAAGGCCAAAGGAGGAAAAGACAAAAAAGTCTTTTTTTTCTTTTTTCTTTTTTGCCGTACTTTGAATAGTAGACGCGGAAAATAAAGACCGCGATCAAGGACAGCGGTAGACGAAAAAAAAAAAAAAAAAAAAAAAAAGCAAGCCTTGAGAGTTATCTGGATGCGATACGGCTTCGCGGTTTAGCAATGCATTTCGTTAATCACCAGGTCTTGGTGAAGAACAAGAACGCGACCAGGTACATTCGCGTTTTAATCCATGAAAGGACAGCAGATAATTCAATGAATATATCCTATTGCTTTCACCAAAGAATTCATGTCCTGCACTTCGCTTCACGTCCATCATTCGAGCCACATTAAACGCAACACCAGAAAAAATACGAGGAAGGAAGACACATTCTGGATCGTGATATCGATGTACTGTATTACTGACGACGAAAGCAGGTCCAAAGTATCTTTTCTCTGAGGTTCAATCTAATGCGGAACGCACAGAGACAAAACTTCTAGCGAGAGCGATGCCATGAAAAGGCTCAAAACGAGGAACTTCAAGCGATATTTATTGCAAGCGCATGGCCAACGACCATACTCCTACTGACATCTTAATGCACGCGACGTCTACTTGAATTGATTTTCCGGCAAAAGACTGGAAACCGTAGTGACGGAGAGTAATGACACGGCCTCAAGCCGTAGTGCCATCAACCAAGGGTCTGTTTGAAGGGGCACACCGGACACGTCGATCCCCAAGCAACAAAACAAGTTTCGTGAAATTGATGTCCGCATGCCAGTTGCTTCCCATTGTTCATGAACTTCAAACAGACGATACAATCCCCAAGCTCATCTAGGCTTACTGTCTCAATAACAACTCTTCGCCAATGTGTCTGGTTGCCGTCTTTAAGAAGTTCGTAGCTTGCCTCAGGCTTGACGATTTTCCAGTCCGAGGTACACTGTTCCTCTGTGGCGTCCCTGATCCCATGGAGCCTGTACTTGCAATTCACGAACCCAACAGTGAAGGGCAGAACATCTTCGTTCATCCGATTGCAGTTTCTGCACTGCAAGGTCGTATGAGTTATCTCGATAAATCCATATCCCCGAGGGCAGATAACTCTGTGGCCTGGGGTACACTCGCAATCGCACTCGATGTTGGCCCCATTGCAAGCCCGCCGTCCAGCGATTTCGTTATAAGTAAACATGAAGTTGAAAGTGTCCGTGTCCAACGCATCCGGAATCAGGATTTCAGGGAAGGGAACGGTACCGCCCCCACTATGATACGGGGCGATGCTAAGGGCCGATCCAGATTGGATCTTGTGATCGCCTAGGATTTTATCATCCCCTAGCTCTCTGTCTCCAAGGAAAATCTTCTGGATATCAGGATGAATCCATAACCTGGCATAGACCTTCATTTTGACTTGACGAATGGTGTCGTTGGGGTTATAATTGACGTCGATGGAATGACCATGAGATGTTGCGACATGAATCGCCCATTCCCCTTCTTTCAAGCTATGGTAGACCAGACAACTGCCAAAGATGTTATAATCAGAAAGAGGTTTTTGGAGATCCGTGATAGGAATCCCATTGACGAAGAGGGCATGATCCTGGTCGCTGTAACTATCCTCCTTTAGCCTATGAGCGATACGTCCTAGGATGAGGCAGACTGATTCTTGTGGACAAAAAGCCACTGAGAGGAGCCTGCCGGGCTCGGCAGCGATAAGCACCTTGAGAGTAGAAAGAGACATTGGGGAGGAATTGGTGGTGAGGCGAAACAATGAAATGGTAGAAAGGAATAATTTCAATGCTATGCATAGCGGTCATGAACAAAAGAGACAACAGACAAAACGAAAGCGACAACAAGAGACAGCAAAGAAGCAAGGCTTGATAGCTTCCTTGATGCGATGCGGCGTCCTGGGTCATAGAGGCGCTCCACTCGACACCGGTGCTCCATGAACCACAGGAAAATGCCCAGAAGCTTTCCACGTAGCCGCGATCCTGCCTTACCAAAGACAATTAAGAAGACGCCATATTCTATGCCAGCAATAATGTTTTCTCTACTAGGGATCATTCACCGTAAAAAATAAGGCTGCAAATTATCGTCAATAATTATCGGAGTGGTTCGAAAACAATTGCTCCAACTGCACGTCGACATAGAAGTGTTAACATTGAGGAGCGTAAAAAATCACACACTGACAAGTCATGGCAAGAAGGTCGTGTCCAGGCTGAAATATCGTCCATGAGGTGATCGTTGGGCCGGCACGACGGGCACGAAGACCCTCAAGCTTTGTAATGTCGCCTATAGAATCGACGTCCACAGTCCAGCGTTGCCGTATGATCGATAGAATCCAGACAGCAGATAATACACTCTTCACGTTCGTCCAGTTTTACAAAATCAATAACCAAACGTTTCCAACTAGTCTAATTGCCTACTTCAAACGCCCCGTAGTCTGTCTCACGCCTCACGATCCTCCAAGCGGGTACGTGGTTTTTCTCCAGTGCTAGCTTTGATCCCACGGAAACGGTATTTGCAGTCCAAGAGCCGAACGATTACAGTAATGGCGCTCGAGCTCCCCTGTTTGTATTTCGGACATTAAAAGATTATGCGAAACAGCTCCAGGGACTAAGATCCTTGTGGGATGATTACTCTGTATTCAGGTGCGCAATCGCAACTGCGCTCCATCCGTTTTTCGAACGCTAGTTCCGAGTCAAATAAAATCCCCGGAGTTCGTGGACGGGGGCCCTGCAAATTTCATAACAGGTGGAGCGCCAATGTGTTCTCGAGGTTGCACTCCCTCACCATCTGTAAGCAGCGGAACAACCTGCCTGGATAGCCAAGACTCTGGTCAGACACTAAGATCCCCTCTCGGAGCTCGACCGTCCTCCTGGCGCGCTTGACAGAATCACCGAGGTCTTCTTAATGTCCTTGCGGTAGACGAGAAAGGAGGAGGAAACCCGGTTCGCGGGGTCAAAAGTGCACGGAGAAGGATTTACTGAGTTTAGCAGCGATAAGAGCATGGGGAGTCGAATCAGATATGTATGAGGACTGAAAAAGATGATACGAGAGCTGTGTAGAATTACGAAGAGTTCAGAAGATGAAGACGATAAGACAAAGGAAAGTGTGCACTACAACACATGTAGTTTCCCTTCAGAGTCTAAAAAAGTAACGCGACAACGACAACGGCGTAAGAGCAAACGTCCTCTCAGGCTAAGAAACCCAATCAATCTTGGGCTCATGCAGCTTCTTTTATGACTAGCGCCTTTCATCTCTCAGGAGCACATCAACATGAAAGCATCCCCTAACAATGTCTTCCCTTCACGTCGTCTTCACTATTACCGTCGACACGATGCAATCGAAACACGGACTAAAAAGATTATTAATCGCTTATCGGTCGCGGAAGCGAAATTTATACCATTGTGTTAGCTCAGCGAGTAGAAGTAGATCCTTCCTCTATTTGAGCGAATGGATGGTGCCTTGTTTCTCAACTTTTATCTACTCTTCTCTAAATAATGACCTTGAAGATTTATTTGATAGATAGGTGGATATATACAAACGATAAATACATTTGTTCGCTCAACGCGTCCTCCTGGCTTCTATGCAGATTCATGCGACATGCGCGGTGTCGTAAAATCGCCCAGGTTCCTCTCCCCTCCTGCTCCTGCAGTTCTTCCGAGGATCACGTCCGTACTACCACTCTCTCCTTTCTCATCCGCAAACGTCACGTCCGGACCTCGCTCGTCCCGCCCCTTTGCCTTAGCATCCGCAGCTGACGATGGTCCCGCATGGGCCACCTCCAAATCCTGAATCACCTCTTGCGAAAGTCTCGAACGCTCTCTCGCATGATGCTGCTGCTGCTGCGAATGATACTGCCGTGCCTGGTCCAAGATATTATGTTGCATTAGGCTTGGTGGATCGCTCGATTCCCTACCATGGTATGTATGGTAATGACTTCCGCCCGTCGACACTGTGTGCAACCTGAATTGACTCAGTGGCGAATTGAAGTCTTGATGATGGGAACGGCTTTGCTTTCGTTGCGAGAACCAGCGGGACCGGACGACGAGGAGAGAAGAGATCACGCTGGATTGCATCATCTTGTCAGCTGCGATGCCCAGCATGACCTGACATGTCGTCAGGGTATGAGAAGAATGTGCCTGTGTGTGGATCGACCCTCCGCTTGCCGCGGGCGTTTCGGCGCGTCGACCTCGGGACAACGAACTCATGGATCGGGTTTCCTTGCTGCGAGATCGATCCGAATCTGTTGCGTCAATGGCAGCCGGTCGACCAAGTCGTTCTTCATCAAAGCTGGCGCGTGGCTGAGGCGTCAATGGTTGGCCCGCGGTGCTGAGTCCAGGTGTCGAAGTCGTCAATGCGTTAGACGTTAGATCATGCAGTGATTGTATTCTGTGAGAAATATCCGATCGAGGAGGCGAAAGACTGAGTCCACGTCGTTCCAGAATCGAGGGCGGTGATGCAGACGTCGGGTTTGAGAGGATACGACTATCTGGAGAGCTCAGATGAGCCCCCTCCATCGAGGGTACACGCGAGATCCCAACGGCTTGCTGGCGCGGACTGGGCATACTCTGGCTAGTGGCGGTCTGGGTTGAAAGCGCGTTCGAATCAAAGCCCATGATCATCAAGTCCTGCGCCGTCAAGTAAGTGCGTGCCCATTGGATAGCATCACTCAGCTCCTGGAAGTTCAACGTCATGATGCCCTCCTCTAGTTCGTTCTCGTCAATATTCTCGTCCAGAAGGTTGTATCCCACTCTTGAAAGACTGACATTTCGTTGCAGGATCCGCTGTTGGCGGTGGTTGTGTCCACCCAAGAATGGAGGTTTACTGGGAAAGAATTTCTTGTACAGAGTCTCGTCGTCCTTGGGGACAGTTGTGTCTACGGGCGCCGTCCACTGCTGCGAGGAGTCCCTTGAGTGCAATCCTGCGGCTCCTGGTGTTGGTGGAGCGGATCGATCACTCGAAAACTGACGCGAGCGAGGTGACTGCTGACCATGCAGCTGGAATGTTTGGCTTGGAGCACCGGAGTGGGGCGTGCTCTGCAGCTGCTGAGCTCCTTGTGGTGCGGACGAAATTCGGAGGATGGTGACAAAGCACTGTGCACTCCTTGCGAGGCAGGATGCAAGGCAAAGTGCCTCAAAATCATCCTCACCGCCGAGCAGTGGTACCACCATGTGCTCAACACCACCAAACAGACCAAGCCCGCGATCGACGAGAACTGCAGTGGATATGTTGGAGTCGGCGCTGGATGGAATCAGCTTGGAAAGGACCTTGGTATTCGAGGCAATGCTGGTTCGGTGGCTTGCACCGCCCTGAGAAAGATCCACGTGGCCACCGCTAGCAATCTTTTGCGCCTCGTCGTGATCGAAGTACCGCGAAATGTTATATGGGAAGCCAAGGGGAGGTGCTCCTGGGGGTACTGAATCGTGGGCCATCGATGGAGAACCTGGCATCGACATAGTACTGATGCCAGTTGCTGCTGTATTGGCCATGGAGAGCATGATGCCCGGGTCCAAGTGATTTTCGTTCGACGTCTGCCCTGCAGCATATGATGGCAAGTCAACCAGGTGAGAGGAGTTCCATGGAAACACAATCCAGCCCACGCTCAAATCCTCTGCCCTGTCCAAGATATTCTGGGCAACTGTCGATTCTGCAGCATCTGTCGAAATTGCGACCAAGGGCTTCAATGGGATAGAGTTCAGCTTGGCGAAGGCCATGACCATCATCATGACTGTATCCTTGTAGAGTCGGTCCATACATCGAGAGGCAGTCAACATAGCGGCAGACGTTCGCTCAGAAATTTGCAGTAGGCGGATGGCATAGATCTTTGAGAAGTTGATCTCGCACTCTGGGCCTGACTTGCCGACGTTTGTGGTGCGACTGTTGCCGTGTGGGTCCGAGATGTCGATAGATGGCTGAAGGACGTCCAAATACTGCTTGCCATTCTCAGAATTGCGTCCGGGCTTCCCTGTCTGGCCTCCCGCATCGCCATTCTTAAGTGTAGGGTGACTAACGCGACTGCGGATCATGGCCCCTGAAAACAGTTGAAGCAGGGTCATCACTCCGGGAGCATTGGGTGTCTTGTCCAAACAGAACATGATCGAGTTGCGCGCCTTCCATGGCTGCTCAATCGCCTCTTCCATATCGTTCAAGTCCGCGTTACAAGTAGAGCCATCAATACGCACACTGTCCAAATCCTCGAGCCCTGATCCAGAGTTGGCATAACCTTCCTGGTGTTTCTCTTTATCCATATCCTTGTCGCCTCGCCTACGTCTCAGCTTGCTTGTCAATTTGGAAAAGAATCCCCCTCTTTTCGCCTGGGTATCATGGATATCGTCCTTGTGGCCCTTTGGAGGCAATGCCATGCGTTTGCGCTCAGCTTCTCTTTTAACCTCCAGCTCTTTTTGATACGACACTGGGTAGAGATACCCGACAAAGGGCGTGGAGATCATTGTCAGGATAACGCACATCGCAATCATGATGACAAAGACTCGGTCGCTGATGACGCCGGCGTCATGTCCAATATTAAGGATGATGTACTCGACGAGTCCCTTGCATTGCATGAGAAAACCGATAGAGAATGCCTCACGCCAAGTCATCCCGTTGGCTTTGGCAGCAGTGGTGCAGCCTAGCATCTTCCCAAACATTGAAATGACTGTCACCATAATGACGAGACCCCACGTCTGGCCGTTGTTCAGGAGACCCACTTGCGTCTTTAAGCCAGAGCAAGCAAAGAACTGCTCGTCGCGAAGAAACAATGACGTCGTGTCAGTCTTCTAGCATCTTAATGTGTTTCGCATCCATGTGTCTCAACAAAAGTAACACTTACGATAGGCAAAAAGTAGACACCCACAAGGTCTTCGAGACGACGGGTAAGACCCTCAGCAAAGCCAGAGTCGTGTGGAATCAATAAGCCGACCAGGAATCCACCGAAGATAGTATGAATTCCGATGATGTTGGTGATGAATGAAGTGGACAGAACGATGACTAGCGTAACCGCAATCATTTTTTGGGATGGCTCTTCCTCCTAAAATTAAAAGACCACCAAGGATCGCGTAAGTGTCTATGGTTCCACACGGTCAAGACAAAATAAAGTGCAAACAGTGGTGCATATTAAGGACTTACTGAGTGGGTCAGTCGCACAAGAGACATCAAAATTGGACGCACAACATAAGCCAGGATAAGGCACAATCCGATGCCCATGAGGATGACATAGAGCGGCATGATCGGGGTTGTGGCATTGATAAGACTGACCAAGAGCGCCAGCAGGATCCAGGCTACAATGTCTCCAGCAGCGGCTGCGCATACGGTGATAAATCCGACAGTCGTACTCATAAGTTGCATCTCTAATGACAACACAGGATAACCATAGTGAGTGAGTATTTGACACCATGTACGTAGGATACCGATGAGTCTCAAGTGTTATCGCTTGCGTTTTTGTTACCTGCGAGAATACGAGCCAATACTGGAAATGCCTAAAATTTGGCGGTAAAAAAAATCAGAATTACTCTGATCCTTGATCCTTGATCCTCTTTACTTGCATATAGCATCTCACGCAAGAACTCATGATCTATGTATGCTTCACTTACCGTCAAACTCATCGCAACTCCACAGGTCAAGAGGAACTGCCCAAATGGAGGCGCTGGCCCAGTGTCGGTTCCCTTTTCAAACTCCTTATACAGTAAGAGGGCGACACCGCACGAGAATACGAATGGGATCAAAAGACCTGCGACAGAAATCCCCAGGGCGTGTTTTGCGCGTTTCAGGATGAGCTTTGGATCAAGCTCCAAGCCGACAAGAAAGAGGAAGAGACACAGACCGAGGTTGGCGACAAGGGTCAGAAAGGGGATGGATTCGGACGGGAAAATAGTATCGTTGAAACCGGGGATCTTTCCCATGATGGAGGGACCGAGGATGATTCCGGAAATGACTTCTGAGACGACCTTCGGTTGCCTGATGCGATGCATGAATATGTTTATAAAGTAGCATAGCGACAGGATGATGACAGTCTATGGGAGAGATTGGAGCGAGTTTGCGGTGAGGAATGTGTTGTAGTAGACGTAGACACGCAGTATGATTGGGGTGTGACCAAGCGACATACCTGGACAATGAAAAGCGGCAGTGGATCGGACAAATTAAATTGGATCGGATTCTGACCACTCAGGATGTTGCCTACAGGATCGTATTAGAGACGAGTGGGCATGTTGGTACACTGACTTAATACACCCACACATTGCTATAGGATCAAAAGAATAAGATCCGCCCGTCCTCCTCCCCGCCCAACAGGCAGCTCTGGCCGATCAGGGGTGGACAATGCATCGCATAACATGTTGCGCTACGTATTCATGCATTCGGCTGCCCAAGGGGGAGGGGCTAATCGTTTTCCCCCACAGCACATCATGCCATGTCAAGTCATGCCACACAACATTGATAAGCAACAGCAACAGCAACAGCAACAGCAACAGCAACAGCAACAGCAACAGCAACAGCAACAGCAACAGCAACAGCAACAGCGAATGTGCTGATAATAGGAAAGCTGCGTATGGTACTAGGGCATGTAAGCAATTGCTACGATTCATGGGGAGTGAAGCTGGCTGTGTATAAAAAAAATAAAAAATAAAAAAACACACGCCTTCTGTGTGCAGTGTTATGCTGTCATTAGCGAACAAACTTACCACCCTCGGACGATGCCTTTTCGGTGGTACCATTGGCGGCACTCATTGCGAGGTTGGGATGGAGAGAGCGACGATGAGATTAAGGAGCGGAACTGAATGCTGTTCACTGGCAGACAGATGAGGACACCCCTTTGGAGGGAGGAGTCCAGCGGGAATTGTTTATGTACAGGACAAGGAGGGAGGAGAGGGACAGCGGACTTTAACCAGCTGAAGGACAAAGAAAGGAGGTCAGCAGCCAGCGAAAGAAGCAGAAAAGGGCTGGCTGGCTGGTCGGGGTGTTTGAGCGAGCGAGGGAGGGAGGGGATGATAAGGAAGAACGAGAGACAGGACGTGGGGCAGAAGAGAAGAGGCGAGGAAGACGAAGGAAGGAGAGAAGGAGATGCCTTCGGACGATCCTAGCCCTTTGTACTTGTGTGTGTGCATGTCTGCAGGTCCGGTCTAGCCAGGCGGGGCAGGCTTAAGGACCAAGGATCCAACAAGGTTCAAGTGCCAGCCATGTGCTGGAAGCGGCGATGTGTGTGCGTACGAAATTGTTTGTGCAAGGAGGGGGGGCCAGGGTAGGAGGATCTAAGCGAGTACGCTTGTTACACTAGAGACATGGAGACTATGTCATCTTGCCTGGTGCTGATCACCAGGTACACACTATGCTGCATCGGTACACATCCAGCTATCCACAACAGGGGTAAAGGACAGAAAAAAGTCATAGACACTCAATGCTGCCACAGAATGAGAGGCAAGGACAGGCTGATTCGATCTGACACCATTAAACTACTACTCACATCTGGGTGAGGCTGGTCCACCCCGCCTCAGTCCGCCTCAAACACTTTCTACGCCCAGACACACAGACACAGATAAGGAATAGTATCGATGCAGTCGAGCGGAAAAGAGATCAAAAGCTTGTCAGTTATCTCTTACAATGAAGCCTGAAGCCCATGCATGTACTCGCCCTTTTTGGGGCATGGCGACCGTTCGAAAAAGAAAGTGTGGAGGTCATTCGCCACAGTAACGGCTGTAGATCAGAACAAAAGGGTCGGCCAGCCAGCATGAGAGACTACCAAATGCAGACAACCACCCTTGTTCTATCTTGAGCGCAGATCATTGGCCCGGGATATTTTATGGAATTGCAATCTTCGTCTTCGTCGCTACAGGACCTCGCTTTCTTGTGCTACATGTAGTGCAGGAGTCCATCTGTATGGTCATGTGGCACTTGTCGTGATGAGGATGACGGGACTCGTGGTCCTTCTCCTTCCTCCAAATCCACTAATGAAAACACCAAATCTGGGAACAGGGCCTCCTACGTAACATTGCATATGCACCCGTGAAAAAATACAGATAACGCCGCGTCGTGGGCAGCACATTCATGCCCATAGTATAAACAAACAGGAATCACCCCCATACTGCACTTTCTTCTTTCGATGGCGACTTTAACACACGAGTTATTGCTTAACCATACGCGGGAATACCTCTGGCCGTGAGGATCATTAGCTTTAGTATTACTTCACGCACCGTCCACAGCATCCTTTGCATGCTATTTTATCGCAGCGATTGACTTCCGCCAGTACAGCCTTTTCGGTGAAATAAAGAATGGACTCCTCTTCACGAACAATATATTTGTCCACAATTTCTTCACGTTTGCTAGTCATGCGTCTTCTTTTATCGCTTTTAGCAAATCCAAACGCAAACACATCTGGTCACAGTCCCACAGTTCATCAAGTACCAACGTCTAATGGAACGCCTTTCTGGCCTACGAAACCGTGCCCATAGAGGCCGCTACCAAGCCTTGCTTCTTCTACATCTCTTGTTGTCGATCGCATTTTATCGTCTGTCGCACTTAGCTGTTGAGTAGTTCTTATTTTCCCCTTTCATTATCCAGAGCACTACAGTTTCGTCCTTTCTACGTTTACTTCCTTTCATACTCACCCACTTCCTTCCCAATGTCTTTCTCGACCGTCACTGTTCTCATCGCTGCCGATCCTGGCAGGTTCGTTGTAGTACCTTTTCATTTACAGGAGCCCATATACCTCCTCTTAAAACGCATCGTTCACATGCTCAAGAAGGATGGTGGTAGTGATGAGGATCATGCCCTCTTCGTCAATGGCATTCCTATTACGGACCTCCAAAAACCTTTTTCCGAATACAGCATCTTTGGTAGCGGCCTGACATACCAATGTTCGAGAAAGGGCAAATGGAATATTCATGTTACAACACTGACTGGCGCGGCCATGGACATCAACTGTAATTCCAGTGATACTATTCGTCAGGTCAAAAAGACTATATACGTCAAGGGATGGATTCACCCACAAAGGCATGCGCTCTTTTTCCGGAGCAGAGAACTGGAGAATGATAAAGCCCTGGGCGATTACAAGATCAGATTTGGATCAACCCTGCGCTCTGTCCGATATCTCCGTGGCGGCGGTGGACTTCCTTTCCCTGGTATCCTTCTTGTAAAGATGTCGGATACAAAGGGAGTGTGCAACTTCAAGTTCTTGTCCAACGCTCCGGCTGGACGACAGGCGCGCGATGGCGCCAACGTCGAATGTAGTTGTGAATGCACCCCAGAGTATAGGGTTATCTGCCCTCAGGGATATGGATTCCTCAAGATATCTCAAACGACATTGTATTGCCCAATCTGCAATCAAACGAATGGAGAAGTTATTCCTTACACCGTTGGGTTCGTGAATTGCAAGTATAGGATCCATGGGATCAAGGCCACTGGAGAACAGTACGTCTCAGAGTGGAAGATCGTCAAGCTCGAGGCATGCTATGAGCGTTTCTTACCCCTCAGCAACATGATGTTTTGGCGGCGACTGGTAATCGAGTCAGCAAGCCTTGAGGATGACGAGGACTGCACCATCTGTTTGAAGGCCATGTGCGGTTACGTACAGCTTGCTTGTGGGCATCGATTTCATAGGGCCTGTCATGCAGCTTGGGGGTCGACGTGCCCGGTGTGTCGCTTCAACAGACACTTAGTTGATGGAACCATGGCCTAAGGCCGCCAATCCGGTGTCCTCTTTCAGGCAGACGCTCTGTCCCTGAATTTGTTTTTCATTCATTCGCGAGTTGTCGCAGTAAACCAGACTGCATAGCACTTAGGAACAAGGAGATAAGCATATACAATCACTCCATGAACAGCAATAAAGATCGCCCAAAGTTACGCTTGTTACAATTTATTCTCTTCGAGCTGAAGACCCAGTGCATCGTCTAAAGAAACCCCTTGCGCATCGCCTACAGGGACCATCTAGTAAAGATTTCAAAATGAACAAAGTGGGGCCTTTTCATTCAGATAAAGGCGTATGCTCATGGTACTACCGGCAGTATCGGCCTGCATCTGAAGAGCATGGCTTACTATTATTATCTTCGTTGATGACGACTTGGGCTGAGGCTATAGTTGCCAGTATAAGGTCGAGCTCCAAGAGGGAGCCTCAGTGTCTTACCAGAGTTTCGGCTTATTGGATATGGACGAGGATCGTACGATGTGCCTGGAGCTCATACTCAGCGCGATGCAGACATCAAGTCGGCGGTAGCCACAATCTGACTCGGAAGTTGCTGTGTCTGATGTTAAGATCGAATAGGCGCCTAGTTGATGGTACGATTCCTAAATGTGGCCTTGGTTCACATTTTCAGTCCCACCGACTATTCTGCTAAAGTTGTGTCGTCAGCAGGAAAAGTATTGCTGCACTGCTTTCCATTTGAAGCTACCACGGTAGCTTATAGATAGACATGGTTGATGTTAATGCCCTGCTCTTTTATCTGATTATTCTTGTTTTGCGCGTCCCCCTGGGCGAAGCATCTGATGACATCATAGCATGATAATTTCCATGTTAGAGCACTGGGCAAACGTGGATTTTGCATGTTACAATCATCAGCTGCAAAAACCGACACGAGGGAACCATTGGTACAGCATCCCTACCCCGCTTCTGCACATACACATCTCATCGACAGCACGTCTAACGATTTGGACAAATCAGTAGTGTAGCCAATAAGAATCCCAGTGATCTATACACGACTATCTCAGAGCGCGCAGTAGCCTTTTCTTCGATGTAACTCGAGGTACTGACCACAAGAAAGTGGACTGTATTGTGCTCTGTACCAGAACAGACGGCACAGAAATACTGATCGACGACGATGACCTGGCCAACAGGCAATTTATTGAAGGTAATGACTGCTTTCATTAGCGCTCATGTACACGCACAAGGGCGCATTCCTTCTAACGATTTGCTGCTACTGCTGTTGTTGTTGTTGTTGTTGTTGTTGTTGCCATTTTGGATGAGAATCGCGCAAGGTAGAGTGATGTCAGTCCTGGAACCTTTTAACGCCCTCTTCCACTTTCTTCTATGGGGGTGTATTTTTTTCTTGTAAGCGCCCGTCACGTCCCGCAGGAGAACATTTTCTCTTCAATTGCCCTCTCTCACACACATCGCGTAATTAGTAAGCTGGCGATTCAGTAGCGCGTTTTACGTTTCACCACGAAGGAACATCATGAATGTGTAGCAGCCTAAAAGAGAGACAAACACCAAGACAAAAGAGGTGGATGATAAAGCATTTTGTTATTATGAGAAGTATGGGGGGAAAATGATGCCATCGAGGATTGGGTTCAGACATATATAAAGGACCTGAGTCTCTTCTTCTTGCACACACAAAAAGCTACTTAAATTATTCACACCTCCTCCACCATGGCCCCAACTCGCGTATTCGTCACAGGTGTCACCGGCTACATCGGCTCGACCACTATCGATAACCTCCTCCAGAACCCCACTGCTAAGTCCCGATTCACCTTCCGCGCCCTTGTTCGCTCACCCGAAAAGGCTTCTCAAGACGTCCGCCCCCTCGGCATCGAACCCGTCCTCGGCTCCCTCGACGACCTCGACATCCTCGAACGCGAATCCGCTCAAGCTGATGTGGTTCTCAATCTCGCAGACGCCGATCATCTTCCCGCCGTCAAGGCTATTATCAAAGGACTGCTTGCGCCTCGACAAGACGGGGCAAGGAAGCGACCGATTCTGATCCATACCTCTGGTACGAGTGTATTAGCCGATGGAGCGAACGGAAACCGAGCCAGCGATACAATCTACCACGACAACGATACCGCCAAACTTAACACTCTTGCACCCACACAACTCCATCGCAAGATCGACCTCGAAATCATCGATCCTTCTCTCGTCGGAAAAATCGACACCTACATCGTTGCCCCACCTACGATCTGGGGTTTGGGTTCCGGGCCCGGTAACTCTCACTCTATCCAGATCCCTTTCCAAATCCGTGCGTCACTCAAACATCGCCAGGCCCTTCAAATCGGTAAGGGTCTCAATATCTGGTCCCGCGTACACGTCCATGACCTGGCTCGCGTCTATACCGCACTTTTTGAACGCGCACTCCAGGAGCCTCAAGGTAGCACCGGCAGCCTGCCCAAGAACAAGGATGCTTATTACTTTGCCCAGGCCGGAGATGATTTCGCCTACGGAGATGTGGCCAAGGAGATCGCGAAGGTGTTCAAGGAATTGGGTATAAACGATTCGGGAGAGGTGAAAGGGACAGAGGCGGGTGAGGAGGAGAAGAAGTATTGGCCCGATGGTGCCGCAGCTCTGATCGGCGGGAACTCTAGATCGAGAGCGGTCAAGGCCAGGGAGTTGCTTGGGTGGGAGGCCGAGAGAGATGATTTTTGGGGATATGTGAGGGAGGAGGTTAAGCGCCTGCACAAAGAAGAGAAGTAAGATGCATACTTTTCAACCACTCTGTCCATATCACATCGAAGAACAATAAACAGCTACGAAGGATGTCCAAAGAACTTGTTCTCCTCAACAAAATGATGTGCTTCTCAATGGGAATGAAGATATGGGATCCCCCTCAAGACCGCTGGAATGTGCATTGGTTACGTTCACGTACACGTCTCGCGTCGAATCGGATGAAAGAGAATACGAGCACATTTTACAATGCTACATGCATATAATGCAAGACTCAGACGAAAGAGCAACACGCAACATCGTTCCTGAGGACAAACGGTCTGCAGTACTCGCTGCAGCCCATGGCGAAGGTCACTCTGGGACACACAGGATGGTGGAGGCCATTCACGCTAACAAATAGACATGGCCTCGACTAATCCATGATTGTTTGGACCTTATTAGACGTTTGACTTTCTTGTCTGTAAGTGAATATATAAGGGTAAAATATCGCCGTCTTCCTGCTTCGACAACTAAATCTTCTTCCATGTTTTCTTTGTCACGAGATACCCTTTGTTCGCCGCTGTGAGAGAGAGAGATCAGAAATGGCGAGAGCCATGGTAGAACATCGAATGGGCTGACAACAGGTGGTCGGGGCGAGCTTCTCTTCTTCCAACATTGCCTCCTTTGCGCTTTGCATTCATGAGTTCTCGCCAGGCGTTTTCCGTCATGATGAACTTCTTGGCTGAAGTCAATGAAGTGCTCTGGTGGTGGTCGTGATCAGTGCGAAGACGCGAAGACTGATGAAAACAGCGCAGATTCCAGGATAATGAGCGCGAAAACTACGTCACCGGAGTGATGAACCGCACGCCCCTCCTAGATCTAGACTAGACTGGAGAATCCCCACGCCATTGTATGCCGTTTCTATCTTCCCTTTCCTTCCCGCCTCCTTCAACCACAGCTCCTTCTTCTCGCACGCCTTCTTAACCACCGTCCCTCTCTCATTCCCAAACAATGGCCCCCAACCTCCAAACCACGGGCCCCCTCCGCGTCTTCGTCACGGGCGCCACCGGATACATCGGCTCGACCGCCATCGACCTCCTCCTCCACAAAGGAACCACGCCCTCGCTCTACTCTCTCCGCGCCCTCGTCCGCTCCCCCAAAAAGGCCTCCCTCATCCTTCCCCTCGGCATCGAACCCATCCTCGGCTCCCTCGACGACCTCGCCCTCCTCGAGCAAGAATCCGCTCAAGCAGATGTTGTCCTCTCCTTCGCCGACGCTGACCACCTCCCTTCCATCCAAGCAATCCTCAGAGGACTATCCCAACGCCCCCGCCCCGACGGCGGAAGGAAGAGACCCATCCTAATTCATACCTCAGGAACGGGCGTTCTCCTCGACAACGCCTATGGCGCCTATGGCACCGAGACCATCTACTACGACAACGACCTCGCGAAGCTCAACTCTTTGGCGCCTTCGCAGCCACATCGAAACGTCGACCTCGAAATCATCTCCCCCGCCCTCGTCGGTCTCGTCGACACCTACATCGTCGCACCTCCAACCATCTGGGGGCAAGGCACCGGACCCGGGAACCATACCTCTATCCAGATCCCCCTCCAAGTTCGAGCCTCCCTCCTTCATTCCCAAGCCATGCAGCTTGGTCAAGGGCTCAACGTCTGGTCGAAAATCCATGTCATTGACCTCGCACATCTTTATCTTTCATTGCTCGAACGTGCGCTTCAAGAGCCCCAGGATGACTCTATAACAGGAACGCTGCCAAAGAACCAGGACGCTTATTACTTCTGTCAGGAGGGTGAAGATTTTTCCTATGGCGACGTCGCAAAGGAGATCGCAAAGGCGTTTAAGGATCTTGGGATTAATGACTCGGGAACTGTCAGAGGAACCAAGCCAGAGGAAGAATCAGCGCTCTGGCTCGAAGGTGCTGCTGGATCGATTGGAGGAAACTCGAGATCGAGGGCCATCAAGGCCAGAGAAATTCTCGGATGGGTGCCGGAATTCAAGGACTTTGCAGGATACATTCACGACGAAATCAAGCGACAGCTCAAGGAGCAGGGTCGTCGGAGGTGAACGCACCATACGCCGACCTGTATCTACTGTACGTACGCCTCGAGAAATAAATTAAGAGCGTTTGTTCCACCACCAACCGATACCAACAGCCACTCGAGAACGGATAGTTCCTCCTGGTTTTCTCTTCCTTTTTCATTTTATTTCTTGTCAACATGCAAACGAGAACTACTCTTGGTTCAGCTTGTTCATCACCTGCTCCACATCCGATAGCGGAATGACGGGGCCATGTCCCGAGCACTTGGCCTTTTTCTTCAATTCGGCGCACAGCTCATCAATATCCGCATCATCAAAGTTCGGGTGCTTCGCAATATATTCCCATGCCTGCGGACAAGGAATCGCCTTCTCGCCCTCCGTCAGCGGTGGCAGCGTGTGCTTCTTACAGTCCTCATCATCCGGTAGCTGCGGATCCTCCTTGGCCACTATTGGTACCGTCGCCGTTCCCATCGATGTCGTCGCCGACGCGCCCGTGCCCGCGAACGTTTCTGTGTAATCCAACAGCTGATCGCTGAACAACGTCTCCACCGGATCATCGAACCCTGTGAAAAAGTCTCTCGGATCCGAAGGGTCACGGAAATCCGTAAACAGTGCCTGCGTCTGCTCATAGGTCAACGATGGCATCGACATCGGGGCTGCCGGGGGCGTAAAGTGTACATGGCCATCCTTGTCCGTCTCAAACAGAGGTGTGTTCACAATATCCTCCAAAGTCGGTGACGGGCTATTGTCCGAGAACAACGCCAACGTACTTGCTGGGCTATCCAGGTTTGAATGATGCATCTTGTTTCCGAGTGGACTGCTCGTCAAACTCAGGTTGTTTGTCGCTCCAAACACAGCATTGCTGCCTGGACTATGGCCGCTAATCGTTGACGCTGGACTGCGGATGCTACTGATGTTATTGATATTGGTCGTGCTGTTAATGCTGTTGCTGTTGCTGGAGATATTGCTGTTATTGTGAATGTTGCTATGGTTCAGAATGCTGTTGTTGTTATTGTTGTTATTGTAAGTATTGCCCACTCTATCCAGTAGTGACGAAAAGAGCGCCATGTTCTCTGGCGTGCCGTTCCTATATCTGGGTACAATCCCTGCAGAATCCGAGTACGAGACCTGTGAAATCGAATCCTGCTCTGGCGTCGGCAGGTCATGATCTAATGGCGAGTTCGGTACACTGTCCCCACCCGAGGATGGTGGTGTCCAAGGCAGACGATCACTGCCCACCAGCTTGGATCTACCAGAAACCACTGACGACGATGGCTTCTGAATAAGGCCAAGGTTACTCACGGCGACAGACGACGGCGAAAGCCGCTGCTGCTGGCCAGTTTCCTGGTTCCTAGGAAGACTCTGTATTTGTGTTGTTGCCATTTGTGTTGTGGCGGCAGCAGTATCTCCTTGGGATTTCGCGAGATTGTAGAGTCCAGGCTGGCTGATCGGGAAATCGAACGTGAACGATTGCTCCTTGAGAAAGTAGTTCTCCGTCTCGAGTTTCTGGACCAGTACCTTCAGGTTCATGTTTTCCTCCGCCAGCTTTGAATCAGATTTCGGCTCCATCTCCTCTAATTCCTTGATCCTATCCTCGAGAGACTTCACATATCTCTCCTTTCTCTCACGGAACGCTCTCTGAGCTGCACGGTTTTGCGCCTTTTTTTTTTAATGGGAACAAATTGCTTTTGTTAGACAACGATCTTTAAAAACACTGATGTTATTCAGTTAATATCTCATGCATCCCAATTCTCCCTCGTATACTACGTGTACGTTGTTTTTGTCCCCTTAAACCTCTTTTTTGCCGTTCATGCATAGTGTTTGTTGATTGCCGCTATCGTACACAGGGGGCGACTCTCTCTTCCCAGCTGCCTTCCCGGACTCTCAGCCCCACCTCTTGATCCATCTTCCAGTGATCATTGAGCCCTCTTTACCAGTCACTGTACCAGATCCTTTTCTCTTGTTCAAAGTAAACGCAGAAAACTAACTATCTTCGCTGCTATATTATTTTGACAGCTTCTTTTTAGATGTGCACGGCGCGCAACCATAAACTATAAACAAGCGAAGAAAGAAGAACCTCCGAGCATGTGGGCGATGATAAGGCCAGTCAGATTAAATCATAATTAGAATCAGAACTAACCTTTCGCTTGTTGGTGGGTTCCGTTGTAAGCGGCTTGCGTCCAGCCTTCTTGGGCGCAGGTTTCCCATCCGCTTGCATGTTCGCCTCATCTGCGTATGTATACAACGGAGTCAATGACGAGTCAGATAAAAAGTGAGCAAAAACGACAGAACATGCAACCAAAATCCAAACAATGTTCATTGAACCATACCAGAGCTATTATCGCCCTCCGAATAATGGAGACCCTCGCCATTGGAACCTTTAGAGTCTATAGCATCGCATGCGAATGTAAGAAAAAAAGGAGATAAGTGCCAAAGGGTTTTTTGGGGGGTTATTTTTTGCCACCAATTGAGGGTAAAAATGAAAGTATTCTGTACTTACCACCATAGTGGTCTGACTTGTGGTGGAGTTGGTTGCTGAAGCGCTTGGTTTGGTCCTCATCAACACGATAGTGCTCCTGATGATGGGCGATGGCGTTTGATAACAGGTCCTGGGCATCTTTGTTGTCTTGCAGCATCTTTGCCCAGTCGCTATCGGTCAGGTTGACTGGGTACGCACTCAAAGGCTGTTGCTGTTGCAGCGACATTAGCGGCTGAAAGAGGAGGGTTCCGAAGAGACAAGGCGGAGACAAAAGGGGGGGAGGAGATCTAGAGGGTGAAAAGAGATGGAATGGGTATGTGTGGGATGGACAGGATGGGACGAGGTGAGCGAATGAGTGATAAAGAAAGATAAAGAAGGGTCCTTAAAAAAAAAAGCGCCAGTCGTGCTCACGGGAACACGGCGGCTTGCTTGCTTGAAGCGCAAGTAGTATGGCCAAGGCAAACCAATCGGACTGCTCCCTGCCCATGCCCTTCATTGGTGGCAATTGCACAAATACAAATGCTCTTCTTTCTTGGATGCAGTATCCATACACGAACAAGTACATTTTGTAATATATTTTGTCCTATGCATACCATAACAGCTTCGAGATGCAGTTCAGTACATCAATCCATCTTTCTATACAGCCTGGACAAAGTGGGGCGGTCCTGCCACTGTACCATCTCAACCGAGGCCGTGAATGAATATGGGTATAGCTCCTTTCATGCTTGACACCTTGACGCGTTCAGAAACGTGGACGCTGCTTAGGAGCGATCGGGGTAGAAATGGTCAGAATACCGACCTCTGATACAACGGTACGATCTGAAGCTCAATCGATCTGTAGATTTTCTGCTGAAGCCAGAAAGGCGGTCTGGTATCTTTTGCATCTCATATCCTCAATCATTATACAAAATGGTGCGGAGCAGCGCCATTGAAGCAACGTGCTTGTGTCATTTGCAACACCTGCAATTCTGGGCAATTAGATAACGACTTCATACTGAGAGGAAACTGGCTGGCTCAAGTGACGATTGATACAGTAAAAGCCAGGCCTATTTGGATCTGCGTTTTGAAGTCTTCCTTGATTCGGTCAAGTTTTGGCAATGGTTTGAGCTATTCCATCAATGCATCATATAACTAAACCTTTTCCTTGAGCGCCGTCATTTTGCTAGTATCGTTCCTGGGACTGTCCCTTCCGCACGTACCTCCCGAAGCATTCAAATCTAGTGCACAGTTATTGACACGTTAAGCACCGCCAGTTCTTGGTATGCTAAACCTTTTCGTATCCTGTCGATGGTTTCCTCCACTTCGAGACCCCACGTCGGCAACGAGGCTCTTGCAACCTACTGAGTGTCTTTAAATTTCCAGAAACAGCGCAGAGAATTTCTTGCTAACCATGTGGGAGATCGCAACTTTGATCCACGCATTTCTCGGCATTGCATTTATCCAGGCCTGTATGGGCGAAGCAGTTGTTTTCATCGATTCAATCTGAGCAGGACGCTATAACAACGAACCCTAAAAGTCTCTGTACCGAAAGCGTACCTTGCTCTGGTCGAGCCTCTATAACCTGTTTCGCTGCTCCATCACTGCGTCCTAAACACATATTTCCTGCTTAGCGCATCCCCTAACCCTTCCTGATACCAGTCCTTCTTTTTGTACGCAGCCGGCGGCACCTATCCTTTGAAAGACTTATAATAGACGCCTCCTGCAACTCCATCTCATTTGATTTGATCTCATTATCGCTCTCGCTACGCAGCCAAGCCATCCCTCTGCGCCAATGGCATACTCCGGCAACGAAACCCTTCCCAACCGCTATAGTGCTCTCAAGAACTCTAACAGCTCTGTCAAATACATCGCAACAATCGCCTACTAATTCTGGTATCTAAATGTCTTCCAGCGTCGCGGATAAGGCGTCTTGTCGAAAAAGTATGGCCAAGGCGCTGCGGCGCTAAAGACAGTTGTCGGGAGTCTCGAGCCGTCGTATCTTTGCTAATACCGCGAGCAGATATGCAAGGCCTTCAGTGTCAAGAATGCACTGAGAGAGATCGAGCTAATCAAGAAGTGGACAATGCCACCGCAGTTGCTGGCACAACTGTACCAACTGTGGAAATCCATGGAGGCCCAGCTCCAACAGAAACATCTGGGCGAGCGATAGATGTTCAAGTAGAGAGCTATGTTCGGAGACCGTTGATATTGGTTTAAGTTCATCTTAGTGTTCCTTCGTATGGAGGGATCGCAACCGGAGCTGCCACGCCTGGGCTTGTTACAGTAATAGGTTAGACTCAATATGCCTTTTCTCTCCTTCTTCCGCCTTAGACTATACTTCCCCTCGGCCTCCTCTATCGGGAAGAGTAATTCCGGGGGGTATCCTTCGAAATTGAGCGATTCAATTCCAAGCAGTCGCTCCAACAAATACTTGAATGTCCCTTGGGGTTGGGGGGTGTGGGTCACGAAGTCCGTCAACGGTAATTTCTTACTTGACTTCATCGCTCCCACGACACTGACGACCTCCATGGTTTTTGGCGTAGTTTTCGTCATCGGTATAGAGTGTAATGAAACCTCCTTGACACCTGCATTTAGGCCCAGGTTCGCTTATGGCGAGCATGGCTCACGGTACAGAGCGCTGGTACGATAGGTAGTGTCGATTGGATGCACTCTAGACTAGAATATGCAGTTTAGACTTAAAGGAAGCACCGGAAGTCGAAGATATGGATTGAGTAGCGCGTGAATGCCCTAGTAACTGTGGTGGACCCGCTTGCTTGATGCCGTAACTCGCTGATAAAGGGAATGAAGCTGTTGTGAAAGACGCAACACGTCCTGGCGAAGTCGGCATGGGATAGTGTCTTGCGATGTGGATACTAATATCTAGGATCTTAGGATTCTAATGATAGATTTGCCATCGTGTGTTTAGTATGATGGTGTACATGAATGAGGTTACAGGGCTTTACGGCTGCAACCCCTACTGCTATGACTTTCATTGCTACCTATCGATGGGTCGGATCTGCTGCTGCAACATTCTAGATTTACTGCGCCCATACCCATAACACGACCATAGTCTACTGTGAACAATCACTTCGAGTACTGATCTTCGGCGTTTAATCAGTACCTGCAGCGGGTTTTCGAAGGACCATCGTTTCTTCAAGCGTGCACCGTTGCAGAAAAAATCATCTTTCTGGATTGATCCCGCATATCGGATCAACCAAATGAGGAGAGAACGGATTGCCTGCATTCAAGGCCCTACAAGTAGATCAATCGTGCGCCAATTTCTCTTCTCTCAGATCTTCTCTAACACTATTGTGGGTGTTGAATCATTTTTTATGCTTTATTATTGAATAGACTGTAGACTGTGCATGTTCTTCACTTCGGTGGCAGATCCACGATGATGGGCTTGTTAAGCGGGCGATAATTGATATTGCAGGCTGAAGCATTGATACACACCGTTGACGACCCGGGGTTTTCACCATCCTGGGTCGCTATAGGGCGCCAGTCGATCTGTGAGACACCATACCCTTCGTGGATGTGACCAAAGACGTGATAAAGCGGTCGGACCACCTTCAATCTCTCCAAGAGCTCCCTGCAACCGACATGTATATTATTATCCTGGGGCACAATGTCGCCATGGCCCTTTGGAGGGCCATGAGTGATCAAGATATCCGTATCTACAGGAATATGCTTCCAGATTTCTAATGGAGGTAAAATATGAAAAGAGCTCAGTAACGAAATCATTACACAAGAGACTACAGTGCATGACATCTGATCCTTACCATGGAGTTTGCCCCGCACTTCATTGAAAGCCCATTCATAAAACTCTGGCTGCCAAGGACTCGCCCAGATCCTATATCCCTCGATCCATCCCTCCCTTGGGTCCACCGACTCAATTCCATCAGCAGCAGCAGCGCCCTCCGCATGAATTTCCTGTAACGTCTTCTGTTTCAATTCCAACTTTGCCTGCTTTTGCCATTTCTTGTACAATACCTTGGCCCCATCAACAGTGTAGGACGAATTGTCCAAATAGACGATGCCGTGTCCCGCCGATTGAAGTTTTTCCACGGCTGCCTGATGATCTTCCTGAGCGGTGTGAAACCGGAACCAATTCTTCTCGTAAAACTCCTTGTCAAGGATGACATCGTGGTTGCCAGCAACGATGATTTTGAGCGGTATATGGGTCAGGGATTTCATCCAGCAAATGAACTGGTCGACCTGAGCTGTGGTACCCATCTTTGTGAAGTCGCCTGCATGCACTATTCAATTTTGACAACGATATCCAATGTGTTGGCAGAATAATTGTTATACAGAGCCCACAAAATACTGGATTCGTCGGGTTAATCGCTTCCCTCAAGGCTTACCTAGGATGTCGGCTTCGGGGATAGAATAGTTGTTGATATCGGTCATGTTATGGGTATCGCTGATACAGACCATCCGCAGCCAGTTCGGCCCCGGTTTCTCTGCAGGCATGTCTGGTGCAATATACGTGTTCGGCGGCAATGATGCACTGGGCGTGTTGGATCCGTTATCGCCATTTTCCGCCTCCATTCGCTCTCGATGCAAGTTCCTAAAGTTCTGTGGTGGCGGATGTGGTTTGGAGGAGGACATTGATGAGATGAAGGAAGACATGGAGAAAGGAATTAGACCTCATTGCAAGGGATCATGGCCGAAGACACTGCGCCTCCTCCCCCTCCCACCTCCCTTTTCCTGCGACTAATTCTACCACTACACAGACGCGCCATGTGCTGTGCTCTGAGAGTGCCTCGATAAAGATATATAAATATTAATATGCTTCAGTAGTTCATTTGTTTACTGCAACCATACAATGGGCGTGCCCTGTTTATTCTAATGACGCTTGCCGTACGGAATACTATGCTAGTAAATGGCTTTCGTACTATGGGCGCGATAATGGTCGCCTTAGCGCTTACTAGCTGCGACTCAGATGGCAGACAAGGTTGTCCGATGAGGGCGATATTGTGGGCATCGAGAGTGTCTCGATGGATGTATGGGTTGCATCCCTGTGAAAGATAAAAGCAGGATCTCATGGTGGGCCTGGCGGTATATGTACCGGTGGTTAAAAAAAGCGACATGATATGTATCTTTTGTAAAAATATCTCATGGACGTCGTGTGCAGGAATACCAGCTTCGTGCGAGTGTTGAGCTTGGCACTCCCATACATAATAATCTTCACGCCTAGCGGTCTCTACAAGTAGACCTTGAATAAAAAGTACCACGACTTGATATGATCCACGAAACCTTGTGGAGCCATCCCCCTAGCTGGTGATCTTGCTTTGCATGATGTTGACTCTTGGATAGAAGATTGCATTCGTCGTTTGGATTGTCCCTGGAAGGCGTTGCACCTGCTTTAATGGATTCATCGCTTGATGGGCATCTTAATGGTTGTTACAAAGCGGCTCTCTGCTACAACATGCCCGAAACCGTGTCTGGGCTCATATGGCAATATTGATACCTCATCCTGCGGCAATGACAGCCTGGTCAGGACCAAAGCCAACAATAGACGCATTCGCTAAATCGACCTGATTGGTAAACTTGAAGGCTAGCAATGCTGTGTTTTGATCCCACAGACTCGCCTCGATGTCCATGATGTCGACTTGCCTCTGCCATGTGGTGCCGAAAAGGCGACCAACTTGGCTTACGGAGATCGAAGGCTAGTATCTACGACTCTATACCCTTTGCCCTGACCATGTTCATAAGGATGCAGTGCCTCTGCAACGCGTCTACTTTCCAGAGGTCTACCTCAGGGGAACAACAGGAGGTGTATTAGCCTTATAAGCGACTTTCTTGGCTTGCCTTCGAGCAATCTAAAGAGTGGTCAAATTCTGCCCGAATAGCCGCAAGCTCTCCTTGAAGTAGGTGTTATTCTTCTGGTATACGTATACCAAACTCGGCTCGGCTCGATGGTTCTGGCACCCATACTTGCCTGGGTGGCAGCCATATGCAGAGCTCGAGCTGTGCGGTGGGCTTCCAGGGGTATGAGGGACGTTTGTGTTCAGGGCGATGTCCGAAGAATAGTTGACGGATTAGCTTTCCATAATCTTACCTCCGCAGGCTTTCAGCCTGACCACGCCTCATGAATACTTCATCGCCTGCAGAATGGGCTTTTAAAACTCCTTGAATCCTTGGCTGCTCTTCCTCAATGGGACGGCCAAAGGATTTTTAATAGGGTCTCATCTGAAAATAGCATGAAGCTTTTACAAAGCGTTACCAGGGGGGGATCTGGACCATGCTTCCTGGGGCAATTATACGTTTATTTGCCAAGACCTGAAGTTTAAATCGTCGGTGCCGCCGTTCTGGCGATTTATGGATGTGGGCATGTTGAGTATGTTACACTGTATAGCTTAACGAAAGAGAGGGTAGGATAGGATAGTGTTTGTCGACATATCAGTCGTTCACCATGTTTGCCAAAGAAAAGAAAAAAGTAAATACCTTGTGGTACAACAAAAGCCAATTAGTAATATAGTGCTGTTGAACAGCGACAAATACGCAGCGATCCATCTCCTTCCTTTCAATCGCCTCCACAATGATACCGTCTTCGATAAGTTGCACCTAGCCAATGATACCACCAAGGCCCCTGAAAATCGAACAGCAATCTCTCGATTCCTCTTCGGCGCAGTCTGCCCCTTCGCTCTCATCTTTATTCTCACCATCACTCCCATCCTCTAGAGTCACCACCTGTTGCTTCCCCTTCGGACTATAAACAGCTGGTTGTTTGCGCTTCTCGCCTAAGGCCCTTCCATGACTGGCATCATTCCCTTCGCCATCATTGCTCTGGGAGTCTTGATTTTTATCCGCCAGTTTTGCGACCCTTGCGAGATAGCTTGACAGGCTGATGGGCACGTTCAACGCGGTCTTCAACTTAATCATTGGTTCCAGACGACCCTTACATGCGTGGAAACCTCGACCATGCTGGAGACATGCAGGACAACGGCATGGAACAAGTATTACTGCAGATCGCTGAAAATGTGAACGATGCTATCCTGAGATGACACGGCCTAGTTCACGTTGTGTCTGAGCAAGTGGCGAAGACTTCCCTCGATAGAGTCAGCCGATAAGACCAAAATCAAATATACATCGTCGAAGGCACTCTTGTATTGGCCTTCCTCTCCATTGAGTGCGCGTATCAGCTCCCCTATCTGTGGTCTTCTCGTCTGGATGTCCTGATCTGTGACCTTGCCTATATCGTCTTCCTTAGCCTACGAAGAACGCGCCTTGATCTTAAATTGTTTGCCGTCTTTGAAGATGTGATCGGAGTCCAATGTGATTCGACAGTTGGTGATGTCGCAACGATATGTGTGAGATACTGTGAGCCATCTCCAGGCTTGAGAGACCTGTACTTGTTATAATCCAAAGGCCTGTATACGTACGAAAATGACATAGAGAAGAGGTGAAAGCTGTGAAAAGCTGAGGCGAATATGCCGGCGGTATGTGTCATTAGCTAAGTGTGCTCGACAAACTTTCGGAACAAGGCGAGAAAAACGCGTAGACTCGTGCGCATAGGTTGTTTCTATTCAATCATACGGCTTCTCCTTACCATGGGCAAACAGACGGCAGGTTGGACCCCAGCGAACAGTCATTGCTCGGTTGGGATTCTTCATCTGACGAGGACAATCAGAGCGAGAGAGGGAATAAAGAACCCAATGCAGTGCGTAACACAGCGACACAACCAATCACAGGAGCACAGCAACTGGCCAGTGCGCGCACGACAACCTTCCCTCCTTTATTTGAGCCTTGGCTCATAACCAGCCTGAGGACGTCAATGGCCGTCGATGACTATGTTTATGTTTTATATAAGGTCGCAGCGTCTTTCAATTGTGTTGTTTCCACAACCCATGATCTAATTCTGATAAAAGGGACTTCCGGATACATACCTAAATTCTCTAGATCGGGAAGCCCTACGTTGATATTTTTCGATTTGCCTGGCTCAGAACCTTCCGGCATGCCCAGTAGTGACGCCGAAAGAATCCTGGTCGAGGCCCCTGGGACCCGTGATTTGCTGTTTTTCGGAGTAAGTGGGTGCGGTAAAACGCGAACAGTCATGGAATTGTTGTCGACGAGATGGGGACTCTACTTCAACGCCGGCGGAAAGGATTTGGCTCGGACGACATGCGGATTATCACCGATGCGCTATCGGAGAGCCAGAACGTTTACTTGTCACCAAACAAACATCAGAACAATACCAGAATGCGACATCTGACTCTCGGCCTCCTGCATGCGCGGCTGTTGATCCTTGATTACTGTTTGGGTATCCCCGAGAGCAGCACTCTGTTCACATGCCAGAGGTGGATGCTCCTACAAGTTGCCACAACTGCGTTCCAGGACGTGTTTAGGAGCCTTTTCGAAGATATCGCTCAGCGCTTACACAAGTACGAGGTGTCAGGTTTGAATATCATCCGTCTCGTACTGGGCTTATTCGACAAAGTTCAGGAGCTGCTCCTAAACCGAGTAGACTCTTCGGCCACACAATCCAAGTTTCTTCTGGTTTTAGACGAGGCACAAGGGTTAGGCCGGCTTGCGGACGGTTATTTTCTGGACAGCGACCTTGAATCTACTCGCCCAATTCTAGCCCCTATACTCCAAGCATTCAGACGTGTTGCAAACAACCAGGACAGGATTTGTGTCATACCTTGCGGCACAGGCTTAAGCTACTACGAGCTGGTATGGTCTAGAGTCTCCGCGGGTGGTCAAAATCTCTCGAAGGGTGAGTACAATGCTTTGTTGGCAACGGGTATGACTCTCGACTTTCCTGGCTGGACGAGCGTGGACGAGATTTCCTCTTACGTGGAGCGGGGATTGGACGATATCACGAGGACAAAATTGACTCGTCTGTTTCCAAGGCATGTGGTCGAGGAACTTTTCAGAGATTACCATGGCCGATTTCGCCCCATCATCTCTATCATTGAGGACATAATCGAGATAAACAATCCGTCAAAGTGGAGAGAGTGCGTTGCCGAGCGGGAGCACCGGTTAGCGACAGCAGAGATCCCCACAACCTCCAGCAAGAAGGAGCTCCTTGAAGGAAATCTATGTCAGGAGCTACGCAGGATTTTGACTCGAGCCCGGACCGACGAGACGACGACATTCGAAGACTATCGATACGTCGAGAGCACATTGAAATTTGCCCTGGCCTCATTTAAGTTATTAGGCGGACTTTTGTCATGTAAAGGAGAGCTTCCTGCGTTGGTGGAAGCCTCATTTTGCCGAATCCGACGATTCACAGGGGAGTGCTACACGGTCATGGACGAGCCTTTTGCGTTCCGGGTAGCGGACAATTTCTTCCAAAAGGATGATCCAGGATGTTTTGTCTTACCCTGCCGAGATCGCCCAGAATTTCAGTAGCGAGCCCCTCAGGATGGAACACAGCAGGGATATCACCGAGATTGCGCTTACGATTGACAGCAATACCATTCGCCAACTCTTTGTAGAGGAACATGTCGCCTAGTTGGATCAGTTGAAATGATTCGGAGACGAAATGACGAATGACGGAAGGGCAGGAGCTTGCTACCAAACGATCCGGGACATGACAGATCGCTATCACTTAGTCGACAGACTTAGTACGCTCACATACGCTTAAGAATAAAACAAGTTACCGCAGACTACACCCCTTCACTTCCAGTTAATATTTTTATGCAACTGAGGCTTTTGAGTAAAGAATCTTTAAAATTTTCGTCCCGAGCCGACAAAGGAGGAAATAGCCTTCCCACTCGTCCTCCATCACGCTCCAATATCTGGAATTGTTGGAGGTCGCGTTTGGGCGGGCCCGAGGATACAATGGCGGACTCTGTGTGGTGATCGACGAACAATTTGTGTTCTAGCAGCAGACAATTTCTTGTGGCAAATAGATCCAGGATACTATTAGCTTCAATATGATATGCTGGCGACATCCCATAGCAAGGCAAGCCTCAGAAGGCTCTGGGAAATTAAACGTGCCAAAGCTTGAGTGTTCATTCCCCTGTCAAAGTCAATGTCCTGCCTGTCATGCCTGCCCTGCCTGTCCCTTGCCGGCCTTTCTTCACCAACTAATAGGAGCTGTCCTAGTTTTCCAAGGCCAGTTCATCAGAATGGGGACGCTGATGCTGGCAGTAACTAGGGCCCCCGCTGCTCTTGCAGTTACATTTGTGCACCCTGTGTTCATCACATACGCATGTTGTCCCCTCGTGCCGCTGGCCTAAACACGCAGGAGCAGAGAAAGACCCTTTAAAACCGCACCAAATCCATCAAATCCGCCTGCCGCTCAACCAAATCCTCCAGCGCTCGTTAGACCAGCTCAGTTACCGCTGGCTCTGACTTTTATCTCTTATAGCGAGTTCCTGTGCTACACTTGCAGCCGACATGCCACAACCGTTCACGAATTCAGTCCCGGGCACATCACCAAGGGATCATCACTGAGCTTGGGACAAGAGGGTTACTATACGACACAAGTCCTCGAGGCGTTGTCCGTGAAGTGTAAGGCAGAGTCTACGCTGCTGACTCTTTAAGAAGCAATGAGATGAAACTTGACAACGGTGGTATACGCAGAAAAAGGGCGCGACGTGACCGCAACAGTCACTAGCACATTCGAGAAGGCGAGGACCGGAGCGGTCTTTTCTTCTCCGGCGACGAGATCCGGTATCGGCTGGATAACAGAGATGACGGATGCCAAAGTACCGACAAAGACGCGGAATACATACATGTGACTGAACCGCCAGGTCAAAGGTCAGAAAATTATTGTGATTTCTGGCTCACCCTAATCAAGTTATCCTATAGGATGCGTCCGGCTATGCACGCATGCCTATGATATAAACCTTGTACCACATTCCTCGTCGAGTACACGCGTGCTTCCAGTCTTGTTCCGAGTCCCAGTTCCCGTAGAACGTATAAATAGTTCCATAGATCATAGCCATAGCTCCTCAGTCTACAATACAATACCTCCTTGTCTTGAACCTGTTCTTGTTCCTTATTTGCACGCTACTCTTATTCCTATCTATCTGCCTGTCCAGACCTTGGCAGACAGGAACTTTTGGGTTGGGCAACCGAATCGCTTCTAGGACACGAGTTGATGGCGAGGCCAATGCTGCGTTTGTGGAAGAGTAGGGGGGCGCTTTCTTCCTTCAGATCAATAGCTCTTTACACACAAACACTCTTTCCAACAAATAGCAACTTTTCCACACTATTGTTTCGCTCATTCACATTCGCGCGCTCCCGCGCCTTGTAATTCTAGTCAACTTATTCTTGACTATCAGCTCTAACCTTGACTCGTTCTTCCCAGACCAGCTTTGCTATATCACCTCTCTTTCTCTCACTTCGTCATTATTATTTTCCTCCCACAAACCCACTTCAAAATTAGGACTCGCAGCGCTGTGCTAAGAGACGTTTATTGAACTCAAATACTTGACGATTGCTTCTCATGCGCTCCTGAAAGTGGCTCAAGGGTCGTATGATATTCTTTTCTCTCGAACTTAGAGATTGCAGCAGAATCGTCCATACATCTTTGCGAACAGGGCGTGCTGTTGGAAAACCAGGCTATCTCTACCTGAGTGTCAGCGGATATTCTTAATTCGACTTAACCTTCAAGCATTTTCATCTCAGAACGGAAACAACTGCGGTGTTGCTTTGGGACGTGGCTCCGATTGCCTCCAATTCGGTGGTATTGCGTCTATTACCAGTGCCATCATGACTAAAAATGCTCCATGCGGAAAGTCAAACATTTGCCGTACTGGTCGCGAAGTGGAACTTGATGAGATACTCTTGAATTACCGCGACTACGTGGACCCTACAACCAAGGTCGTGCAGACGAAGGGGTAGGGACTGTAGCGCATTCGATTCAGGTCCACAATCTATTGCTTTATAAAAGAAAAATTGCTAAAGTCTCCCAGCTATACTCTATCCTGCGGTCTATGAAGTAACTTATTCAATTTGCCATCGCTCGGTCATGGTTGGACCCAACAATGCCGCTTCACAATGTAACACACTGCGGTTCCGCTGATGTCTCCATGGCCAGATCTTTTGCATCTTCCTCCCCTCCGCTCCACTCGTTCCTGTTGCAGATCCTCTAGTCAAGCCGCCTTGGACTTGTCCAAATATCATGGTACTTCCGTTTGCGGACGCGCGCTGCACAGAGGGCGTTGTCGAGCGAGTGGTCCCCGAGCCTCGAATGCGATACTGTCGCACTAGAAGAAGAAAACATGAAACACGGCATTATTAGTACTTTGGTTGCTTCAGGCGCTCTAAAATGTTAACCTGCATACACATTTCATGGAGAACGATGGTTCACGTACTAGCTTCCTTGAGCCCTTTGTTAAAGTTGCAAAGCATAACGATCGCGTAGATCAGGGCCAGAGCCGTCATGAATAGCGTTAACGCCGCTAAATTGATCCGAGGCGGATGAAAAAGGTCAGCATCGTGCTCACTTGAGACCAAACAGTTTCTTTCTAAAAAAATAAAAAGAGGACGCTACCAAAGACGGTCAAGGTCTTGCGGCTAAAGAAATATGGATCCGTCTCTGGATTACCCGTCAAGGTCTGGTATAATTCTATCTGCCTGTAAATCATGTACCCGATCAACAAGGTAAGGCATGCTATAAATCCACCCATCGTCACTTTATTCTCATGACGCATCTATTCAGTGAACGTTAGTATAATCCGTTCATTAGTCTCTCGACTCTCAAGAATCGTACTAGTCGACGCTACGAGGATAAAAAAAAAAAAAAAAAAAAAAAAAAGTGGGAGCTTACAGCATAGAATCCAAGGAGGATGATAATCGCCGAGAGCGGGATTGCAAACGAGACCTCGATCAGTCCTTTGGACCAGTGCTTATCTGTCAACGCAGCGACTTGGATCGCGTATCCAAAAAAGAAGAACGCGTCCAGCTTCAACAATGTGAACAACAGACGGTACTCCTTCATCATCTCTATTTTCAAATAAATAAAAAAAGGAAATGAGCACTTCAAATCCCATTGGTGCGCATATGATCTAATAAGCAATTCACTATAACCTTCTCCCTTCCCCCACTTACTCCTGAGGGATACATCCGCGCCGAGTTTTTGGAAGACGAGCCATCCGAACTCGAAGTACAATCTCCAGGTCAGGAGCGTGATCCCCAGACAGGCAACGACTTGGGCGCCGAGCTGCGAGAACAAGATCATCCGCGTGGTCGAGTCGCCCAGCATAACGAGTTCTTCATTTGGGGTTCCGATGTCCCTCATAAGTTGGTCATGCTGCCAGACCTGCAAACCCGAGTACGAGACCATGCACCATTCGAAGAGCGTGAACGCCACCAACTGAAGTGAGTTCTTGTGGATCGCCTAAACACCCCATAAAAAGAGGTGGGTTAAAAAAAGAACACACCCATTATAAAGACGCGATATTGGCGGATACGGTCAACGCGGTGTTTGAAGAGGGAAAAAAAAAGGAAGATTGACGACCGCTAACGTCGTCCTCACGGCCATCTAACTTACGGCGTCCCAAAGCAATCCGACTGCAAACACTTCTGCAAGAATGAAAATCAAATAGTACACCATCAACGGCCGAAAGAACGAAATCTCTATGGCGCCCTTCGGATGGGTCAAGCTAAACGCCATGGACCTGTGCCGCTGCAGCAGGATCGCCTCTAATGTGATTGTCACCAACGCAAGCACGATAGTCGCCACCAATGTCTCACGCGCTTGCTTCGATGTCGGAAGCAACTATTCGAATCCAAATTAATAGAGAGAAGATCAAAGCCTTAGTCAAAATAAACGAAGAAAGGTTTCTCAATCCCCGCTCGTCTTTCTCCAAGCTTTTACTTACCCCAGCCTTGAAGGTCTCCCAATCAGGAACTGAGCATGAAAGGCATAGCCTCCCCCCCTCCTCTTCATCTGCCGCCTCACGTTCCTGTGTCGTCGGCGCACCCAGGGTAGTACTCGATTGTGAAAACGATCTCTCCGAGGAGGAGTATGCATTCGAGGAAGCTACCGTGCTTCCACCATGGGGGCTGCTGCTGTTGCTGGCCATATTAATCGAAATCTCATCATCACCACTGCTGGGGTCTCTGAGAGGCGAGGAATCACGGAACGAACGGTATTGCTGTTGACTTGATGTTATGGTTGCAGGCATAGAGGCGCTCTCGCGAGCCTGCAGTTTCATCTCTGTGCTCATCTTCGATGCCGTACGACTCACTTGCATGACATTTTGGTTATGGTTACTGCAGAGTGTTAATGGTGAGGAGGTCAGTGGTATAGTCGGTATCAAAGGTATCGGCGCCTCTGAAGACGAAGGTGAAGCCGACTGTGTATCCGCAGGATAGGACACCATCGTAGTTGTCGTCGAGCGTGAGTGAGAGGTAGCCATCGACGGGGTGGAGGAAATAGTGGAGGAAACAGAACAAAAGGTCGAATTCAAAGCCAGCGAACTTGAATAATTATGTTGCCAATTTCGCTTTGTCTGGAGCTTTACGATTGCCCTGTGGACGATCGGGATTCCGTTGAAATCATAGCCTTGATCATGGCTTTGGCCACGGAGTTCGTCCTGTTGATGCCTTTCTCCAGCAGAATGACCATCCTCGAGATCGGTTGATCGCGATCTGTGCAATGGTATCCTGTCGCTGCCGCTGCCACTGTTGATGTTGTATTTATGATCGGCAGAGTGAGTCAAGATCCCCGTAGTTAAAAATGGTCGTTCATCGCTGAGTCGTCCTTGGTCTTCGGGCGATCGTAGTTGCTGATCAGAATACATTTCAGTGGTGTAGTGCAACGGCGGTCGATCGTATCCCTCACGGAAACTACTTCTGTGCGGTGAATAGTAGAACTGCTGCATCGAACTGGCAGAGTCCTGTTGCTGGTGTCCCATACTACTGAGTACACTGCCTCGCCAGAATGGTGCCATGGGCGGGTTGTGAAGATCAACCGGCTCATAATCTACACTGTCACCAGGTACACCATACTCTTCTTTAATATCGGTTACGGACGATCGATCTCGGTTAGCCTCCTTCATGACCTCGAGGATCTCTTTCTCAGTAGCGCCAGATTTGGTGTACGGTCCTCTACGGCCCCATGGTATTGAAAAGCCTGTCTTCCAGCGAGGTGAGGAGGGGTCTTGTGTGAGGTTGGCGAAACTGCTCTGTTGATGTTGGTTACTAGGAGGAGGCAGGGCGGAGTCGCGCGTATTGGATGCCATGTATTGTAAGGGAGGATGCGTGATTCTATAATGCGAAAAGTTAATGAGGTGAGCATATGAAGTCCACGGGTGGTCCGGTATAACAGTGTGTGGTATGCTATGAAGAGACGGCGAGGATGTTGTGGAAAACAACCAGAAGATGAATGATAGTTGAAGGGACACAGCCTTGATCCAGTTGTATGGCGCAAAAAAGGAGAAAAAAGGATAGTGTTCTACCAGTTTCTCCGGCAGTGGGGCCGGTGTTTGCTATGGAGCCAAGTGGAAATGGATGATCAAGAAGGATTTCAGGAGGCGGAGTGTAGGTGCGAGCGGATAGAACTAACAGTAACACGAAAAATACGAAGGCGTAAAAGGGAGGGTGACTGTATGGTGACTAGAAGCGAGACAGACAATAGCAGGAGGAGAAAGAAAGAAGAGGGATGTCGGCTGGACAAAAGAATGTGGATTGATGGATGAATGCAAGTTGACCGTTGGGGGGGGGGAGGCGTGCAATTGCTAAAATAAGGGTGTGTGTGGATTCTGGACGATATTTTAATAATGTAAAGAAGGTCGAACAAATGCAGGCGCAGGCAGAAGCGTGTGCAGGCAAGGCATAGCATGGGCCCAAGTCGAGTTGACAAAGCAGAAGGTAGCGCCCCTGAGTTCAGTCGGGACAGCTAGAATGATGCTCCAAGATATCAAGACAATATACCGGGAAAAAGAAAAGGACTAGGAGAGGAGGCTATTTCTGTAACAGTGGAAAGATGTTGTGGTCCCCTGAAACAACGTGTAGTTGGGATCCAAGTAAACTTATCAAAATAAACGACCCTTTACTCTGTTACTTGGTTGTGGTTTCTTTTGTTGGGCGGATTAGCAGCTGTAGGAGGGTGTGTTTCTTGGAAAAAGCTATCCTTACACTTCCCTCCTCTAACCTCTCTCGGTTCAGAGGACAATGTGACAGAGACAGAAGGCGGACCAGATGGATTGTTGGAGTAACATTCCAGCATGCCCGCACGTTCCAGTTGTGGACTGTGATGCTATAAATTTAGAGTTGACGTTGCGGTCCGGGCGAAATGGATGTGAAATGCAGCCAATAATGGGGCAAGGACAATTGGTGGCAAGAAAATGCAACGCAAAATATAAGGTGATGGAAAAACAATACGATAAGGAAGACAAAACAAAGAGAGCAAAGTGGAGAAGACCATAGTATAAATCTAACCTCTCATTCCTGTCTCAACGTTGCATGGCTCAATCCCCGCTCTGTCTCCCTGCGACTATGTTTCTTCTCCCCTTTTGCGCAGGACATGGTCCTGACATATTTATATGAAGAAAGAGGGGATTAGTGACAATAAAAATGCGCCCGAAAAGTATAGTGTGATCCAATGCATCATTGCTGTATCCTAAATCCCATGCATGATGCATGTCCATGTATAGGCCCACCAACGATAGTCAGATTGTATGTGATAAAGAAACGTTCCCCCAATACGAACGCTATCCCCCCGGCTCTACAACGTCACTAAAGGCTCTATTGAGTCCAGATAGCCGGGTTTCACAGCGCGTTTCCATCGTTTGTTTTGAAGGGTCCACATCGCTACAAAGTTTTGTCGTTTCTTTATCACCCTTGGATCTTGCTTCCGAATCGACTTTTTGCACATGGGAGCACGCCGTTGTCTTCTCAAGCACCAATTTGCTTAGATTAGCCACGAGTGTTTCTCTCCAAAACCATTTCCCCATCGAAGCCTTGGATGCTGTGGAAGATGGCTTCGACGACTACGATATACAAGTTGCCAAAACCATATCCTTGTCTGAAGCCCATGCTACTTCACCGGACAAATCATCCACGAGGACTTCAAGGAAACGCCCCTGCCTTGATTCATCTTTCCGAAACTCTGTACAACGATCTGGAAAAAGAGGAAGAGCCAATAGTCTCGGAGACCTTGGAGATGATTGAGAAGCTGCAGGAGGTCAAGCTATTGCAGAGCCAGATCAGAGAATTGCGAAAGGTCGCGCCTCCCAGCAATACGTTCGTTTCAGTCAAATAGCATAAACGGCCTTAAGGAAAAAGGGCGGCTGTTGAGGAGCGTAGAATAGTACTTCATTGCTACGAGTTTTGCAAGGGAGAAAAGGAGAAAGCGAAACTTGTTACGACATCGAATCCTTTTCTACGAACCGCCTATTACATGGGATTCTCACTTAATACTGTCAAGAATATCGTGTTGAAAAGGATAACGGAGAAACTCGAGCCAAGCATCCACGCTACAATCACACTCCATCGTTTGCTTCACACCTTCGACAAATCACAATGGAAATGAACACCAAGGGACAAGCTGTTAACCTTATAGTCCTTTTTAATCATATCAAGATGCTCAATTCAAGGTTCCAAGCTAGGAAACGACTCGCTTGTTGATGAAGAATATAGGTTTCAGTTACCAGGATGTCGGGAATACTAGGGATTCTGTCGAGACTGAGGATATCAAAGCCGAGAGGCGGTACTACCTTCAATAACGAGGTCTGACAAGTATAAGGACACCGTCTTTGTGTATTTGGACGAATCCTACTGTAACCAGAACCATAGGGGTTGGCTATTTTGAGCGATCCATCCCTTTATTAGTCTCTCTCGGTTCAGAAGATAGTGCGACGGAGACAGAAGACGCGCCAAACAGATTGTTCCGCAGGGTTTATTCTGCGTGCATGAATAAAAGATTTGACGCGAGCTAGTCTCAATCATAGACAGAGATATATCAGGCTATCAATCACACCTTGTCCTGCAAGTCCGAGCCCAACAAGCCCAGCACACCCAGCTCGCGCTTTTCTTCTGAGCTACTCCCTATCCTGGTATCACCAGCTCTGCTATCACCGCCAGTCAGCAAGCACTGGAGTCATCTTCAAGCTCTCGACATCCACGAACGATGGGGGGGGGGGAAGGCTCCCAAAGTGGAGAGGGAATTATTGTAAGATGAAGACGATATGGAAAGGTTGTTTCAGTGCTCTGGTATTTTATTCTACTAACTTTTTCTCTAGGGAATGTTGGCGCACTAAACAGAGGCCATCCAATCTACTTTCATCTCGGTACTGATGTACTTCATTTTTTTCTAGAGCAGATAGAGCGGCCGAGGAGAGACATTGTTTTTACATAGTCTAAAAGCGCCAGTAGGCCAGTTTTTGGCACGACAGTTCAAACCAGTTGTCTGTGAGATACGGAAGTGCTGTCGTTCTACCGCGCCTATGAAGGGTCTGCGTGCATGTAAAATATCCCTGTCTATTCTTAAAGGTCGTCATGCCTCGAGGATAGATTCACACACGATTTTGCGGTGACATATCCATGTGGTATTCCATATTTAAAATGAAAGCGAAACTATACCTATTGGGGCGCTTCATGGCACAGCAGTTGAGTTATAATTAGTTTTATTTCTTGCACACTTTGGACATAGCCTCCAGGTCTCGCCTTCCTAGTAATACCCTTCGACCTCAAAAGTACTCTTCCCGCCCATCCGCTCCACCAACTCATCCATCTTGCCCATCAGCTCCTGCCTCCACCGTTTTATCTCCCTATTGCCTCCACTCAACCTCCACCACCACACCCTGATCTGCATCTTCAAATCAAGTTGCCACTCCCAGATCCATACCGTGCAGTACGCAATCGTCGAGAACACCACCAATGTCGCCACCAGCCAAAACGCGATTAACCGGCCCATCGTCCAGAACTCTTGCAGCGACTCCCACCGACTCACCCAGATCGTCAACAACGTTGCGTCCAGAATAAAGCACACTGGCATCAACGCCAAACAGACCACAATCTTCCATGTCGCAATCACATCCCGTCCCGGCCAGCGCGATACGGGGAGATACGACTGGAACGCCAACATTGCCTCGCGGCCCTTGTGCTTTGCGGCCCATGTTGCCAACAGACCCACGGGTCCGAAAAGAAGCGTTCCTGGAAGTGAGAGCAAGAACATGGGCGGGAGAAGGAACAGTGCAGGCAGGATATAGACCAATGCGGTCCATATACTAGGGTCGGCAGTCACCTGCCAATCCCGGATGCCCTTCTGAGTGAGATTTCTGTCATAGGCGTTGATGTCGCGCTTCAGTGCTGCCATGTTGGGTGTCATCACCAGGTTGGCGTATCCCTTCGCGAATCGGCGGGTAAGTTCCAGTTTCTGAGGAACGGAGAGTTTTCGACCGGTGCTGTAAAGTCGTCGAGTCGCTTTGTACAGTCGGAGCTCATCATAGTTTGGCGCATTTAGAGTCAATCCTTCGACCGCTGCGTGAATTATTTGTAGCAGCTCCGTGCATGCTATTGATATATATATCGAATGAATGTTAGTTATATCTCATTAATTACGATTATAAAATTCTTCGCCCTCAGACGATTAATGCCTACCTTTCTTCTTGGCCTCTCCTCCTTCACGATACATGGTCACCAGGTTGTCGGGAACTGTAATCGGGAGGCCGTAATCAGCATAGAATCGGGATCGGAACCGATGGCGGTTAAAGAAATTCAGTCCACAGGGTATAATCCTCAAAGACTTGGACGGGTGCTGTGCCAGATACCCCAAGACCATGATCGTGCATCCGTACTTGAAGTCCAACAAATGATAGTCATCACTCGAGACGCCCTCAGGAAAGACCGCGACTGTGCGTCGGTCCTCAAAGTTTTTCCAGACACTCTCGTAAATCACAGAATGGTCGATCGGTCGCGAATATTGGAACGGACAAGGTTGTGCAGGAAAATGCGCGACGGGGCTGGCGATCATCGGGGACACGAGGCTATCCTGGCCGCTGGAAGATCCCGGGCTAGTGACAGTAACCTGTCCAGATCCGTGTCCGTTCAACAAATGCGAATGATCCGCCTCTTCCTCTCCATCTCCATACGCACTTGGCGAGGAAAGAATCGACAGCTTAGCATTGGATTCGCCATGTCTTGGGTTCGCATAAATCGCTCGAGCAGAGGAGTTGAAAGATCGGACCCTCTTCAGCAGGGGTGTTGCCTCTGTCGTATGGAAATCCTGTGGCGCCCTAAGGGATCCTGGAATATCGGCGCCAGTGTCCACAGTCTGCATCAGTTCCTCATGATCTATCCTCTCCGCATCCGGTGACTTCGAAAAGATCTTCTGCACAAACTTTCCGATCGTTCCTGTGGCACTGCTGGCCATAAACGTGCCATTCTGTTCTTGTGCCTTTAGCGCATCATTGATCCCATTCCAGGTGTTGCCACGCTCCACCCTGATCTTCAGCGACCCATAACGGACAATCTTTCGGGACTTGATATAGGCGATATCGCGCTCAGAGGTCAGAGTAGCGGGTATCCACTTCAAGCCCGGGGGTTTGAAAACGACTTCGTTGTCGCTGACGACGCGCTCGACGACGGCGTAGCATTGGGTGACACGACTGTCTCTGGCTGCATCCTGAAAGGAGCCGCATTCGATGTAGACAGTATCTCCGACGCTCAGCTGCCAACCTAATCCCTCGCCGACGATCGAGTTGCCGTCAGGGGATATGGTGACCTGACTTGTGCCGTCGTATTTCGTTGCATCTTGTGGTCTAATCATTTGACCCAAATTGCAATAGATAGAAGATCGGAATGTCAGCAAAAAAAAAAAATACGGAGACGAAGGACAGGGGCAACATGCCAGAAGTCTGGCGGTTGCAATAGGGGGATGCAGGCAATAGGCAGCTGTCTTCAAGGTTCAGTTGTCTCTAGCGGTTGCTGGCCGCAATCTGCATTCTTGGGGAGCATAATTCAGAGCAATTGGCCCTGCTACTTTTCTCTCACCTTTGCACAGGAATGGCGCCAATCTTTCTGGCGATTCCTCCGATAGCGGTCTTAAAGTTGGGCTGTGCCATAAGGAAGGATATCTGACCGGGATAAGTTGCGAGTAGGGCGAGTCCGTCGAGGAGATAGTTGCCATGGTTGGAGACGACGAGGAGGGGTTCGTTCCCTGGGATGAATTCAGTGTGAAACGCGTCATAATCTCTGAAGAAGATATGGAAGAGAGTCCTGCACAGCAGCTTGACGAAGCTGTATAGCCCTGGGATTTTTCTGTGGACCATGCCCGGTGTTGAGTTCATATCTTTCTTTTCTGTAGAGGTAGTCAGTCGGTTGCTAGTGTGAAGTGTGTATCGTGGTGTGGTAAGATTGCGTGATGATGGTATAAAGAGAGGTAGATTCGATTTTGTAGGAGAGGAATGAGTGAATGAGGAGGATGGAGGAAGCGGGGTCCGATTGTAAGGATCAATCCATCGTAGCTTGACACTCCGTGGAAGAAGTGGAAAAGAAATGACAGAGAGCCATTCCATGTGTTTTTTTTACGGTTGATGAATCTTTCCTTCAGCCCACACTTTCTTACTTTCTTCCAAGGAGCGACGCCCAGAACATGTCCAACCTGCCCAAAAGAGGCAAAGTCTTTTTTTTCTTTCGGCTCGTCGGACAGGGCTAATTCAGTGGATGGCGCGTCCCACTTTTGCCAACAAACAATAGTAATTGGTGTTCCTTTGTTAACCTTTCAACTGTTCTACATAATATCCCCACTCTCCTCTGTCTTGATAGACAAGATCCAATAGGCAGTTTGGCCACTCAATTGAATGCTGTGCAGGAATAGACGGATGATATAAGCAAGAGCATCAGCCATTTTATTACAGGTTTAAAAATTTTGTATGGTTTGTTCTTGTACTCTCGTCCACCTCCCATGTATCCTGCGCAATAGCTCTAAGGTCCACTATGCTTCCGTTCCTCGATCTGCTATACATCCCCGAGGTCTGAGTCGGTGCCACAAATCCGGGTCCACCGATTTTGGAATACGACTTCCGTCGCACAGGTCCCCCATGATTTCTGAGTCCCAGGACCTGACTATTACAAGGTTGTGGTCCAATATCCGTCAAGATAAACTGCCGCAGATCGCTCGTCCACTGGAACGAATTCAGTATTGGCGAGAACGCGCTTCCAGGTGACGAAACTGCCGATGAACAGGACGAATACGTCGCAGAAGGCGGTGAGGACGACGAGAACATGGGTGAACAGGCAGAGTGAGAAAAAGGAGAGAGGGAGGACATGTTGATAGATAAACGCTGGTGGGGTTTATTGGGCCTGGACTCTGAGGTACTGTCAGGGCCTGGGATGAAGATATCATCGAACAGCATGGCGCGCATCCGTTCTTCTTCTTTTGGGATGAGTTCTACGTCTGAGAACTCGTTTTCGTCACCTGGAAGTTCAGGAATCGTTGTGAGAGGTATGCCAGATGCGATTATGAGAGCTGAGAGGTTGAAATCCATGTCCATGTCTGAAGCGATTTCTGTGTTCATGCTGGCCATGGTCGCGGTATTATTTTGCCAAGTTATTAAGAATTATGGATGTACGAATAACGTGATGTCTTTGCAAAGGGCAGTTCTGTGTACACTGAATGCGAGACGGTTACGACGGCAGGCTGGATGGGGTTGTGCGATTCCGATGTGCGTAAAAGGAGGTGAGATAATAAGGTGAATCGTTGTAGCTGGATAAAATGAATGAATAACAGTGTAGACACTAGGCAGTGGAAATGGATGAGGCAGATACGTTCATATGTTAAAAAAGGATGGAGTATGGGCAAGGACGATTGAATACCGATCCTTCTGCGCTGTCTTTTATATCCACCTTCTTGATCTACCGGTCCCAGTCTCGCTTACCTCTCTATCTCAATCAAAGCGTGTCAAAAGAAAGACACGCAAATGGCACGGCAATAGATACGAATTGTGTCTCTCTTTTCTGTCTCCTTTGAGAAGCAGCGGGCGTCATGCAAGGTAAGGAGGAGAATATTATCAAGGCAGGACTGAATAGCATCTAGAGGAAACGTAACTCCTGTTGGCGGTTGACGAGCACCAAGCTGAGTTAAGTGAGCAACAAATAAAAGAAAGATTGAGATGCCGGCACTTTTTTTCCTGGCTCCTCACTCGCATGGACCCTTTGGTGCTTCTCCTCAAAAAAAGTGAACATTTGCATTAATCCTGTAAAGCATTGTGCCGTTGAGGAAATGATCCTGCATTTCTAATTGCTGTATATGAATAGCAATTGAGCACTAGACGATAAAAAGGAAGGACAAGGGATTAAAATGCTGGTGACCAAGTACAGAGTCTGAAGAGTGCGCAGGGATGGACCTGAATAACGGGCAGTTATATATATAGGAAGATGAGCAGTCGAAGTAACGACAATGATGCATGGTAGCTATCAATAGCTCCCGCCTTTTTTTTCATGTCTTTCTGTTAAGGACGCTCGGTAAAAAAAAAAAAAAAAAAAAAAAAAGAGGCCCCGAGAAACGTCGGAGACTGGGAGTGAAGAAGCGTTTTCTGGATGCTGAGGCACCCTATCAGCTGTTGTAACAAAGGGCATGGCCATGCTCCTGTGTCCTGTGTTCTTGTTGAATGGTCGTTGAAGGGTTGTTAAAAGTTGCAAGGAGAGAAAGAGTAAGAGTAGTAAGAAAAGTAAAAGAGAAAAAGACATAGTGGTGGCGGGTGGGGGTGAACGCACTTTTTTTTTGTCGCCCTCTTCTTCTTCCCAAAAATGAACCCGTACAAATCCCATGTAAACCTAGATGTGTGTCCCCTATTGATTCCTCTTTTGTGGAGAGGGTGTCGTGGAGGACATTTATTATTTAAGTTTACGTCGAAATGCTCTTTGTAAAAAAACAAAAGTCCAGTTCTATTGGAGTTGAATGCAAGTCTGATGTTTGAGGCTACGTCAGACCAGTTTCGAACACCAGTTTCCACAACTATGACAGTTGTACCATCGTTGCGTTCTGCAAAGATAACAGGAATGCCTTCTCGTTGAAATGCCTCGACAATGGCCGTCTTGAGTTCATCGTGTCTTGTCGGCTGAGGGAATCTACACATGTGCGTTCGAGTTCCTTCTTGAGTGTTCACCAGTAGGAAATCCATTATGTATGCAACTGAGCTCTGTAAGAGAAAGACGGGGAATGGGTGAAGAGAGGAAAATGAAGAAGTTCATGGAGGAATGGAATTCCAGGCATGAACTGCTTCACGACGTTTCGGTATCACTGCGGGTTGAAAGTCAGATCCCTAGAAGAAATTGGTGCCATGCATTGGAGAAAAAAAAGCAATCCAAAAATAAAAAAAAGAGGTGATGCTATCATACCTGGAACGCGCCAAATACAAATATTAGGGGGGAGGGGGGGCCGCCTTTGTCTCTTACCCTTTTAGTTGGGACTGAAGGGAGTAGAGCTCATTCCAAGGGATATGCAAATACGAGTATGTAGCAGCAACAGGGAGAGCCGGCTTTCGATGCTCCAGCTCCTTGCAGCCATGTCTTTTGTTTCTCCAGAAGAATAGAAAACACGCCAAAAGGACAGGTAGACACGATTGGCACCATGGTCTGCTGTGCAAGTGTATCTTCGCTACACCGGACGATTTAAACGCGCGTAGGATGGTAGTCTAAGAGACACACGCGACCTGAAACCCCCCACTGGTGCAATTGGTGGCAAACCTTGATTGCTTATCATAGTCTCTCACTAAGATGCATACGGTCTTTTCCTTCCTCGGTGCTCACATTCTGCCCCTGTTCATAGCCCAAGGGTCCCTCATTCTTCCTCCACATCCTTACACCTCTTTTCCATTCCATTCCATTCCTTCAATTCATTCGCCATGAAGCCCAGTGTGCTGTTGGTCCCCATAGCCTTTCTCTCCACAACCCTGGCCTGGAATAGAAACCCACCGCCAACACATGCAGAGGACCCCCTCCTGCCTGCAAAAAACCGTCGTTATGATTACAAGCAATCTCTGAAGAAGCCTTTCATGTACAACGGGGCTATGCCCTTCTGGGAGCATATTGGCAGTTACGTGCTTCGACTTCTTTTGCAAAGGATACCCGTTCTATTCATGACATCAATGAGAGAAGGTCGCTCTAACCAAAGAGTGTCTCAATTCAATTACTAATCGGGTATACCAATGCAGACGCTTTCGTGGCCCTGGACTTTATCCGTCTGGCGCCTTCTGTACCAGGTCTGCGCGGTGCAGTCTGGCGGTCAGCCCCGAACGAGTACAAAGAATGGGAGGCCGAGTTCTCGTTCAAGGCCCATGGTCAGAACTATGTTGGTGGCAAGGGCCTGGCCTTCTGGTACACGCAAGAACGCGCCATTGAAGGACCAGTCTTTGGTAATGGGGATAAGTGGAAGGGTTTGGGTGTCTTCATGGACACAAGTGATCCAGCCAATCAGGTGCGTGCACAACATCGAACCTCTTTTGTCCGTCTGCCCTGATACTCGAACACAACAAACATTGTATAAACGAGCACAGAGGGTGTGCACGGAACAGCGGCGCAAGGGGGGAGGGAGTGATAGTGAATGTGCTTTGTTTCCACACAATGGGTTCTCTTAAGGTACTGATTTTTTTTTTTTTTAGAGGCTCAACTCTATCATCTACGCCATCATCAACGATGGCACAAAATCTTATCAAGAGGATCAGGAATCTAGCCGGCTTGGTGGATGTCTTCGCGATTATAAAAATTCCCCCGTCCCTGTTGTCATCCGAGTCTCGTACATTAGCAGAACTTTGCGTGTTGCTGTTGACACGATGAACAAGGGCAGCAAGTTAATGACCTGCTTTGAGCGCAACGATATCGATCTTCCCGCTGGATATCACTTTGGATTTTCGGTATGGCACCATGTCTTGCTTGTCAGCGTTTTGAAATTGTTGCTCTCAAGTAACGATTTATCATTGATACTTTTTTATGCGCGATACATAGGCAGAGTCTGCGAGCACAGGAACGCCAGATGATCATGACCTGTTCTCGTTCGAAGTGTATGAAGTGAACCCTCCATTAAAGACCCAGGTACTACTTTCTGTGGATGCTCTCTGATTTTATGTATGATGAACTGAAGTTTGAGGCTACCAACACGGTTTCTTATTAACACTACTCTGTTCATGTATGATAGAAGCATCTCAGGCCTCACGAGGAAGAGATGATCAGGAAGGGAGAAGAGGTCAAGGTTGATGAGTCTGACAAGCTAGTATTTGAAGAAGTTAAAAAAATTGTCGAAGAGCAGCAGCAGAAGATCCAGGAGGAGATCGATGGACCCAATATCCTTTCCGCCGTGAGTTCAAGTGACCCCTGAATAGACCTATCTTCTGTCGACGGACGATGGATTTTTTTTTTGCGCTAACATCTCGTACATTTTTTCATCACGGATCGCAAATCGTGTTAGGCACAGCTGGCTGCAACGGTTTCCGATACGCAGTTCAGGATCGTTGAATCGCTTAATACTATTCACAAAAAACTGGAGTCACTGGGAGCTCCCATTCAGCCTCATGAATCAACATCCAGGAGCTTGGAGGAGATCAACAAGCAGATCAGCTCGATGACAGGGTCACTGCATGCAATGGAAAACGTCGTCAAGGGTTTAGTCGATCATATTATTCAGCAGGGACGCAAGAATGCGCCGGAGATCACCAAGGTCTTGAAAGAGGAACTGAAGAGCCTCAATGCCAAGATGGAGGACATCGATGTAAGTAAAATATACTCGTTTTCGTCTTTTTTTTTCTTGAAATAATGACTGTGGTGTACTAATGCTTGTCTCGTTCGTATTTTGTAGCATCGTCAATCATATCAGCATCAACTGACGCAGACAAGGCTGGTCAACTCGAGCTCATGGTTCTCATATGTAGCCTTCTTGATACTGCTCCAACTCGCCGCAATGGTTGCGTATAACTGGTACAAGAGACGTCTTGAGTTGAACGAGAAGAAGTTCATCTAAACGCGAGCAAGGCTGCAAAGTCGACATCGCCCGTTGCATCACGTGCAACACCCATGAATAAAATGCACTTGTAGGAATTGGAACTGGAATTGGGTGTCCCCTACTTTCTTCCCCCCCACAGACTCCCACAGACCAAACATACTCAGGGTTAGTTCGATTCCCAAAGTGGATGCTCGGCAAACGAATGCTTCATTTGGCAGTTGTCTCCCCATTCCGGTCACTACTACTTCTCTCCATACAAAGAGCTCTTTGAGCAAGTACTCTTCTACACCTCTTCCTCCACTCCCTTGTTAAGTTCTTGTTTGATCAACTCTGATTCACATACACAACAACGCACACGCACTTTGCATGGTTGTTCAGAAACACAAAGGCACAGCAACGAATGAGCAAGGCGGGGGGAAACTATGCGGTCGAAGCTGTCTGCAGTGGCTGTCAATCCTCTCGAGGGTGAATGTCTACATTGCTGTGTATACTTCATTTTGGAGGCGATTTTTTTTTTTCATTCCTTTCACTGCTCTTAATGATATCTCTGCGTCTACTTTTTATTCATTGCGTCATTGTAGATACATGCTGCAACTGTGTGTAGGTGTCTGAATATTCTGCTGCGTATATTCGTATGGGTTGTTCTACAGAGCAAATCGAGTTGCTGGTGTTTGAAGCATAGCAATGAAAGGAGGGCTGATTGTTACTTGCACCTTGTCCTTAAAAAAATGAGGGTGCAGGGGGGGGGGGGGGGGGTGAAAATGGGTTTCTGGACATTCTTTTTGCTCAATAGAGTCTTCTGCACTTATTTCCTATCCTTCCATTGACGTGTGTTGTTGATATGTCGCCGGCAAATAGGCGGTGCACTGCAAAGTCTCATTACTAGGTTCTTCATATCCCTTACTTTACGCCACCACCCCTTCTCTCGAGTACTATACTAAACAACAGAGATCATTCGTTCATTTTCAGTTGTTGAGTTTACTGAGATATTAGATAGATTGGGTATTGGCATGGTATAGCTGGGCATGGGGATGAGATCCGGCGCTATTGCTACTGTTGTTTGTTTTTCTCCAATATAAATTATGCTTGTTGTATATGTGCAGGTGAAACTGCAAAAAGAAAGGCTCAAAGAAAAAAATGAGGATCGCCTGTTTCTTTTTTCGGAGTAAGCGACCAAAAGAGGAGAGAGCCTCCCGTTTGCCAGACAATTGACGCACACGCGTGGGAGTAAAAACGACAGCAGCTACTATGTTATCACCATGGTCTATCAATGGCATATGCCACATGCCATATGCCATGTATTCTTATCAATGCATCTCTAGCTCTTTTATTAAACCCCACTTTCCTGATATATATAAACTTCAAAGCTAACCAGCTACCTTTTTTTCCTCCCACTTTACATATTTCTGGATATTTTATTATCTGACAACCACCCAACTGACACCAGCCCTTTTCGACATCTACAGGAACCAAAAAGGCATTGACCAACCAAGGCTCAACTTCACGCCTCGGACGTAGCCTAGAATAACATCGCACGTGTGCACACCAACCAACAATACCTCCACAGTCAAGCAAAGAACAAGAACATGAGTGCAAAAAGGAACCAGGCCCAGGCGATCGGGAGCCCTTCTTCCAGCACAGGCAATGTCGAAGGCAACTCCATGAACAATGACGACCATGTCGATAAGAAGTTCAAGCAGGTCCATGGCGATGGAGACGAAGACGATGATGACGATGATGATGATGACGCGCCCAAGAGCAACAAGCGAGCTGGGCGAAGAAAGATCAAGATCGAGTACATCGAGGACAAGAGTCGACGACATATCACATTCTCGAAGCGCAAGTCTGGCATTATGAAGAAGGTATGTCAATGTCGTCTATGCACAAATTTGGAGATAAACGCGTCCTTGATTGGATAACTTCCTTCTCTGTGCATGGTGTCCCGTGCTATTTGAAAATGAGCTTCAGCCCATGTCTATACGACGAGTATGGCCCAACAGCCGTTTTATGAGCTGAAGAGACATCCCATGGCATGGCTACATCCGTGTAATGGTGGGGGTGTTCGGAAGCGATCGGCGCAGCTAGCGAGTTGATCAGCCGACGTTTCCCCCTCCTCCTCTCCCGAAATCCACTTTTTTTTCCCTCCTATCCCTCACTCTCCCGGAAATCCTCTTTGTGGCAAATTGGTTTCACATTCCCATCCTAGGGTGTACGGCGCGATCGTAATGTGACACCATTCTAACTGATAACATATCTTTTTTGTTTGTTGTTGTTGTTGGGTGGATGGTTAGGCATACGAATTGAGTACCCTCACAGGAACCCAGGTCCTACTCCTCGTAGTCTCGGAAACAGGACTAGTCTATACCTTCACAACACCGAAGCTACAGCCCCTCGTCACCAAGGCTGAGGGCAAGAATTTGATCCAGGCATGTTTACACGCCCCCGACAAGGAGCCCACTCCGGTATGTTCTCACGAAGTCAACATGGCTGTTCTGATATCTCGTCTTTTTTTTTTATACAAACCATGCACAACTCACACGTGCACACCCCTCGCTTTTTTTTTTTTTTTTTTTTTAGGAAAGCAATAATGCCGCAGAGGCCGACACCCCTGAAGCCATGCCCGTCCCAGACTATGAAGACCGCTCCGGCACGAGCCCACAACAACCTTCGACACAGGCCTCGCCACAACAACAACCAATGCAGCCTTATCCAGGACAACCGCAAGCAGGCTATGGCAGTTCTTCGGCCATGAGTGTCCCGACCTATCCTTCGCCTTACAGCCATATCCCATTTCCAGCACAGTACAACATGAACATGCATTATCAGAACCCACCGCCGAATGGACCGCCAACGGCGACCACGAATTATGGAGGAAATCAGTATTGGTCTGGGCCGCCTCCACCTCATCAAGCACAACAGCAGCAGAGAGGTCAACAGAAAGAAGACGCTAAGCCGGTCATTGACGGGAAATGAAAAAACTCTTCGTGTGTTTGAAAGAAAGGAAAAAAAAAGAAAAAGAAAGCCTTGTCCTGTCGATAACCAGGACCAGTTTGTACAAATAGTGAAACCAAAATAATATAAAAAAAAGCTCTCCCGAACTCTAGCTATGTAATTAATGCATTCTTTGTGTGAACTGTCCAAACGCTCTGCGTTAGGGTCCATTTTATTACAATAAGTGATGATAAGCGGATCAAATACGGTACAATGAATCGAGTGAAAGCAATCGGCGCTCTTCTTGGTTTCTATGGCGGCGGTGCCAGTTTCGCCATGCCCTGTCCCTTCGGCATCTTCTTCTTGCTATCGTCTTCCAGGTCTTTGTCCTTGTAGTAATGCGGAGCAACTGAAACCCCCAATAAAAGATAACAAAGGTAACTTGTCAGTAATCGAACAGTATCGAATCAACATACAACACAGAAACAAAAGCTGAAATGAAAACAAAACGTACCTTCTTTGAGCCATTCGCTATCGATCTCCATGACGATTCTCATAAATTCCTTGCTCGTCAGCACCAACTCAAAGTACACAACCCATCGCGGATTGACCTTATACAACGAGCTGCTCGGATGAATCAACACTGTTTGATTACTCTTCACCGTCCTGTACGATTCTCCAGACCGTGTCAACCTTGCCGCATTGTAAAAGAATCCTGAAGTAATCGCCTTCCGGATCGGTGCCGTATCTGCCGGATTAGGATTAGATACCATCGCCACCTCCGTCCGCTCCATCAACCCGACCATCTGGTCCCGGATATCGCGTGCCCTCGACATCGACCGATGCTGCAAAAAGTTTTCATAACACCACTGAATCGAATAGTTGGATTCCACCCACTGTTCCCATATATTCAGCAACGTCAAATGATCGCCTCCAGGTTTCGTCAGATTCTGCCGTGCCTTGTCCGCATGCAACTTCTTGTCCTTGGGTCGGTAAAACACCGCGTTCTGGACCGACAACATGGCGACAATCGACGCAATTTCCTCCGTGCATTGGTATTTCTCCGCCATGATCAATGTCTTCGCTAGCATAGGGTCGCCCGGAAACTCGGCCATGCGTCGCCCCAGCTTTGTCAGCTGTCCCTTATCGTTCAGCGCTCCCAGAGCATACAGCTGCTCCAATGCTCTCATCAACGTCTCTGCTGGTGGCGGGTCCATGAACTCGAATCCCAGGATATCATTAATACCGAGCGACTTGAGAGTCAAGACCACAGAGTTGAGATTGATTCTCTGGATCTCCGGAACAGTGTTCTCATCCAGTTCGTTGTAGTAGGCCCATTGCGTATACAGCCGGAAGCACTTTCCTGGCCCGACTCTTCCAGCCCGTCCCTTTCTCTGGTTGGCCGATGCGCGCGAACAGGGCGTGACAACCAGCGACTCCATGCCGGTCTTGGGGTTATAGCTCAGCATCTTTGAGAATCCCGGGTCGATCACAAATTTGACTCCATCGATCGTGATCGACGTCTCCGCAATGTTTGTGGCCAACACGACCTTACGTGATCCCTCTGGCGTCGGCTCAAAAATCTTGCCCTGCATATCCGATGGCAATGACGAGTAGATCGGACAAATAACCAGTTCCTGAATCCTGTCTCCAAGTACGCGACATGTCTGCTGTAGATTCTCGGCCGCATTGTCGATCTCATCCTGACCAGTCAAGAACACCAAGACGTCGCCGGGCCCCTGAGAGATGTGGATCTGCATGACGGTTGTGATGGCGGCAGCGAGATAGTTGGCTTCAGGTGAAGTTGTGTAGTGAACCTCGACCGGGAAAGGTCGACCGGGGATGTTGAAGATCGGAGCGTCGTCAAAATATGCAGCGAATTTTTCCGCGTCCATCGTTGCGCTCGAAATCAAAACTTTAAGATCTGTCCGGAGGCGAGCAATATCCTTGACCAGTCCAAGCAAGATGTCCGTATGCAATGTTCTCTCGTGAGCCTCGTCGATGATCAGACAGCTGTATCCGGCCAAGTCAGGTTCACTCATGAATTCTCGAAGCAGCATTCCGTCCGTCATGTACTTCACCATTGTCTTTTCGCTTGTGCAGTCCTCGAAACGAATTGAATATCCAACTTCGTAACCCAGCTTGACGCCCATCTCCTCTGCGACACGCGCCGCGACACTCATAGCTGCGACACGACGAGGCTGTGTGCATCCGATCTTCATACCTCCTTTAGTATACCCTGCCTCGTACAGATACTGGGGTAGCTGCGTCGTCTTTCCTGAGCCTGTCTCTCCGACAATGACGAGTACTTGGTAATTTTCGATCGCATTCAGCAAGTCTTGGCGGTGCTGGTAGATGGGCAAAGACTCTCTGACCTGCTTGATCGACATCTCCTTGCGCTCCAGTTCTGTAATACGCTCCAACAATTCCTCCGATTCTCTCTCCTTGGTCTCCTCTTCCTTATCCATTATAAAATCGATGGCCTCCTCGTCAAAGACGTAATCGTAATCCATCTCCTCGCCCTCCTTTACATCAGATTTCCGTGTCGCATGCTGTCTGGACGCCCTCGTCTGTAGCTCCTCCCACTGATCCTGCTCAGACACAAACTTGTCACCGGGCTCTTCCTCGTACCTCCTGTACAGCGCATCGTGCTTTTTCTTTTTGTCCATCTTGCCCTTCTCGGTGATATAGTCCTCAGGCATCTGATACCCATCGTATCTGTCGTTGATGTTCATGCGCTCCTCTGCTAGTCGCAACAGCTCCTTCTTGTATTCCAGATCCTCGCGCTCCTTCTTGGTCAGTTCATTGATATTGAACAGCTGTTCCTCATCCCGGACCTGCATCCTCAGCTTTTCGATCTGCAGTTCCTCACGCTTGGCCAGGTATTCTTGACGCGCTCTCTCCCTAATTGACGGAAGGGCAGCTTTCCTGGCCTCGGGATCGTCAGCCAGGTTCCTACGCGAGTCGGATTTGGATGACCGATCTTCGACCAGCTTTTTCGTCTTGCCCTCATCCTTGTTCCTCAGACGGTTAGCAAACTCATCTCGCTCTTTCATATCCTGCTCCCGCTCGCGTTCCAGCCGTTCTTCCTCAAGCTCTTCTATAAATATTTGAAAAGGAAAAAATGTTAATATATAAATCATGCGTGCAGTCATGTTAATGATGCGAAATGTCATACCTTCAGTCTTGGGTGGCCGTGACTCCATTTCTTGCTCTTCCATCTTCCTGCGTTTGTACTCCTTCTCTTCCTCGTCACTCTCCCATGCATTGCCGTCGTCCTTCCTTCTGATCTTTTTCTCGCGCTTCTTATCGGCAGAGTCTTTGTCCTTCTCCTTGCCTTTTGATGATGACGAGCTCTTCTTACTCTTCTTTTTTTCCTGCCGACTGTCCTCTTCGTCGATAATCAGGCCGTATGAGTCATTTATCTCCAGCAATTTCAACGCCGCAGCCTCCTCCTGTCGTTTCTTCTTGGCTGCATCAGAAGCAGCGCTGGTGCTGGATCCAGGCGCTGCTTTCCGACTTTGTGTCCTTGGCGTGCGTTTGTAGAGCTCCTGAACAAAAGATTGTGTGCTAACATTGGCTGGGATGTCCATGGCTTCCAGAGACCGCATCAGATCGGCAGGAGATTTGGCCGTTTGAGCTAACAAAACGTGGGTTGAAAAATGACAACGGTCAATATCCTTGCTGTACAGAAAAAAGCAACTATCTGCGACATAAGACTTGGAGAGCCTGAGTCTATCAGCTTACCGCATGCGATCAAAAAGTCTCTGGTACTATTGTCGGACATTCCGAGGACCTACATCGTGTGGAAATGCGTAGAGGATTAGAGACATATCCAGACTGATCAAAGTTGTTTGCCATTCGCTCCAAAGAGATCTTGAAGCTGCCCTGGGTACCTTGATAGAGGTGTCCGAGACCCATCTTTTAAGTTCCTGCTGGTCCATGATCTGATTAACTACTGCTTTGATGCAGGCGAGGGGACGAATGAACGAGTTTAATGATTGAGGCGAAGCAGATCGTTAATGGACTATGTAGGCAAAAAACTACGTATTAAAGAACTAAAACCAACGTCCCGACGTCACCGACGAATAATCAAAGATATCGGGGCAGCTACGCTCGCTTGGGCACACGGCGGGCGGCAGGCCCTTCCGCAGAGGCTGCTTGCTTGCGCGCTTGAGTTCCCTGTTGTCAAGAAGCCGTGTTACCAGTGCTCGAATTGCTGGCACTGTTAATAGGACTCATGCTGGTGCTGATGCTGCTGGTGCTGCTAATGCTAGTACCTGTTTGTGACTTCGTAGCTTGCTCCCAAGGGCAGTTCCCGCTGCCATCCACTGGTTGAAGATATAACGGTCGCCGTTGATGGAGCATGTGCCCATGAATCGCATTAGCAATGTTGTGCCCCGCCATGATATCGCGGTGCATGTACAGTATGTCATACAAGTCTTACAATACAACCTACGGATCTCCACCTCCCCGACAAACTGCCCGCAGGTTGGACACTTCTTGGATGTGTAATATTCGTTCACTCCAACCGTGATGTATCCACGTAACCTAGCCTATGTGAGCGTTAATAACAGAAAAAAACATCGATAATATTCACAATATCCAAACTGATACAGTTCTGTATACTTGTTTGATGATGTGTTACCTTTTGAACAAAGTAGGACTAGAAGGACTCGTGCAATGAGGAAAGCCTAGTCTTTGTTGAGAACTTGCCTAGGCCGACTTCGATGACAACCTTGTTGGTCCATCCCTTTTTCTGCCAATATTTCCTCCAACTGCCCTGAGAAGACTCTCTGCAATGAGTCCGTATTCGGCATTCCGCGCTCTTCCTACGTCCCACTTATGCTTCTTGAAGCGATTGTTGCCGTTGTAGAACTGACGTAGTCGCTCTTTCACTTTCTCCAGCTCTACTACTTGGTTCATGAAGCTGGTACCCTGATCGCGCAGCAGTGGAAGCCTTGTCTCAACGCAGTTAATGGATTCAATTCCATCGCCTGGCACGATATTCTTCTGCTCTTCCACCCATCATTGATGCTTGAATGTAGGCTGGTAGACAGCCTTTTAATTGACTATAATATTGCGAAAGCAACGGGGACCTGAGGCTGAGAGGTGTCTTCGGAAGGGCTGACTATATCCACATCGTCGCATTTTTTTCCAGTCACTGTCGTCGCGCTGCTGGGGCCATGGTTTCTGAACAGCAGCACGCCGGCACCCACGGCACACGCTTGGCCCAGATCGATACCCATAACCTTGATTTGATCGGGCGAACAATCCCAAAGCTCGGTGACATCCTGCCTGTTCTTTACAATGTTTCGGATCTCGTTCAAGAAATAATCCACCCCGCCAAATATGGAGGTCAATCGATAAGGTAGGACATTCTTCGGAAGATGTCTGTATCTGACTGACTGCAGTTCCTTCATCTTGGAAGCTAGCAGTTTCAGACGAAACCCGTCTGTACTAACGGAGCCTCGATGGACATAGTCGCGTTTGGTGTAATTCCTTAGATCAAAGTTGGCCTGTCAAATGGATTGAATGCGCTCTCGCATCGTCGCCAAGTCCATCATGAAAGTTAAGTCCTTGAAACTCCTGGGCCTTTTGCGTGGTTCTGACCTTCCGACGTTCGAGAGTAGTTTTGTAATGATGGTGCCGGCAGGCTTTGACTGAAGCTACAAAACTACATCCGACTGGGACAAAGGCGTGTTCGTACTTGAAGATCCTCCCATATCAATTCTCGAAGATATATCTGTAGAATTATGCTCTGCCAGAATAAAATGCAGAATTCTCTCTCGAAAAAAGACACGAAAGGCCTTTATGGTCCCAAAGTAGAGCCATCTTACGGTAAATCTGACTAGAGTGGCTCAAGAGCATGAAATTCCCATTCGCCTGAAGGCTCGGATCAACTTCGGTACGAGGTCCTTCTGTTGCTAGGCCCTTCGCCTTTTTGGCTTGCAACTGTTATGAATATCATGAATATGCCGTCGACGTTAGTGTTGTGGCTCATTCTAGCGTCTTCAATGTTTCCTACATGTATAGCTAGAAACGTTTACTGCACCTTTTTCTCGAGCTCTATGCTCCCATTTCTGTATATCTTCTTGATTTCGACGAATAATTGCTGCGCTACGGAGCGGAACAAGGCAGTGGCCGGATATAGCATCCTGGCCCTGATCTCAGGTCTGTTATCTTGTCGGCAGCAAACCGAACTGCTCCGCCCGACGGACAAATCTCTGAATACGCTCGCCTACCGTACCACCCGTACTGTTCCGTGAGTAGTGATATGAAAGCAGTGCTGTATGAAACTGGGGGTGCTCAGAGTGTTTGAAGCGTCCCGATGTTTTGTCACTGTCAACAACTTCATCATCGTCAACATCTTCATCATCGTCATCATCATCAGTATCACCATCTTCACCATCGCCTTCCTCGCTATCATGATCATCATCCTCGTCACCGGGGTCGTCAACTGCATCATCATCATCGAACGCCTCCGAACCGTCCTTGACCTTTCTAGTTCTTGTTGACCACCCACGCCAACAGTTTTCCCGGCTTTTTTAGGCGACAAACATGGACAAAAGTTTCGCAGGATATCTTTGTTTGATTCCTCGGGCACGTCTTGGGCAAAGATGCACTCAAGGAACCGCTCGATGAGTCGCTGGCTCCGTCTCTTGGTGTCTGACGCGATGTCGACAACCTCCTGCAGACAGCTCTGGATTATTGGTACCAATTCCGACTCTCCACGACCTCATTGTGGATTCGCAGCGACGGTTCCAACATCGAGGGTCACTGTGAGGTATTTGATGTCTCTCCTGCCCTCTTCTTGCCTTTTTCTTTCCTTTCTTCTTCTTGCCCTTCTTTTTATTTTAATTTTGCCCAGCTTGACAATGTTAGCGGCAGGGCTCAAAGGATTTTTCGGCATCTTAGTCCAAGGTTTCCACGTATACTATTTCAATACTTCCGGCGGCACATGCTGCTTGAGTCGAGTGCGCCCTTTAAAAAAGTACCATGGGCAATGGCGTGGTATCCTAGCCCGAGGCGATGGCAGGTGCCCTTCAACTGCGTCAGTTGATTGGTGTGGAGCAGATGGCAGCAGCGGTGATAATGCGTCCTGTAGCGGAGGAATTATGCCGCCGCACTCTAATATCGATTGACTCGCTAAAGTTAAGAACAATTGGGAAGCCAAGTACAAGTACCCTCTCTGTGCTAACCGCGCCTCTTCAAGCTCGATCCAGATTTGACAATAGCACTGGCGAAGGATCTCGAATTGCTGTCGAACACTATCGCGGGTTATACCACCTTGATCTGTGGGAGATTGGACTGGACTAACCTGTACAGGCGTCTGTAGTAGTTGCAACAAGTACAACGGTTTATTCGAGAATGATGTCATAGTCATAAGAATGCTTCGCCCAGTTTCTAGAGCATTTCAACGCTATTTTGCTTAGCCCTATCCTTCGTATATAATAGCTCTTCAAACATAGGATTAGATAGCAACCAATCATCGAATAAACTACTGATTCAACCTTAGAACCCCTTGCCCACTACGAACCACCGACTGTTTGCAACAAACACTTTCTGTGAGATGGCGAACGATTCTTGGACGATATTCCTTCGGAAGATTTGAGGATGGACCAAGTAGTGCTTGACCATTTTCGCTACGTCTAAAGTAAGGCGTCAGAATCGGAGATGTATTCTCTTTTTCAGTAGCATTCAGTCAACTGTCAACCATTACCTTCTTCCCTCAGCTCTTTGATGATTTTGAAATTTGTTCCCCTCCGAGAGACCGAATGTTCTGATTGTAATCGTTTTTAGAAACCACTCCAAGTGTCATGGGCTGAACTTGACTGGGACCGATAGTCGCAAGTATGCTTCGAAGGTGGTACGCAAGGAGTTCCCCCCCCTAAGCACAGCAACTCCCTCTAGTGTCAAACAATTGGAGTTGGTATAGAGAGAAGTTCTCGGAAGAATATGACTGGAAAGGGATCCAGAAGCTTTTAAGGCCTCGCCAAGGCAACCTTGATATAGTAACTGTTGACTTGGCTGTGCATTCGTGTTTTCTGTCATTCGCGGCAATATACTTAGCTCTCGTCACGAAATTGAGTGATTGCTTATTGTAATTGGAGCAGAAAGAAGAAAAACCTCCCTCCCGGGCTTCTTATCAAGTACGATCATATTCGAGGAGTCATTTATCAAGCGCGTATAAAAACTTTCAAGAAGCCAAAGATATTGGAGGAATGGATCGAACAAATCGGAAAGACAAAGGCAAAGGAATACTCTTGGACATCATTGATAACGAACCCACAGCAATTCATAATCGCCTGGCGCTCAGCTTTTCAGTTGAAGGTAATACTGAGTAACATCTCAATCATGTCTTTATGCCTTTAACCGTGCCCTGAAAGCCTGCTTCTAAATCTCTCTTGTTCTTTCGGTACTTTTTTTTTTTTTTATCTATCTGTCTGCGTCTCTGTTGCTGCTACTTATTCTCCCTTCAACAGATTATGGATGAAAATAGGCTGATAGCTTGCATGGACTCCACACTTAAAACTGTTAAATCTCTGAGGCCTATCGAGGACGAGTCGGCTGGAAACCCTCCCGTACACACGTCCATATCTCCGTTTATAATCCTTGTGAAAGACCGTCAAGTCCACCGAGGAATCCTTATTGCATATATGATTACTAGTTCTGAATCAAAGTATGGTCATTCGTTGAATATGCTTATTTATGAATGGTCTTTATGAGAAAATAACTAAATGATGCTTTTGCGCTGTGCAATGGATACCGCATTATCAAGTGGCTGACTTGACTCAAGTTCAGAATGCGATTTAGAGATGGAGAAGTTCATGGCGGACTGTTCAGTGGTCGAATCCCAGGCGCTGAGGGCAGTGTTTCCTAATTCATCGATAGACTATAGTATTGCCATTTCCATGTCGGCTAACTTTGGGAACATCGTCTCCACAAGCATGTAACACGAAACCAAGGTTTCATTTTGCCGCACTGCATGCATTGAAGTGCATGACACTGAAATGTGCAAAAACCTTGTTCGCATCGTTGGGTGAAGAAATGCGACCGTTGCTGAACAAAGTTCACGCTACAGAGTCCAAGGAGAAACTGCTCGAGCTATGGGACGAGTTCAAGGGCCAACATGTACAGAAAACCGGCTTAATCCGTTATATCGAGAAGAATTGGATTAACGATGAATCTATGCCAACGTGGGCGCAGGCTGCAAGGGCCTAAATGGAGGTGGCGAAGAAAAGAGCGCGAGAGGAAGCCATTGCCGAAGGATTCGAAAATTACCAATGTGAGCTAGAGATCTTGTGGGTGGAACTGGCAACGTTGTCCATCATCAGACAAACCGGAAGAGTAGAGAGTGCACACTGAAGTATATGCAAGACGCTAAGGCGACTCTTAGGGCTGCAATCCGTGGGGTAAAAGGAATTGATGAATCGGGTGCGGGGCGCAGATGCAATGGGCAGGGTCAGGGAGTAAACAAATAAAGAAGACAGTACTTTTTTTTTTTTTTGCTGTGCACATAAGCGGACTCGACAACTGTCTCTATTATGTCATCCAAATAAAGGATGGTAGTAGTTTAGAGACCTGTCTGTAAGCAAACTCGATCAGAAGGACTTCTCTGTCCTGAACTATCTCAGCATAATCAGTAGCGAAGGACCTTCACCAGCGATTGTCGAAGTCACCCACGAGATAACAGGCCACGAGCAATACAAAGAAGCTTTCCAGCAACTGAAGGAGAATGGTTTCGTGGATGAGGACAATTCTGAAGACCCTGATAACGATACGTGGGGCGACGACGATGAATCTGACCTGGATTACGAAGACCCGAAGCCAGTTGTTAGTGACCAAGAGATGCAGGTAGTCGAAGCCGCTCTCCGTAGTCGCATCGTCGAGAAGGATGTTCTCTTCGAGGGATTTTCGTCACCACCTTCAAGCCTCTACGCAGAAGGGGTCTATTCTCAAAAGTATCTTCAAGACGCTGTAAACGAGTTCATGTCTGCCGCTGTTGATGTTTAGAAAACCAATTATTATGTTCTGTCGAGGACTCGCCTTCAGGTTGTTCTGGGCGATATGGATGTGTTCGTTGATTGTCATAGGCTTGGGTTATAACATAAAATACCAGTTTCATATATTTTTTCGATTGGATTGGATACGGGACTGGCTCCTCGGAGAGTCAACTGTACTTGCTTTTGATATGCTTGACTAGATATCGCCCTTTGTCTTTTTGGATCGATCTGGACCTTGCTCATCCTCTGCACCGCGTTTGAGCTTCTTCAGCTGGTTAAGGAAGTTCACATGGTGCTCCGGAAAGATGTACGCGAAATTATTGTCGTCCACCTCGATGGAGACGCGAATCAGTCCGGTAAGTTCAGGCTGCGGGTCTGGGCGTACAATCTGGAATCCGGCCACCTCTCCAGGGCAAGTGATAACCATGCTAATGTAGACCCCAGTGGGACAGTAATCTTGCGGTCGCGGCGGTTCCGATTTTTCTGATTCGGTACATGTTATTTCTTGCTGATTCTGTTTCATTTGTTGTTTTTGCTGCTCCTTTTGCTCCTTTTCATGCTTCTTCTGTTCCTCATTCAACTTCTCCTGTACGGAACGGCCACTGACAGTTGCAAGCGCTTGCTCGGCATCAGTAGTCTCAAGCACTTGTCGCAGTTTCAATTGGATGAAGCAGGGGTACCTCTTATTGTTAATCAGGACAAAAAAGATGATATTCGGTCTGGGCACCTGGGGGACTGGGAAGTAGAACGGAGGGATGTCTTGGTCACCTCGCTTCGAATTATCCTTGACGTGCGCTTTCATAAAGTCTAGCGTTGTGATGTCCTTGTGTGAGATGGCGAGTTTAGGTTCCTGTTCATTGTATCCAACAATCGTCACATGGCCGGTGAGCATCTCAGGAAGAGCATCCTTGGTCAGTAGAGGCCATGAAGAAATAGGCTGGTTCTTGAACGTCTCTACGAAAACGGACGGCATCATGGCTTCCCACATCCTGCCATGTACAGAAGGATTATCCGAATGCAGCATCGCCCCTTCTGCAGCAGATACAAGCAAAGGATCCTTTACCCGTAAGTAGTTATAGATCGCTTTCAACACAAATGGCTCGTCGAGAACTATTCTTGCAGCAGCTCCAAAGATCTTGATCCGGCCGAACGCTGCTTCCACCAATTGCGCTTCGTCTTCAAGTATAATCTCGGCTGCGTCCAGCAAACGGTGACGGAAAAGGAAGAGTCCAAGTGCTTCTCTGATAGAAAGACATGAAGTAAACTGTTCGAGGTGTTGGGCGATCTTGTTCTCCAAACCTACGGGGAGTCGCGTGAGTAGAACACGTATAATCTGGCGCGACGCACAAGCTTGAGGAATTTGAAAGGTAAAATAGCAGCGATAAAGAAGGTAACTTACGCAGGATCTCGCCACATAGATTGTTCCGGCGTTCCCGATCCTTCCAGGATGTAAGCATAGTCTCGGCGTCGTTGATTTCACTTTCCCACTTTGTTGCGTCGCCACTCGAGATAATCCCCTCGATCGCTGTCACGATTGGCCGAAACCTGCCTGTGAATCTCCTGTGCAGCATGTCGACCGCCTCCGGAGGGATTAAAGTATCCACCATATTTTTCGACTCGCTATCCAGCAAGTGTTCCTTCACACGATCGATATACGACTGGATCGAATTTCGATCTGTCCATCCTGGGAAATCAAACAGGAAAAAAGTTTCCGAACGCGGCTCCTTGATGCCGGCGCCGGCGCCGCTGCTCAGTGCCGAATGAATATTTCGCATGCTCAATCCTGTGCCACAGTAAATGATCGTAAGCTCCTCTCGACCTCCAGTTGTTCGAAAACCGTTCAGTATAGGAGACAACATGGGTCGAGGATCGATTTCTAGGTATGACGACTGGAATTTTGTACTACCCTTGTCGCTCAGAACCTGCGCTTCGTCTACGACCAGCCGCAATTTGGTCCCGCTTGAGAAATTAGGATAGCCGTGGGCAGCAAGACGGTCTCGTACTTGTAAGAGCTCTTCTTGGACAACAATCATTAGATCTAACGCGTTAACTGTGTGCGTATGCAGGAGGTCAAAGAGATTCCCGAACAGAATCGAAAACACATCCATGAACATGTTTGGGCAGACTTGGAGTATGGCCCAGGATGCACTTGTGAACGTCTGGCGGCAGTCATGGACCTGCAAGCAGTATCTGAGGACTAAGAGTCTGGAGAGGAAGAGCATGAGAGTCATGCTTCTTGCGAAGACGGTGTTGCGGCCAGGACTCTGTTCCCCTGATATTTTCGCATCAAGGAGCTCGGCAAGATGGCAGAGATCGTCCGAGCCTAGGTCTTCCTTCGCCGCGTTGAAGTAGAATCCCCACTGAAGACAGAGCATCTCTATCACCGAGCGAGTTTTCCCGCATCCTATATTGGCATCAAGAAATGCCTGTTAGTTGATAGAAGAGCTCAACGCGGATGTGCAGAATAGACCTTCAAGGCCTTGGATTGCAAACAGAAACTAGTCTGAAACGCCGAACACGGGAAAATCTCCTGAATGCATCCTTTCCAGCACGTCCAGTAAGACGTTCGATCTGAACTTGTCTGGAATAGGATCGTCCGTGCTTGATGGAGGGACTGGTAGATCCAAAAAAAGAAGGTTCGGCCGTGAATCAGGAGCCTTGATAACGCCACGCCGTACGACATTCGGTAGCCCTCGGACACCACTTGTAGCGAGGGGCAATGCCTGCTGACCACGCACAAAGGCGTCAAGAAACTCGGCCGCAGGCGATCCACAAGCGAAGAACTTATCCGCAATCCTTTTGATACCCATTTTGAGGCCGCCTATTTGATGAAAGGACAGTGAGACACAGGGAAGACCATTGAAATGGAAACAACAGCGCGTTTTCACACTCACCAGAGAGCGGATAACTAGGAGAAGATCCTTGCAAGAGATGGCCCGGAACGTTGACAGGAGCAGCTGTATAGCAAGGAAGCACATGAGAAGGAGGAAGTGGCGAGCAAGGTTAAACACAGTGCAATGCAAAGAACAAGCCTTCTGGACGAGTCCCAAGCACCAACGGTTGATGTTTACCTGGTAGTGGTCGCTGAACAATGATGTGAATTGTTTTCTTCGGTGCCCCCTCACTAAACACTTCCGAGAGATCGCTTGTCGGGCGCAGCTCCTTCTTCTCATTCAGAGCGTCCAGCAGGATGGGAAGGTCCTCGTGCTCGTCGTCGTCTGTATCTAGGATGGAGACCCGCCAGAGCGTGAGCTGGGAGGCAGTGACATCGTCAAATTTTGGCGTTTTCTTGGCCTTAATGAGGTTCTTGAGATCGTCTACAGTGCTTCCCGATGAAGCGATAACGGAGAATGCTCTCGAGATGGGGTCTCCGCTGACAAGACAGAACAGTCTCAGGTGGTCGTTGGTCATGGTGTTTAGGCTTTGCGGCGGAAATGAGTGTTTAGGGTGATAGAAAGCATGAGAGGAAGATAGATGGAAGAGGGGTGATAGAGGACGGTGGTGAATCTCTTTTCTTTTTTAAGTTGGGAGTGGTGGCAAAAAGAAATGCTCGGTTCCTTTTTGTGGAAAGAGTTCGATTGACTTGAACATCTTCCCTAGGCTCGACCTAGGCTCGGATCCAGCCCTCTCTATCTGTAAAGGAGGCCAGGAGGCACCCAGTTTCCTTTTTCGGCCACTTACAGTATCAGTATACGAATTAAGGGAGTCTGAGCGGCCACGCTCCAAAGCACTGGCACATCTTGCACGTGTGCCTGTTTAGGAGATTAGTACTTTGCATGTCCCGCTTTCCGGGGCCAAACCGTTTTTAAAAGTCTGTTTGTGGGAACTTCCTTTGTCGCGGCTTGCTCAGTCTAGATACCAAGCAACAAACAGCTACACAGCTTTTGGCGCGCATTTAAGCTCTATGCAGCAGCTTGATGTTTACCAGTTGGAAGTCATTGGACGAGCAATTTCAGTCGTCTTGGACGAAGTCCACCATCGCGGAAGCGAGTTTGATCCAGATGGGTGGGTTGGAGAACATGAGACCTGCTAAATTTGGGAATCTCGTCGTAGAAGAAGAGGGCCAGGCGCGCTTGAACGCGTCTTTTTGCGTGTGTGTGTGTGTGTGTGTGTGTGTATCTTTCTTATGCAACAATTCAACAATTCAACAATTCAACAATTCCATGGATCACGTCAGACATCTGGACGCATGAGGCTCCAGGAGCCAGACTCTCGACTGAGGTGCAAAGTGTTTTGGTGTTTTGTATTTGTGTTGCTGCAGGTCAGACCATGGCCCCCGCGTCATGGTCCGGTCATGCTGTTTCGTGCGACGAGGATATGAGAGTATTCGATACACGTGGGATTGCTACGAGTGGCCTTGTTTATGGAGTACTACGCCCATTCCATGAGACACTCCCAGCCCGTGCCTCAGCTGACAGGGACGCTGCAGCGAGAGCAAAAAAACAAGAAAAAAAAAAGGGGGGGGAGGATATATTCTGAGCAGCTGCAAGCGCAGGTTTGCCATGTGTGGGGACAGCGATATTCCGCGGCGGATGCAGCGTGGTCGCGTGCACTGACTCGCTTTAACCGCTTGGTCTCATCCCTCACCCCACACCTCCCTCTTCTTTTTTTTTATTTTTTTACTTTTTATTTTTTATTTTTTATTTTTTCCTGGTTTCGTCTTCGGATCCAATACCCTCCTCCAACCTTCACCATCCCCTCGCAGCCGTTGACACATCGCCGCATCGCCGCACTGCTGCTGTCCCTCTCCAGTTGAGCCAAGCACATATCGACTTTCCTATTCTCCCACTCCCGCCAGTATTCGCAACCGGATCAGAAACCGAAAGAAACCAGCGTACCGTAAGGAATTGCTCAACTCCCAATAAGGATGCCAGCCTATTCAAACCTTGATGTCCTCGGAGCAGACTTCTTGCGACTACTCAACTCGCCCGTAGGATCAGATGTGCGGCTAATCATCGGTAACCGATCCTACTCACTATGGGTTGCGAGGGCTACTTCTCGAAAATCAACCACCTCCTTTATCACTAACAAAAACCAAAAACACATGTGCGATGTATAGGGGAGGAACAGGCGGTCATGCATGCGCACTCCCTTGTCCTGCAGGCAAGGAGCGCCTACTTTGCTCGAGCACTCAGCAGCGACTGGAAGGAAGCCAACCACGGAGTCATACACAAACCCAACATCAAGCCCGCCGTCTTTGAGAAGATCCTGGAGTACATTTATGGAGGGCGACTGATGGTGGATGACAAGATAGTGATAGATCTGATCAAAGCTGCGGACGAGCTCTGCATGGAGGACTTGCTACATGGATGTGAGCAGCATGCGCTGTCGATAGTGTGTCGTGCTAATGTTCTGGATATGGTCCATCTAGCATCGCAGCACCATCTCAAGGAGCTCAAGGCCGAGTGTCTCGATTTCATTGCGGCCAACATTGATTATCTCAAGCGCGGCAAACCCATCCTTACCCTGGACGCGGATGTGCTCAGGGATATCCTCTCAATGGACCAACTTGACTTGGACGAACTGGAGATCTGGAAGATCGCCGTCAGGTGGACGTACTATCAGCAGGGTCTTGAATGGGACCATTGTCCCCTTGTGGATTTCCCCAAGGGCTCTGGCTGCATCATTGTACAGATTTTGTCGGACGACAGTCCATGGAGTCAGTATAAGGACGAAGACGACTGTTTGGATAGCGCAGACGAAGCCTTCGGCGATGCCCGGGTGCCCCTGCATGGGAAAAACATCCGCATTGGACGAGAACAGAGTATGGGCGAAGACGGATTCCGGTCAACTTCTCAGTCTGTTTTTCAGACTGCTCCGAACCATAACATCCTTCAGCTATCAGCCGCCCTCCATGAGAGCCTTCGAAATCAAATTGCACCTTTACTCCCTGCTATCCGATTCATGAGGATACCGAGCATGGACTTCCTACGGCTTATAGAGGGCACTGGCTTGCTTCCGGTGCAGCTGTGTGCCAAGGTGTATCGCTATCATTCAGTGCCTTCGATGGCGGATCCATATCAGACTTCGCTGCGGCGGCGCATGGCATTCTCGACTATCTTGGGCAAGGAGCACAAGGACGTCGTGCTCGAATGGTTGAAAACAGCATCTCAGGACAATTCAACGGGCAACGCTAATAACGCATGGCGTAGAAGGAGTAGCGGCTATACTGGCCAGTCAAACCAAGGAACCTTATCCGCAATAAGGTCGTCGGATCCAACCCCCTTCACTTGGTCGGGGGGACTTTCGTCTACCCGCTTATCCTCAGCATCATCACCAACCATCTCGCCATTTGCCGTGAATATGCCTTCATCTTCACCTCCTCTCAGCCGTGGCATTGGCTTGTCGTCACCTACCAACCATCGAACGATACCAGCAGGAAGCCAGTCGCCGACTTCTGCAAACTCTCCGCCAAAGTCGGCGCAGTCAACCCAAAACGCAGCACCTCAGCATAAAATGATTCTGCAATACCGAGCGACCCGTGATGGATTTGATGCCGCTAATTTCCACATGGCCTGCGACCAGCGTGGCCCGACATTGACGGTCATCCGTGCAGACAACGGCATGATTTTTGGAGGATACAACAGCTCTTCGTGGTCGAGTCATCCGTCGGGTGTGTATTCTGCCTCGCGAAGCAACTTTCTATTCACTCTCAAGAGTCGCGAGCATCCGCACAGGGAAAACGCAATATTTGGTATCAATGGAGACGGCAACACGGCTGCTTACAACAAGGCGGACTTTGGACCGACATTCGGGATTGGGCACGATCTTTATTTGGCCACGGTAAGGATCGCTTCATGTTGTGATCTGGCAGCAAATGCTAAGTTTGTTGGATGTACTATCTAATATGACCATTTCGGTGCTCTGCGCGTAGAATTGTAACCTGAACTGCCAGTCTTCGTCGATAATGCCATCATCGTACAATGGCGTTGGTGCATCAACAACGACGCTTGCGGGATCGTTTTATTTCAGGGTGCAGGAGTATGAGGTTTTCATGGTCCAGTCATCATCCTCCTCCTCCAGCTCGCAGCGTTAACAATAAAAACCCCACGTGGAATAGATAAATTAGTGGAATGAACTTTTTTTTCGTTTCTTCTGTTCTCTCCTCTCTAAACTATTGCGCTCGCGACCATGCCCACACAACTCTTTCAGGTATGAGTCGGCATCTGGAGCAGGTCCCTTTCCACATTCGCGATTATTCAGCTCAACTGGATACGAAGGGCTGCATCTGGCGGTCGACTCATCTTCTCTTTCAACCTCTTTTCACTTGTGCCACCAAACTACTTCATGCACCAGCAGGCGCCCAGGTCTACCGCGGATACCAGGACCCTTACCCAACTTCAGTCCCTTGCCATCACCAAAAAGCTCCTCCGCACGTCGCTTGGCTGCATTGCCTATCTTCGGAACCTCTTCCCAGAAGATAACTTCAAGGACGACCGCGAAGGTGATGTCAGGATCAAGTTACTGCAACAGGGTCGCTCGATCGAGGCTGATACGCTTATCAGCTGGTTGGAAGGTGGGATCTTTGACGCGCTTACGAGACAGTACCTCAAGACTGTCGTACTCGGAATTGGGCTAGATCCTGGTAACCCACAGGAGGTAGTTGAAAAATATACGTTCCATTTAGGGTACCATGATGGGCACGCGTCACTCCGACACGTTGATACACAGAGGATAGATGGTGGCAACAGTAAAGCCGTGATGAAAGTCGATGCCAGCAGATATATTGATCCGATCGAAGGTGAGAGGGATTGGACACAGCAGCGGCAGCATAAGGTTATGAACGTAGGGGATGTCAAGAAAAGCGTGGAACAGATGGTTCGACGTCTGATCTTGTTCACCCAAACCATGCAGGTAGGAGGTATAAAATTGTACGTGTTGGGACGTCCACATCCAGATCACGTTCGTTAATTGCGCTTTGAGCTTTCTTTTTTTCTTTTTCATGCATTCGCTCAGGCACTTCCCGGCACCAAGTCGATTACAGCAAGGCTTTATTACTGGGACGATGTAACGCCTGAGGACTATCAGCCAAGTTTCTTCGCGCCAACCTCGAACGAGTCCGAGGACCATCTACGTCTTGAATCCGAGTCCACAGCCGTCTCCATGGGCACTCTCAGGACCCCATGCCACACGTAAGCCTTCAGACCATAGTTCTGGACCAAAAACTTGACGATCCCATCCACTGATTGATGCCCGTTATGCAGCCTTGACATGCAAGTCGAAGCTGTGGATAGGGATCTGAGGACGGGTGATGTAGAAGGCGACACTCATATCTGGATCCCAGACTCAAGTCCAGTCCCTGCTTCCTCGCAGGCTGGCATGGATGATGTGCTCATGATAAGCGATCTGGAATACCGCGAGGTTACATTGATGCCCTAGAGATCGATATGTGGTGCCTGTGTCCAGACAACAGTAGTTGACATGCATTGGTATGACTATTCGATTTAGGATTCAACCATTCCAACCCAAGTGCTGGATGCTACACAGACATTTTCCGACAAAGCCGTCCCTACTCAACTGCTGGGCGCCATGGTAATCCTCTCCAATGACGCGACCCCTACCCAAATGCCGGATACTGCGAATAGCCTGTCGGACCCCATGGAAGATGATGCCTCGAGTGTCGCTTCAAGCGTGGATGGATCTCCTGTCACTGGTCCCATCGAGCCCCAGAACTCGATTCTGGTCGAGGATTCCATGGCTCGCATCACTCTCACGCCCGCAGCTCTGGATATCATCAATATATCCCGTACATCGACAGAATTATCTGAAACATGCTCATCCCTTGTATCTTCACAATCTCCACTGCCCGAAGGCCTCGCGGGCAAGGTGGTGGTGGAGTTCGACCCTGTTATGGATATCGAGAGACTGAGAGCTATCTGGCAACCACGCAGTACGGCCCTCAAGACATTGGTCAAGCATTCGAACAAGGCGTGCGCGAAACAGTTTTATTCAAGTCCCAAAGATGGCATATCTCCTGAGGGTGGAGATGATGGTGACGAATTCTGGTGTGTCTGCGGCTCTTCTGAAGAGGACGATCTAATGGTATGTTTGAATAGCGTGGTGCCGTCTTTGAAATTGTTCGATATTTTTGAGAAGCACTCATACTGAAAAATACGATTTTGGTTGTAAAAGGTGCAATGCGATGACTGCATGACATGGTCCCACTTGTGGTGCTATGGATACACTTCATTTGAAGATCCTCGCATTCCTGAGAGTCATATCTGCGCAGACTGCCTTGTTCGACGGACAGGATGCGTACGGTCAGATGAATCCTTGGATCTCGCAAACATCCGGTCCGCTGCCATCATGCGTCGGAGTCTGGTCGTTGCCTGGCTAGAAGGATACACGGGAAGTAATGACATGTGTCGAAGACTCGGTTTGGTTGCTTGGCATCGTGCACATACACTTGAAGAGAACTTGATTTCAGCGGGATATCTGAGGCAGGAGAAGCCGATGACCAAGACACGATCGGCTTCAAATATCGCTTGGACGGTGGTCAAGGATCCTGGCACGCGTGCGAAACTAATAGGGGTGTTGCAGCCTCTCAGGGATGTTGTTATGGAGGAACTCGCATCTGGAGCCCATACGGTTCGTGGATCGGAAAGGGCAGCGCTTTCATCGACAACTGAAACCACCATGACATCGAGTACTGCGAAAGCGAACAGGACCAAGATATCCACCAAGAGTCCGCGGACGAGCAGTGCCATAGTTGCATGCCGCGGCACTCATTCTTCGTCGGATTCGGCCGCGTTCGCTGCCACCTGTGCAAGAGGAAAGGTATCTTTCGCTGTTCATAACAATGTGTTTTTTTTTGCATCGATATTTAATAGGATATCTGCGTGTTAATGCGTCGCTGTTTTTCCATAGGGGAAGTTGTTTCGACCATTGTCTGATATCACATTGCAACAGGGAAAAGAACCCTCCGGGGCAAAGACAAAACGACGCAAATGCTCGAAGGAGCAAGTTTGTGTCACTGTTCGCTAACTTGGGTCAAGACCCCTCCTCCCCCCGAGACGATCAAACAAGGATCTGCCCGTTCACACCATGCACGGTTGGGCAAATCAAGTACAAGTGCCAGCAGAAATATGCGTGTTCAGCAAAGACATTTATTTTTATTCTAACCTAGCAAATCGATTACAATAATGTATCAACGAACAAAGAAGAAAAAAAAAAAAAAAAAAAAAAAAGACGCACAAAGCGTATGTACGCGCAAAGTGCGCAGCAGCAAATCCTCTCCCAAGCATAATTCACCCAAATAAACAAATATGCAATCCGCTTGAAAGATTTCGAAAGTGCTTTTTTTCGCAGCCGAGATGTTTGTTATTTTTCTTTCCTGAAAAAAAAAGAAAATAAAAGAAATGAAAAATGAAATATGAAATGAAAGCTTATGCAGCAGCTGTCTGATCACCACTTCGGTTCTCCGGTGAGGATGTGTTCTTCCCGTTCTCGCCATTTACGTTATCACTCGTAATCGGATGATGCTGGTTCGAATAATGACTCTCCTGCGGTTCGAGCTTGATTATATTCGAGGGATCGTACAGGGCTTGAGCGGCTCCAGCTGTAGAGTAAGAGATGTTATTTGTGCCATACTGGTCTGGATGATATCGCTGTTGTTCCTGCTGTTGCTGAAATAACTGTGGCTGCATGAGATATCCGCCATGCTGCTGCTGCGGATAAGGCCCCTGCTGCTGCTGTCCCTGACCCTGTCCCTGACCCTGACCCTGACCCTGCCCCTGTCCCTGAGCTTGTCCCTGTCCTTGTCCTTGTCCCTGTCCTTGTCCCTGTCCTTGCTGAGCCTGCTGAGCCTGCTGTTGACGCTGCTGTTGAATTTGTTGCAGAATAAAGACTTGCTGTTGCTCGGGTGTATGTTGATGGTGTGCCAGATGCATGTCCCCTCCCAGGGGTCCGACACCGCCTTGGGCTTCGAACGAGGCCTGGAGACGATCCATTTCTGCGATCTCTTGGGATGTCAAGAACCGGCCTCCGGGGCCACGTGGGCGACGCATCGCATGTTTATGGCGGGATTCGTGCAAATATGGCTAGGAAGTGGATGTCGAGAAAAAAAATAAAAAAATAAAAATAAAAATAAAAATAAAAAAAGTGGCGGGCGGGGGAGAGGAAGGGGGGGAGCATAGAAAAGGTTAGTGATGAGAGTAAAAAAAAAAGAAAAAAAAAAAAACTCCACCCAAAGAGAAGAGGGGAAGGGAGGGGAGGGAAAAGCTGTTTTTTTTAGTAAATGCAGCAGTAGCAGTAGCAAGAGTAAGTAGTAACAGTACTAGCAATGGTAATAGTAGTAGTCATAGGCCAAAAGAACAGGAGAGAAAGAGAAGGGGGAGGGGGGGGGGGGGGGGGTGGACGACGGTACCTTACGGATTTTGGCCATGCGGTTCAATTCCTCGAGCTTTGCCCTTGCGGCGCGCCTCTTCAAGATCCGATGGTACTAATAAACATAAACGTCCAAGGAGTTGTCCCAAAAAAAAAAAATGACGGATGCCAAAAAAAAAAGCAAAAGACAGCGGCAGCAGCAGCAGCAGCAGCTTCGTTAGCATCTCTCGCTAGCATCATATCCTATCCAAAAAAAAAAAAAAGAAAAAAGGTCTTCCATGCATCCAAAATCGGGCAACGACCCTCCTCCATACCTGCTTAGCGTTGACATAGAGCGGTTCCTCATCCACGGCTGTAGGTTGTCCAAGTGCTCCGTCTCCCATGAGCTGCTGTGGGTGTGCCACATCCGGTTGAAAGGATCCCGCCTGTGGTTGTTGTTGATTCGATGATTGTTGTAATTGTTGTTGTTGTTGAGGATCCTGATCGTGTGCCACCCGAGAGTGTGAGGACGTGGGTGATGAACCCGTAGGACTTTGCGGAGGCATCATTCCGGGCTAGGTACGGGAAGTGAGTCAAATGAGGTTGTTAGAAATAGGGTGTGCTACTGCTGCATAGTTTAGTTAGCCAAGTTGATGAAGCTAGCTGGTATCGTTACCAATGACTGAAATGATTGCTGGTATCCTTGATATCTTGCATGGTCGTCATGCTAGAAACGATAGCGGGAAACAAAGGCGAGTTAGTTCAATGTGGAGTTGGTGGCATGGGAAGGATGGGGGTTTTGGTTGTTGGTTGACTGGCTAGTTAGTTAGTTAGTTAGTTAGTTAGTTAGATGGTTAGTTGGTTTGTGGGTGGTAGAAGATGAAGGAGAAGAGAACTTACTCCTTGGGGATGTCCATAGACTAGGCTGGCCTGGTAAGCATGGTGCTGCGACGGTTGCTGGTGATGATCCTCCATCGTATGTTCCTTGGTTTGATAGGCAACAAAAGGTGGGGGACTGGCCAAAGGGAGGAGGCGGGAGTGAGAGAGGACCGAGGATCTATCCGTTATATCCTTGGAAGGAAGGGAGCGGAGGAAATAAAGGAAGGAGAGACAAAAGGGAAGAGCTGTGCTGCTTGTCTCGTTTGTGCAACAGGATTGGACCAGCAGGCGACGGTTGAGCGGGGGAGAAGGGAAGGAAGGAGGGTGAGGGATGGATAGGATTTAAAGCCGAGTGTCCGTGTGGGGGGTGGATACAAAGTGGGCAAGCGGATAAGTGGGTGGATGGATCGCAGGCCTGTGGTTGGTCGATTGGATGCAGCCAAACAAAAGGCGAGAGGGGCACGAGAGCGAGTAGAATGACCCAAGCGAGCGAACAAAGGAGTGTCCTTTTTTTTTTTTTTTTCCTTTCTTCCTCTTCTTCTCCAAAGCGAGCGTGGATCTTCTTGTTCTCTGGATGATGCTGCCTCACAGAAGGAAGGATGATGATGATGATCAGAGAGAAGAGATGATGATGATGGAGCAGATGTGCATGATTGAGTGGTGAAGAAGGAAAGAGAGAGGCGAGGAGAATCAAGCCCATTTCCCACACTCACTCACATCCGTAAGCAGCTGTCTCGTCCATTTGGGACAGACCCTCTCTTTATTTTATTTTTTTGCCCGTCTTCACTGCCTGCCCCAGCTGCAAATACACGTCTAAGAATTTATTAATTGCACAAAGCAATTACGCGTCCTTCTCATATTAATAGGACCTGTAATTGAACAATGTTTTGGCTCACTATTCTCCGATAGAACCGATTGTCTTCTCGCTTCTCGTCACTCCGTCTTTCCTCTCTGCGCTGCACACATCCTCGAGCCCTTCTTTCTGTGTGTGATACGTCCCAGCATCTGCGGATGAGAGAGCACTGAGGATGGAGCACTGCCATCGAAACGAAAAGACACACACACACATCTTTCATTATTTTCATTTGTGATACAGTCTTCTCAGACGCGATTGCAAATGTTTCAGAAGCAAAAAGCCCCCTCAAACAACGCGAACTTCCCTTTCCTCACTCGTGTCTGAACGACCCGACCTAGACTGTGATCTCTCCGATTCGGCCGCCACGAGAAGGGGGGTCGTCCCTTGCGCTGGGGGTTGTATCTGTGGGTCGCGAGAGTCGATGCCCGCCTATTCCGAATGACATGTGCGTGGGGCCCGGGTGCCCCGATGAACGTTCCTTCATACATGACGCGCATAAAACACTAGGAACATCATTCACCTTCCCAAACATGAAAAAATTACACCCCCCAGCATCATCCTCGTCGCCTTTAAATTGTCGTCATCGTCGCTCATTCTCAGTCAACACTCTTTCTCTTCTCCTCTCTTTCCCTTCAAGCACTCCATTCCTCTCACTTACCTCAACCAAGCAAGCAAAAGGCCCCTCTCCAAGACTCCAAAAATGAACAGCAACAACAACAACAACAACAACAACAACACGAACCCCACAGGCACCTCGGCCTCGGGCACATCGCTCACGGATACGATCAAGGGCTACGCCAACATGGCTCAAGCCAAGGGTATGGAAGCCTACCATATGGCCCAGGACCAGCTCCACAGCGTCACTGCGCAAGCTAAAGCCAACACCGTTACTTCGCAAAATGCCAACCCCGAGAGCTTGAACGCCAACAGGGATATGGGTACGAACCAAGGACAAGGCCAGGTGCCCCAGATGAATTCGGCCCCAAACAGCGGTGCGTTTGCGGATGTGAAGCAGTTCGCGGCCAGCAATCAGCAGCCGCAGCAGCCGCCACTCCAGGGCTCGACCGGTGGATATACGAACATCAAGTCCCCAAACAATAACCATCACCTGTAAATAGACCGTGGACGCTTGCTCATTCCTTTTGTACATACATACATTCGTTGCTGTCCATAGCTATGCATGCATTCATACATGCATGCATGTATTGAAAGAAGACCAGGTCGAAGCAGACTTGAATCCTTTGTTCATAAAACCGGGAAATAAAAATATTTTCCATCACATAAGCTAAAACAGCGAGGCGCTACAGTGACACATCCTTAGTGGTAAAGGTTCTTATTCCTTTGTCCATTGTCCTTTGTCCTTTTTGAGATTCGCCCATTGCATCATATTGTACTTGTCGCTGCTCTTTTATTTTTTATTATTATTTTTCCCCCTTCCCTTCCTCTGCCCAGGTGTATGCAAAGCATAGTTGGTGAGAGGATAGATCGCCTCTACATTTATTTTTCTTTTTTCTTTTTTCTTTTTTTTTTGTTTCCTTTTCTTTTTTTTTTTCTTAAGCAGAGACGAGGGCCTCCAAGGTCCTTGTGACATCGCCTCCATGTTCCTTGAGATACTTTTCTGCCAAGGGCTTCGACAGTTCCATCTCTGTCATCACCAACTCAACATCTTCCTTTGACAACGTCAACTTCTCGCCGTCCTTGTGTGCCGTCGTAGCCTTCTCTGCCTTTTGCTTCTTCATCACATCCGTGATCAGACCCATTGCCTATCCACAACAACACATAGTGTTAAAAAAAATGATGATATTTGCAAGAAAAGAGAGGCATCGTTAGTTCAGTTTGCTTTGATCTCTCCATGGACAAGACCCAATTGCTCCTGAGGTTTTGGGAGTTCTTTTTTTTTTTTTTTTTACCTTCTCCAGCTTTGCAGAATCAACGCCCTCCCGCTCAACGTCCTGCTGGTACCCCGACATATTCTTCATCGCCGCCTTCGCTTCCGCACTCTGACCCTTCTCCGTCTCCTTCTCCTCCTCTTCTTCATCCTTATCATCCCCTCCTGCTCCGTTCTCGCCTTCCTCTCCGTTCTCTTTGTTGCCGTCCTTGTCCTTGTCCTTGTTATCTTTGCTGTCCTTCGTATCCTTGCCGTTGGGTTTCGATCCTGATGCTGCAGCATTGGCAGCGGCAGCACCAGCACCAGCACCAGCAGCTGGAGACTTGCCTGCCTTTTTAGCAGCCTGAGCAGCTTGTGCAGCCGCGACGGCCGCAGCGACGGCTTCCGCTCGCTCGGCGCGTTCGGCCGCTGTGAGCGTCTTCTTGGCTGGTGTGCTAGTAGCGGGCTTCTTGAGAGAATTCAACATCCTGGACTAGAGAGTTCTTGCGGGGGTGGAGGGGGAGAGAGAGGATGAGACGAGTCGCGTGTTTTGAAAAGGGAGGAAGAGGAAGGATTATGTGGGCTGGCTGAATGTGAGCAATGTCCGTCTAGACTTGCAAAAAACACAGGATGGAAGAGGGAGTGTGAGAGAGAGAAAGAGAGTGCGAAGGTCAGGTTGTTTTTGTGTCCCTGATCTGGTGGCTTGCATTCCTTCCTCCCCCCCCCCCCCCGCTAAAAGTCGAGGGAGGACTCCCCCCTTTCAAGCGGATTACACAGCAAAATGACACGAAGAATAAAAGATAGCATTGGCAATGCCTTTTTTTTTGTCTTGTGCATGAATTGTGTGTGTTTGTGTTGTGTTTGTTTGTGTGAAAAAAAATATATGTCGACCTCGTTTATCTATGTCATCCAAAACCCCTCGCTGCTACTTTCTTTTTTCTCTTTCTTTCTCTTAAGCACTCTCAGCGCGGACCTGCTTTCCGCTCTTCTTCTCGCGCAAAGTGATCGTGGTCTTGCCCGCAGCATCGACCTGAACAGTCGCCTCGATCTTGAGCGAACCAGCCTTGGCACCAGCGGGCAGATCCTTCAACACAACCTCAGCCAACAATGTGGTCTTGTGGTAAGTAGGCTTCACAGGCAACTCCTCCTCCTCCTCGTCCTCATCATCCGATCCAACGTCATGCTTCTCAACCTTCTCCTTCTTGGGAGGAAGGGGATCCTGCTCACCCTCGTACAGCGCAAAGTAAACCTCCTGTTGACCATCGGCCGCCTGTCCAAACTCAAAGACGCGCTTGGCGGGCAAGGGGGTGTGGTTAGGGATGATGGTGAAGAACTCATCGTTGGAGCCGACAACACCAATGGGCTTGACCGTGTGAGGCGTCACCGTGATGTTCTCCTTGGTCGAGGCCACAATGTCCTCCTTCTCGAATCCAGCAATCAGAGAAGCCTGGGCAGCGCATCCGACCGTGATCGCCTCATCCGACTCCTGGTCCAAACGCATAGTCGTCTCCGGGAAGATATCACGCAGCTTCGACTGGAACTTGGGCATACGGGTAGCTCCTCCGACCAACAGAATCTCGTCAATCGCGCCGGCAGTCAAGTCAGCCTTCTCCAAGATGTGCTCAATCAAGGCATTGCACTTTGCGAACAAGTCCTTGCAGGCCAATTCGAAGCGGAGACGGTTGACCGAGCCATGGTAATCCAGACCCTCAGCAACAGACTCGACCGAGCAAGGAGCTGCGGCCGAGCGAGCGAGCTGCTTCTTCGTGATCTCAGCAGCGGTCCTGATCTTCAAATACGCCTTCTTGTTGCCCTTGACATCGACCTTGGACTTCTTCTTGAACTCCTGGGCGACCAACTGAACCAACTCATGAGTGAAAGCCTCGCCGCCCAAAGCCTCGTCATGGGCCGTCTCCAAAATCGTATAAATACCACTGCGGACGGAAAGAACAGTGATGTCGAAGGAAGAAGCGCCCATGTCGAGAACGAGGGCCGTCTTGTCCTGAGGGTCGCTCTTAGTTGGGTTCTGTCCAAAGTTGTAGGCAAGCGCAGCGGCGACGGGCTCCTGAATGATCTGCAAGACGTTGATTCCAGCATCCGCAGCAGACTTTGCGAGGACCTCACGCTGGTGCTCAGTAAAGTAGGTGGGGACCGCGAGAACAGCACCAGTGACCTTGCTTCCGAGGTAGGCCTCGGCCTCCTCGAGAATGTGCTTCAACTGCTTGGTGACGACCTCAGGAACGGTGAAGATGTGCTCCTTCTCGTTGAAAGTGACCTTATAAGCGGGGACACCATCCTTGGAGACCATGTCGGGGTGGGTCACATCCGAGGGAACCTTGACCTCCTCAAATCTATCATTCAGATAAATACAAAACCAGCGATCCTTGATCAGTTTTTTTTTTCTCTTTTTTTCTTTTTTCTTCGTCATGGTTATAAAGGCGCCCTGTAGAACTGTCCAGAGATAATGTAGTAAAGCATGTCGCGATATGGGATCGATTTGCATTCCATTGAGCCGAGACTACAAATAAAGATAAACACGTACTTCTTGCCGATCAACTTGCGGAAACCCTCGAGGGTGTTCTTGGGGTTCCTGACAGCCTGCTGGAGAGCCTGAGTACCAGAGAACTCCTCGTCGCCGGAGAAACCGACGACGGAGGGGATCATACGCTCACCGTCTGCGTTGGCAATGACGTTGAAGTGTCCATTGGGGGCCAAGACGGCGATGGAGCTGTTGGTGCTTCCAAAGTTGATTCCAATAACGACCTAGAATGCAAGTCCAGGACGACAAAAAAAAGAGAAAGAAACGAAATGGTGAGTTTTGGTGAATCAGATTCTTTGCGGCAGCGGATCCACTGCCTGAGGCGGAAGAGAATGTCCCCGGTTGAGGGGGGGATTGGCACACATACAGAGTCCATTGTGGTGTTGGATATAATACAAAGACGAGAGGAGAGAGGGTTGAAAGTGATTCGACTTTTTCTGTGTCCCTCTTTGAAGCAGCTCAAGGTTGGGGCCCGTACGAGCGAGTGCGAGTGTGAAAAAAAAATAATAGAAAATAGAGAATCGACGTTCACCGAATGGGGGCCCAATCGCATGTGTAAACGAACCCTCAAACAACAAAAGCAAAATAAGCAGTCCACTAGCCCAAACCTCCCTTCGCCCACCCTGCACTCCCTCCTTCTTTGATACCCCTTCCTCTTTTATTCATACGCTATAACAGCAACTGTTCTCACCAGGGCCACACCTACGCTCCTACCCCTACATCATATCATAATGCCACACGCGACGTTTCCATAAAGACAACGTCAAGAAAATCACCCGCCTCAGTGTTCATCTGGACTTTCTACACACTATCCACTGTAAATAATCTACATCTGTCGATCATCTATTACATCCTTAAATTGGATCCTTAGGTTTGATATGCTTTGTCCGCGAAAAATATACTCTCGGTCATCCATGTCAACTTTATTATCAGAGGATTAGTACAAGGCTAGACAGATCGTGAACAAGCTTTATGACGACGATTCCGACGACTTCGGCAGACCACTTTGCGAGTACGACAAAGGCAACAAGGGCCGTTACACAAAGTCTCTCACGCAGCGAGCCTTCGAACCAGCACCCATCTCCCACATCCGCATGTATCATCGACAGCATCAAGTCGGATACATCGTCTGTTCGTATTAATTGTGTTAACCCACTCTACTGGTTCAAAAATCACTGATACTCACTTTCCATTTATTACAACATCTTTTAAAAGGCTGCAGCGGAAAATAATTTGGTTCTGCAGAGCCTTCATCACTACCCTGCTGTGCAATCTCGAAAACAACAACAGCACGCAGGACGAGAGCAACCGGACTCACCATGATAACGAGACCAACTTTGACGCAACCAGGAATCATATCGTGCTCTTAATGCCCTTTGATCATTGCGTTTGGGAACTCGATTCCCAACCCCCAAAGGGACCTCTGTGTTTTGGGCCCAAGAAGGTGATAGTAGACCGAAGTGTCGAAGAAGATGAGAGAAGATATGTCGAGGTTCTCATCATCTAGATCATCATTGCCTTCACATGTTGCGTTCTTGGTCTGCGTAGTAACTTTGGATGAATTGTGGAGCTTATACCCCATACATAGGTTTCTGTTTAGTTAAAGTATGTATTATAATCCAGAGGTACAGCTAGTAACTAATAAAGAATGCGCATAACTTTGAGTATACATGGACCCGGAGGCACTTGTTTAACAGCTTCCTCCAGGAGCCAAACAATATGGCTGAAAATAGTTTTCGTTTTTCCTCGCTCCCAGTACTTACCGTTGAAAATGGATGGATGGCCCTTCGTACATCCGAAATTTTTGGGAAAGATTGCGGTGTGTCGGCATCCTGTTCAATCCTTGCACTCCACGAACCCACCAATTATTTGAATCCGCAACGATCCCGTATGATAGTGAGCTCTGCGTATGAGTGCGGACTACCTTGGGTACTTGGGTCGGAATCCGTTATTGCGAAAAAAGGTTCTGGGGGGGGGAATGCCAGTCAGCTTCCGTACCTGAGATTCCCCCGGGCTGTGTAGCCAGCAGAACATGTAGTAGACTAGGGTGTCTCGGACCTGGGGACGCATAGGGAGGTTGAAAGATGTTTATTGGCAGCCCAACATTGACGGGACGAACTGACTCACACGAGTTGTCTGATTGGAGCAAAATGGACTGAGGCATCAGTGCACAAGAGCACAGCCTAAATGCTTTTCGCCAACATCTTTGTACTGTGACGTGGATATGCATGCATGGTCCCGTTGTTGCTTTTTTCTCCTACGCTACGACTTTCTCCTTTATCTCAACAAAACTGAGAAGTATGTGGGAAAATAAGTCTGTGAAAAACGATATGCCTTTTTAATAGTGGCAGATCGTGCCTTATATACTAGGGAATAGCTATAGATGCATCCAGTAGGGGACTAGGAATATAGGGGAAGGTCCCAGAGGCACAATGCTCTTCATAAAGGATCGGCACCGGGTGGTGGCGGGTCCGAAGAAAATAGGGCGCTTTATACAAGCAAGACAATGTGGTGAATAGACCACAAAAACAACTTTCCTTCACTCAATATCCTTTCCCATAACACCTTCTGCCTCCTCATTGTTGTCTGCAGCCTTGAGGTACCCTGCCTTTTCTCCCGCTGTGGGAAGAAGGGAAAAAAAGGGGCCCTGTCCATGTATGCTTGGGCAGAGCTGATGCCATAGTCATCCCGAGTTGTCTCTCGACATATAAAAGGCTTCTTCCTCATCCTTTCGTCCCCAACTTCTTCATCCTCAACGCTCTCTTCTCGTCACTCTTCACTTGTTCCTCATTACATCTCGCCCTCAACAAGGTAATCAACTCTTTTTCTCTCTTCCTTTTCTTATTGCATTACCTATTGATCGTCGTTTGTCGCCATCTCAAACTCACATCTATATATCTCTCTCCACTATTATCAACAGTTGCGATTAACCCTCCCTTCTGAGTTTCCGTTCGACGCCTCCCCTCGATACATAAAGGATTCTGTCCTCCTCTTTTCGCCTTGTTTTTTTTCATCCTCAGCAAACAGCCTCCGCCAGATCATCGTCCTATTCCACTTCCATCGCCACTTCTCCTCGCCACTGTCTGCCCGGGATTGCCTCCTCTCCTTGATCTTCTCCCGTCGCTGCTGTCCCTTAGTACCAGTGCCATCACCACGATTATCTGGACTTCCAATACATATTCCTAAATCCCTCCCCAAACCTAAAAGCCATTCACAGGTATATATATGGAACCCTATGTGAAGTACCATTGTGCATACTTGTGTTGCTTTTCTTTTAACCCTCTCTATTTGTCTACTACACTGCTACAGGGTTTCACCATTCTAACTGAGGCCCGAGTGGTATTACATAAGGATCATGGGTTCTGAAGCTACGTGTTTGTATGTCCCGGTAGAAGGAGAGATCGAAGTCATCCCTTATACCTCTACAACTCTTCGAGACTATTTGGGACCGCACTATGAAGGTATATGCTTCCCCATCCAAAGCTACAGACTCGCTGGGTTTCTCCGAATCCTCGACTGTCCCACTCCCGTGAACAAGAGGTGCACCGATATTTATATTGCGGAAATCAGAGGGCCAGTTATAATTTTAAATGAAGACGAAGATGCAAGCGTTGAAGGAGTGAAATCTTTAACAGAAAAAGATATTCCAAAGATATTTAACGTTGGCAATAGTCGATAACTACTTCTGGCTGCGAGCACTGCAGATTACTATATGTGAATAAAATATGCGAATTGCTTTTACTTTTTTTACGTTTTTTCTTGTACTCGGAACATACATTGCACCCATACACTTTTTGCACAGCGAAAAACGCGTGCAAAATTTAGTGGTACACAAAGAATAAAAATGCCTAATCCTGGTTGTATTGAGAACCGAATTCGTTCAGTAATAAAATTACACCTTCATATGTACAGGAGGCTCTCGCACAACGCTTTTGTTCACTACATCAGTCGGTGGGTTACCGTATATTCAGGCTACAATATAGCTATATATATATATATTTTAAATTGAACACGGACCAGCGCAACTCCAGTTCGTGTCACAGTCGGAGTCCCCATTGCAAGTAACGTAAAGGCGGTCTTGAGAAGCTCCCTTGGTAGTAGTGTAGCGCCATTCAGCACCGACTCCCACAGCTCTACATTGGGCCTAGCAGTACCCTTTGTAGCATCCACCATTGAAGCTTTCCGCTTGACCAATGCAGCCCGCGAAAACCAAGGATACGGCAGAGATAGAGACGAGCAACTTCATGTTGTAACAATGGACAGACTGTGATGCAGCGAGGAATAGACTGCGTTGCATCGAGAGACAAAAGTGCGAGTGTGCGACGGTGTTAGTGGGATACACATGGTAAAAATATATGTAATGCAACGAATACAGGAACAGAAAGAGGAACCCTACTTAGCTTGCTTGCGAGTAGAGTGTACTGGAGAATAATTGAGTACAGAAGAAGAGGTCAATGGTTCTCTTTTATACATACTCAGGTGGAGTACTTGTACTGTCTATTTGAAATCCGTTAAAAACGCAGGGAGTTCTTGGGCAGTGAAAATGCGCCGAGAAAGGCACGATACCACGGTAAGTTTTTTGCATTGAATATCAGCGGCCGAAAATGTAGGCAGGGTTTCTTGCATATTTAGTACTGACTTGCCCCCTTTACTCGACATGAGTTCCTTCCATCGAAGATCAAGGGGGCGAACATTCTTTCATGGAACAAAGATTCGTTCATTACCCGAAGTCGTCCGCAGTGTGGCGGTTAAGTCACGGGCAGTAAAAGGTTGTCTTTCTTGTACCCTATCTATCGTACACTAACACTATATGCGGAATTGAACAACCCTGATGGGCCCTCGAGCAGGTCAAAAAAAGATACCAAGAATTTAAAAAGACACAGAACGTCCTTTGTTGGTGCTCGGTATACCAAGAGAGAAGCGGAAGTGATTATTCATGGTTTACCATTTTTTTTGAATCGGACTCTCAGCATGAATATCAAGGGACAGCATGAGTTTCAAGGAATCAGCTTTAGGGGGGTAATTGGCTTGTAGACTAAGCAGCCGAGCGTTCATAACGACGTTGCTTTTTGATCTTTTTATGTTCGTTCTCCCCACCATATCTGTTCAGCATTATTCGCCTGGATTGTTGCGCAAAAGCGCAGCATTTGTAGAGTCCGCTGCAAAAAAAAAAAGTTCCAGCGCAAATAATTTTTTTGGGGGAAATTAAATAACTTCCTTTTTTTGGAACCATTCTCATTCTCTGCCTCTTGTTTGGACGCGTCCACCTCACTAGGCGAATGGTTGCCGTCCTCATCTCCGTCCACCTCGTCCTCTTCGTCGGTCTTCTCTAGTGTACATGAAAGCATTCCCTCACATGGAGAATGAAGCCGAATGAATTGAAAATTTTATTTGCGCTGGCACTTTTTGCGGCGGACTCTCTTTCAACGCTACTTGTTAAGGATGATTTAAGCTCTCTGGAGTTCAGTTGCCATCACGCATGCAGGTTGATGGATTCTATGCTTGTCCTTTATGCGAAATGGCCTATAAATCCGAGTCTGACCGCCAAAGATATCTTCAAAGTCGCATATGTGTAGATAAGCAATGCGAAGTATACTTTTTGAACCAGGAGTCAATGAGATCAAAGAGAAGGATCTTTAATTATCAATCCACCGAGAACACTTTATATGTTACTCGGTGGCTGAAGTGAATTGATAGGACTTACTGGATCTAATTAAATACACGCGGTGGCAGCATGTTATATGGGCTATATGCCACAGGGCGCGTTACTGGGGGTTCTCAGGGCAGTCCCTGGAGGTGATTCTGGACTGGCCAGTTTGGCCGCATATACATGTTCGAGGTGCTCAGACAGGTCCAGTAGCAGGACTACAGATTCGATAGATTCGTGTCGAGTCAACATGAGGACCAATATTGATATAACAAGTAATAAAGGCACACTTCACATACGCTTAGTTACACGTTGTATCCATGTTCTCGGTAGTCATTTTAAGAGGGATGCAGTGGTTGGGGGATGAGCAAAGAGAATGGTTTTGAGTGATAAGGGTCAAGCAGTGAATGTGCAAGGATGAAGGGTGTTTGGCAGTGGTGGATGTGGAGGAAAATTATTTTTGGGCAAAGCAAGAATTGTGTTGTTCAGAAATTTTGCATCAAGAAAGGGCATTGCAAAGGGCTATCGAGATCTTAACATTAAAGAGTTTATTTGTTAGATTTGTTAGATATGTAAAATAGTCTTTAAAGTCATCGAATCATCACGGTTAGACTAAGCGCCCACTGTGGTTGTTGCGGTGTGAAAGGAGCGAGCGACATGGTGACATGAAATACCTTTTCGGACATGCGTAGTAAGTCTGGCAGTCGTGGTTTTTCTTGCACTTTTCGCATTTGGGCGTGTCGTAGGGGTTTTAGAGTAGGATGATGGTAGGCGGCGGTGATAGAGACAGATAGAGAGTAAGAGTGGATGAGAGAGAAAGATAGATAACATTTTTTAATTTCTTTTTATTTCTGGCTCTCGAGTCCATCGAGTCTATAAGAGAGGTAGATCTACGCGACATGGCAGAGCACCAACCTCTATCCAACTTTCAGCTTGTATATGAAGAAAGAGGAAGCTCCCAATCTGAATGCCACCATCTCCTGTGCCTTGCTCTGATGGTGGCAAAAGCTACACGCACTGAAAACAGTGGCAACGCACACGCACACATCACTTTGGCAGACCTCGTCTCATTCTTGTCTGGTTCTCTCCTCTCTTGTTCTCCTCGTCCTCTTTTCTGCCATTGTGCTCTCTTCATTCTTCCCCTGTTCTCCTCCATACGCCAACGAACTGCGCTGCCTGATCACTCCATCACCCTTAGCTTCGACCATGCCCGACCTCACTCTCTTCTGTCTCACCGACGGAGAACCCATATCGAACGCATTTCCAGTCTCGATACCATCTATGGACGCTATCGGTAACCTCAAGGATCTCATCAAGGCCAAGAAAACGCCAAAATTTGACGACCTCGCTGCAGATGAGCTTACGCTCTGGCGTGTCTCGGTTCCTGTCGTCGCTACCAACATCCGCAATGCGGTTTTCCTGAACGAGATTAATTCCAAGACGGAACTCAGTCCAATGGATGATGTCTCTGGTGTCTTTCCAAATACGCTAGCCAAGAAAACAATTCACATCATTGTGCAGCGACCTTCGCGAGGTAATGCAGCTTTGCTTTCTACTGATTAACTCTTGCTCATAGTATGTCCATTACATGACGACTAATGTATATATACTCCATGCTCTTATACTCCCTTTTGTTCAGCCCAACCGCCTCCTGTCAGCGATTACATTTCTCAGAAGAGGCCAACTGCTGAAGGTGAGAATTCTCGCAAAGGCTTTCGTGTATATGATTCCTGTTGACTTCGTGCTTCGTCTAATCTTATTTTATTATGAAATAGAACTGGATTTGCCGAGCAACAAAAAAATTCGTATAACCGAACGCTGGAAACAATATACGGCCTCTGATGGAAAGGCTGTCGACCTACCTTCTTCGTGGATCGAAATTCTCGTGAGCACAAAATTTGTACCCGAACCACGAATAGCATTCAATCATCTGAAAAGCGACCTTCGAGCCGGTGTTTCAATCATTATGCCAAGTATGGGTCAAGAACCGAAGGACTTTGGGCTTCACGGCTAACCTAACAGGCTTTTCGTTACGGAGCAGATGCTGGAGCTTTGGGAAGATATGCGAGGCGACAAAGACAGAACGTACAGACGAGTCCTATCCGGGCCGATGGGCGTTGGCAAGTCTTATCTGTCCTATTTCCTTGCGGCAAGGGCGTATGCGGAAGGATGGCTCGTCCTCTACATTCCGGATGCGGGGCTATTGCACACGGAAACGGAGGAGGAGTCAAAGCTGGAGCTGGTCAGGCGATTCCTGGCACTCAACAAAGACATTTTGACCGGCAACGAATTGGAGATGCTTGTAAACGAGTACAACGGCAAATACCACGTTTCAACGCACGCTGTCTGGGCGATCTTCCGAGATTTGCTCATGTCGTGGGATCGGAAGACGCTGCTGCTTGTTGACGAGCATGGAAAATTGTTCGAAAAAGAGCCTTACGTGCCGGTAAAGCTCAAGTCGCTGAATCATCTGTTGCCGTACCGCTGGTGGGGAGAAGACGCCAAGGGGTCCCGGGTGATTTTCACAGGCACCGCGCACGCCAAATACGAAATGACTATCCTGGACGAGAGCTATAGGCGGGCGTCAGTGGTTTTTGTAGGCCCCTTATCAAAGAATGTATTCTCCAACCTGCTGGACACGTACCCTCGCCTGAGAGCACCAGCCATCAGAAGAAAAGTGACAGAAATCACGAACTGTGTGCCACGGGAGCTGGTGTATCTGTCAGCCAACGTCAAGGATCTCCCAGATCCGATCTCCGTGGACGACCTTCAAAAATGGACGGAAAGCCGAACCAAAGATTTCCTATCGACTGCAAAGATGTACTACGTCAGTCGCGGTCCCTTTAAGAAGGAACGATTCTACACAGTCCTTCTACAAACGTTTCTGGGCAGCACAAGCATAGTCGATTTCGAATGGGACTTCTTGGATCTAGGACTCATTTATCGGAGCAAGGATGTTGGCAAGATCGGGACTCAACACCACATTTTATGCAGCCCCGCCCAGCAAGCTCTTCTAGAGCTGTTCAAGACGCTTCCACTACCTGAGGATACCAAGGAACGAATTTGTCACGGCAGCCTCAGTGAGGACGATTTTGAGACGGCACTATGTCATCAGCTCATATGTACCACCAAACCAATCGTGCTCAATGCGACAGATCTCAACGGCAGGAACCCGACTATCATTTCACTGGATTTTCCCACTGTGCTACCCTCCAAATCGGCAGGACTTCTCTTGGATCCGGTCACGAAAACGTTCTGACCCGCGGCTACGAAGGATATCCTCGGTTTGACTTCATGCTTGGACCGCTGTTCATTCAGGCATCCATCAGCGACTTTGGACAACACAATAAGAAGGACTCGGCAGACATCCGCAAGGCTTTCAACGACAGGGATAACGAGGGAACGAATCAGATTGAGCGTTACCTAAATGATGTGTTTGGTTCCGGTCACTCCGCGAAGATAGAGGACAACAGGTTTGTTGTCACCAGGGACGGTGCGCCTGTGCCTGGATTTCGCATAGTCTACATCCGTGGCTCTCCCGGCATACCTGCGCACCGCGAGTTGGTTAACAAGCTCCCTGATCTTCTACATATCACCTTTGAGGAACTCACGGAGAAACTTTTCAAGAATATAGCTATATAGTTAGTCGGTCCTCCAGGGAGTAGAACTTTAATGCCTCCTCCAAATAATCCGAGTGCGCATTGCTCGATGGGGCAATAGTGAGAGAGTGCAAAGTGGAAACAAGAAAAGATGTATATTTGAGATTGCAGACTGAGGGAACAAAGACAGAGAGAAAGGAGAACGATACTGTAGCGAGTGATCAGCACAACGGCAGGGAACAGAGTCCAGTAACGAACCAGAGTATAGCGTGCGACCAATTACATCCGTATCAGTCGAAACATTCTCGAATAAAGCATCGCTTGCAATTCAATCGGATTATTTTGTTACACATGCCGGTGATCGTACGGCACGCGAGAAAGATAATCACGTTGCGCCCAGAGACGTTAGTACCCATGTCAGTAAAAGGCATCACATTGTTTGCACAAACGCAGCTATCTCGGTTCACCGTGGATTACCTATTTACCAACTTACTAACTCCAGCGATGGAGGGGAAGGCAGTGAGGGACCCACCACGGCTGAGAAACAGGCGTCAGTCCAATTCAGCACCGCGCTAGTTGATTCCAATCAGCTATGCACGGACAATGACCAAGAGGTCATTGACCTGAGTACGAATGAAGACGATGAATATGGAAAAGCGTGCGAGAATTACACAGTGGAGCATAATACTCTCAACGACTTTTACGATGGTTATTCTACACTCATGCCTGACAAGAATATAACATCCATAAAAATCAGTAATTCTGTATGACGCAAGGGCGATAACCTGGATAATCGCATTATTACCCCCGTCTACATTTATGGCGACAAGCACATGGCACTTGTTGATACCGGTGCATCGCATTCTTTAGATGTCTATTTCTTTCTCATTTTCTTCATCATTCACTCTTTTTTTTTTTTTCTTTTTTTGGCATGTGTGTGTGGGGGGAGGCAGAACTTATTCCTTTAGTGTCAGCTCCAACTCCAGACAACGGTCGACTCTTGCTCGGTCACCCCGGTCTTTTGGGGGATGCGTGATCATAGCTTGGACCCGGTGATAGATACCATTGCGCAAGATCATTTTATACATCGTCATTTCATGCCTTATGTCAGTCAACAAACTGGAATTAATTGCCAAGGAAACATGAACAAAGACTGTAAGAAAGTAAAAATCGCTAAAAATTGCTTTAAAAAAAAAAAAAAAGACTAAAGACGTGAATGGTGAGCATAGTGTTGATATCAAGATCATATTCCATATGTAAATCAATCGCATCCTTGCAAAGATCTGCTCTATATCGTGTAAAAGCACTCCTTGAAAAATATGTTGCTCAATGAAGTTCCTACGCGTCAACAAAACTTTAATCAAATTAAGCTTACAGTAACATGACGCGTACCCAATTGGTTGCGAAGTAAAAAAGAGGGTGGGTATAGCTCGGACTTGGAGTCCGAGTCTGGACACACTGACTACATAAGAATATTGAATAGAAGCGAGTTGAAGAACTACAAACAAAAACAATAAGAGTATCAGATGCAAGCATTCTTAAAAAGAGATCTCTAGGATCGAGGTCTCAAGGAAGAGCCTTGTTCCTTTACAGGTCAGGAGATACTATTTAAAAGAATAGTGATGTGACGACGCACTCAGCTTAGGGATCAGTTAGGACGAAAGGGACTCTGCCTTCACTCCTGTGCTTGGATCAACGGCCATCGAGGGATGCTATTCTTAGTCCTCCACATCCAATCACTAAGGAACCATGATCGTTATCTTGCCGATGCTTGCGAGGCTCGCAGAACGGATAACGGCATAAGAGGGAATGCTTGCGAAAAATATGATTCCAGAGAAGGGTGGAAGTGTCCGAAACGGACTAACAAGAACACTTGGACGAACTTGAGTTGCAGTGGTTCAGACGCAAAAGCCCCATCTCTACTCTTGCTAACAATTAGTGATGGCTAACACTGACAGAGTATACCAATCGGATGTGGTATAGTTGGAGAGATGACTTGTGCGAGAAATGACTTAGTGGATCGTACGTGGCAAGTGTTGCAATGGAAGATTATTGACAGATCGAGAACCATTTGGCTCCGTGCTATGTTATTTATCTACCTAGGGAATTCTATAAGTGCACACCCTTTACTGACATCTTTCTAAGCTGACCTCCTGTAACTGCACGCTCTCCAAATGCACGTACTGTATGATCCTATGAGTGTCCTGCGCTCATCGTATCATGCCAAGTGATATGACTGGTCCTTCCACCTGGATACCTGGATACCCTGCTTAGGTCTCATCCGGATCCGCCACACCGCACCTCCAGGAATAGGGCGGCATCCCTTTCCGCTCTTGGCGGTTTGATTTCCATAAATGCCAACTCATAGCCATCCGGCTTGAGCAGATTGCCACGGCGGTACTTAGAGCCCTGTGCAGGTTGGCTCGCCCATATAAGAGAATAGTCCATTCGGAAAGATTGTGCTGAAGGAAAGATCCAACGCGTCATGTGCAAATGAACCTTCCATTCATTTCACAAATCGCGAGGTATCGACTGGAGATCCTCATCGACCTAATAAAGAAGAATAAGCTGGATACAAATGCGAGCAGTATACTAATATACACATACAGCGACTGGTAGGAAGAAACGATATCGTCCAAGAAGGTATTTGTTGCTGCTCACCCTGAAATGGTCTGTGTCTGTATCAGCTCCAGCAGTATAACCTCTCTCATGACTAATAGTGGGATGAATTGTATTTGAGATATGGAGTGCAGCTCGCCTACACTCTCGGAGGATAATCATGTACTATGGCACGTCTTTTCAAGAACGAGGCTATTAGGTATCCTTCACTTAACAACTTTCCTTTAGGAATAACAAATGAACGTACAAAAAAGAGTGAAGAGTGAATGCTATCAGCTCTACTTCCAATCGATTCCATAAAGATACGAACCACCACAGCAGTTCCTTTCAGGAGAGCATCCGATGCGTTGATGCCTGTCAAAATTATATGGATGAGAAATATGCTTTCCGATGCGTGTAAAAACATGGAGCAAGGATTGGTTTTCAAAGTCTCCTGATGCTTATACCAGGCATAGACGGCCATTTCTGTGGTCCCCATTGGTCTCTACTTAATGCGCGCAATTCGTTTTGGTCACCGAAGACGAAAATCCCGCTACTGCTTGACGGGTCTTGCCCTCCTCTTTGAGTATGCTGGCGATTACCTTTAGGTGCATATCCAGTATTTTTGATATAGCGGTATGGGAAATATATGGGTTGCGTCCTTGCTTTACGTGGTACTTTTAGATGAATTGTATTCTACCATGGAGCGTATGTTTCTGAGATTTGTGACTTGGAGGCATTAGGCCGGGGCTGTGCGACTAGAGTGTTTCGCCCTGGGAATTATGGAAATACAGGAGAGAATGAGCCGAAGAGGGTGTGTGCAAACAAAATATGCTCGAATGCTTACTGAACGGGTTCCTGGGACTGATGATGGTACATGTTGTGTATCAGGAATGATCAAGACCCCCCTGTCCCTGAATGCAAATATGCAGGTTGCCTATCTAAATGAACCTCCCCTCTGTAGGTAGCTCTGTAGTGTGCTTTGCGTACACAATAGTACACTGGAACTGAACTGTGCAATACAAGATAGACTGGAGCCACAGCATCAGTGTTGCTATGATGAAAATAAAACTCGGAAGACCAGAAGAATGCGTCCGTTAGAATACATCCGCAGCCATGAACATGCGTTTTTTTTAAGCAGCAGGTGAATAGGATCATTAAGCCGCTTAAAAGGAAAATTTATTTTTTAGACCAAAGAAATTGGGCTTGCGAGTGTCTGGGGAGATTCTATTACAGAGCGAATATCCGAGTGAACTAGGTAGCTAGTCCAGTGATAGACTACCTGGTGCGGGTCAGAACAGGCAAAGAGGGTGTGATAGCGTGATAGGCTGAGGAAGTAGATAGAATAAACAAGGATGTTCTTTTATTGCATACTGACGAATTCATGTGCGCCAAATATTGGGCGCTATATATTCTACTGGACTTGACAAAGGTTGAATATGAGAAGCATGCCAACGGGCGGAATAGTCATGGTGGTAGTGAGTGAGCGCTTTTTGAGAAGTGGAGTAGGACGCCATCTCATTTGTGCCCTGTGCGCCATTTTTTTTTCTTTTGGCATTCGACTGCAGTGTGTGCTTATCTCGCCCCATCTCACCCACTCCCTTTATTGCGCGACTTGATAATCTCGTCCTCCTTGCCAATTATCCACCGCGAACACTTCCCCTCCTATAAAACATTCTCAGTAAGGTCAGTCTTTGTTTTCATGCGCTCATTACCCTCCTCCTCTTCCTCTTCCAGTTTCTTCTCCTCTCTCATTTGCTTTTCCCCTCATCTCATTCACTTTTGTTACCGACTATGACAGCCTCAGAAACGATATTCAATCACAGAAATCCGCCGTCACACGTCACCTCACATCCGAAGTCCCTGGTACCATTCAACGATGATGCCCTCCAATCCGGTGCCTGCCCTGGCGTTTCTCTGCTATTTGGTGCCTCGGAGCCTCTGCGGATACTGCGGCCGAACTTCTGGACCGACAAGGCACTGAACATCCCCGAGATCGTCTATTCGATTCAGGAGCAACTCGACCGAGCAACCCTCAATCGTTCCCTCCTCGTCTCACGCCTCTGGTATCTATCGGGACACCCCTTGGTGTGGCAGACTGTCGATTGGGACAATACCCTGGAGGGATCGTTTCAAGAAGAGGTCATGCGGAGGTATGCGTATCGTATCGAGACTATGAGATGTACATTCCATTCGCAAGGCGGGACGAGTAAGGTCGACTCGTCGTCATTGTTACGGGAATTTGTTGTCAACACCAACGAGGAGGGACTATCAATACATAGAGCGCTTTCTAGCAGCGACGATGACGGTGACGATACCATGGCGAAAAGTTTACCTGCACGAGGACGGAAATTCGATAAGGACGGAATCCTGATTCCCACAAGCCTTGTGCGACCGAGAATGCGGCTCAAGCAGCTTTCCCTCAAGGGACATTTCGATTTACAATCGACCGAAGCTTTACATTCGTCCTTCTCAAACTTGGGGCTTGCGATGCCTGTATATATCACTTTCAATATCCCAACACTCACTCGGCTGGATATCCATCCTTCAGTCGATGCTGCTGTCGACATACATCTCATTCTGGATTGGGCGAACAATCTACAGCATTTGATTATTCGCTCGCATGGCTCGTTTACGAATAGTAGGGGCAGCCAACTTGCAGAAGACGAGGCTGTCGATTCTGTGGAGCTGGGATTCCGCAATACGGCACATACATCGCTGGTGTCACTTACGATCCAGCACTTGAAGATCAGTCGTGAGGAACTGGAGAGTGTGATGGGAAGGTGTCCGAGTTTATTGGAGTTTCAGTCTGTGTGTAGCCCGGGAACCCTCTGGAAGGCGCGGCCACCGCCTTTGCAGTTTGTGCCTCAACATTCACAGCAACTTCAGCAACAACAGCAAGGACTAATCGAACACGCCTCGGGCCCTACCGTTACCCCTACGCCACAACAGAAGAGTCTCGTTCGGACTCTATCCGAGTTATGCCCCGACATCCAGCGGTTTCATATCGGACTTCAGCAAGGGGGTTTCCATGCAGATTCTATTCGCGAAACGCTGCGGTCGTTTCCAAGGCTCGGGTCCTTGGGTCTGCCGGCGTGGGATTGTACAAAAGTAACGATAGAGGCGATCAAGGCGTTTCAGATGGAACAGCAGCAACCACCACTTTCGCCTTTGAAGACGCGGTCGGGAGGATTCCTGACGACGATTTGTATCATGAACGTGTGTTCGAGTGAGAAAGTGAGCCAGGCGATTCATGAATATCTGTGCTGGACGCCCTATTTGAAGGAGTTTTGTGCATATAATACGACGCTTTACGTGGAGCAAATGCAACAGGAAGGGGAACAGCAGCAGGAGGCGGGGGAGGTTGGAGAGGTGGTGGAACAGGATGCCGTTAACTCGGTGGATGCGCGCTCGGCTTGCCTCCCACCCTCATCCACGGACTACTCGGACCCACAGCATCGACCCAGCACGAGCATCGCTTCTCCTTCTTCGTTTCCCATTGGGTCAGTAACAAGTTCCTCACGACAACCAGCTCGGAAATGGGCATGTGCGAGCCTGGAGACACTAGTCGTTCGGTTTGCGCACCTACCTTGGAGGAACCTATCGGACCCACCGAAGCGATCGAAGGACACATTCGCGTTCCTGAAACCACTTCAGTCATTGAAGCGCCTGTGTATTAAGGAAGGACTGATGCTGGAAGCTGGACGAGAATACGAGGCGCTTGCGGAGCTGAGATCTTTGGAGGAGGTGGTGTTTACGACTTGCTATCCGATCCCGATCAAGCCGAAGGATCTAGTGTGGATGGTCCGTGGCGGTCAGGGGAAGGATCCGTTGAGAAGGGTGGTGGTGAGAAAGCAAAAGGCAAATGTGGAGTTGGATAAGGAGATGAGGGGGTGGTTTAGCGAGCAGCGACCGGAAGTGAGGTTTGAGTTTGAGTTGACGGACTGTTGCGAGGAGGAGTATAGCTTTCGGTGAATAGCTCTGGTGCGAATAAAAGGCTGTGCTTTGGGGATTATATGTGGACTTGTGGACTAGCATTGCCACGGAATGCAAAGCAGAGAGCTAGCTGGGTTTATGGGTTTAAAAGCAGCCAATCATATTGGAGGAAGCGCGTTTTTCGACCCATTTTATTTTGGTGGCAAACGAATGAGAATTCGCGGACAGTCTAGGCTTCCTATGCCAGGATAGATGGATATGTAGCAGATGCAATGCTCACCATGCGAAATAGCAAAATGCCACCGAAGAAGAGAAAGAAGGAATCCTGAAAGCAGAGCCAAGCTCGGTGGAGCCGGTAACAAAGCGAGCCCGCTTACTGCATACCATCGCCTAGTTGAAAGGGCGGTGTTTTTGTGCTTTGCTTTTTCCGTGTGGGTCAGTCGTCCTTTTGCCACGAGAAGGCCGATTGCGCATCGCACCCGTGACCTGTCTCTTCTCTCTTCTCTTTTTTGGAGCTTCGCTTTATTATATGACCCACACGCGTAAGGCCAACCATTGCATCCCTTCTTCCTTTCGTGCCCCATTTCACGTCCTTCACACACATACACACCTCCCATTAACCCATCCACATACACTTCCCATTCACAACACAAGCAAAACCACGCCAGTAACTTTAAACGATTTCCAATGGGGATCCTAAATTCCATCCTCAAGGTTCTGTCCGGTCGAGGCATGGCGCCCAAACCTAATACGGCGGTCACAGAGACTGCTCACGGCTCAAGCGACCTGGACTCCACCAGCACCACCACGACTTTGACTACTACAACAGATCCCAGCAGCGATACTGCCGAGTCTTTGGCAACCCTGCTGACTGAGGATGTGGACATGGCCTCGACTTCGTCATCGTCTTCTTCCCCCTCAGAATCCTCTTCAACTTCAAGCTCATCCACCATGAGCCTTTACCCATTCGTCTTTGGAGCAATTGAACATACCAACGACAACACTGTTACTACTACTGCAGCCATGAGCACAGCCACGGCAACGGCTGGAGGACAACACAAAACGATAGTGAGAACGACGACGACAACAACGGACCGCTCCAGCACACTAGCGACGGCTGCGACATCCTTCAAGTCCATCCTGAGACCCAGCAAAAGGCGACAAGAAGGCGACCTGACTGCGGATATTGAGGCAACGGTCATGGCCCTCGACATTGACCGGGATTCCACAAGGCCGCACTCTTACGAAGGCGACCACCACGACACCCAAGGCTTCACCTCTAGCGAAAACGACGATGACCCCACGGCCTTGGCCCTCTCCAAAAAGAACGAAAAGGCAACCACGTACCCACTCGTCCAGAACCGGATGTTCGATATTCCCGAGATCATTCGCTCCATCGCCGAGTTCCTCGACAAGCCCTCCCTCGCCGCTAGCTGCCGGGTCTCCAAGATCTGGGCCACCCATTGTACACCTTTACTCTGGAAACATGTTGTCGACAAGTACTGGCGTGACTCACGATTCTACGCCTCCATTCGTTCTCGTGCACACTATATCCGGACCATGAAATGCGAAGACAAGACCGATTACGAGGAGATGCTTTTATGTGACCTGCCTCGACTCCGCGCGATTGGATTTCATGGAAACCGGGAACCGATGGCAGTGAAGGATAAGGTGCTGACAAAGGTCCGGAATACGTTGACCTCGTTGGTTTTGAGCTCAGTGTGCACGGTTCTACCGGGCGAGACCGTGAGGGCGATTCGCGAACTGAGACAGTTGACGACGCTGAAGCTTCTGAATGTGAATCTGGAGGCGTCACAGTTGGCCGAGATCCTGATGGACTGTGAAAATTTGGAGTTTTTATCGTTGTCGAGGGTCCGTCTCGCGTTAGGAGGAGATTCCGGCGCAAATGCAGAGGGCGCTATCGAAGGCGAGGGAAATATCTGGGCCGGAGTCATAGCAGCAGCGGCGGCGGCGGCAGCGGTGACGGCAGCAACGGCTACAATAACAGCAGCAATGGCAGCAACAGCGGCACCGCCAGGAGTATGGGGAGCAGGCACCTCGGTCTTGGCTGCTACTAACAACGCCACAACGACGACGACGACGACAACAGCAACGACAGTAGCAACAACAACGACGACAATGAGTACGGCGGTGACGAGAATCAAGTATCTGGCGCTGAAGGAGGTCACAGTCCTATCGTCGTATCTCACGAGCCTGATACGGAACTGCCCTGACCTTCTGGAACTCTCAATGGCCCGGAACGAAAACCTATCGGTTTCGACGGATATGATCCGGACGATGAGGGGGTCTTGCCCACGACTGTATGCCCTTGACCTAGGATCATGCAAACAAATTGACCGTGGGGCCTTTAGCACACTGTTCACTTCGATCGCCCAATTGACGGTCATCAATCTGTCAGGAACAAGAGTCGCGGATGAGGAACTGCTGCTGTTGGCGGAGAGCTGTAAAAACGTAACACGCTTGGATATTCAGTACTGTACCGCGATCACATCGAAGGGTCTGCACCAGTTCCTGAGCAATTGCAAGCCGTCGTTGAGGCATCTAGAGGCCTCAGGAGTGACGATTGAGCCGGACACGTTTGATCATAATCCGTGGACATGCACGAATCTAGAGATTCTGTTTGTCCATATTGGGTTGGTTGGATCTGCAGTGCCGAGCCGGATGGCGTTAGTGGAGGAAGCGAATGCAATGGGAGAGGTAACGGCCATGACAGTCGATAGTGTTGCCAACGAGAAGAAGCGGTCTCAGGACGCAATTGTCGTTACACCGGGCGCTAGCAGCACCAGCAGGAGCAGTGGCAATGCCGCCGCGAGTTCAAATCAAACCTTCACCGCCTCCACCGGTATCGCAGCATCAAGTTCAGTCTTCTCATCAGGCACGGAATACGACCCGGCACATCTGACAGACAGCGACGGTGATGTGGTGATGCGACACCCTCTGCACCCGATCCAGGATATGTGCAATATCCAGTACCTTGGCTTGATGGGGTGCGGGCCCAAATTGACATGCGCGACCCAGAACCAGTTGATCCAAGGGTTCCGGTCCGTGAAGCGGCTGCATGTACTCGGACTGTACCAGGCGTTCAAGAAGGAGGACCTGAGGTGGTTGGTCGAGAACCTGCCGGAGCTGTGTAGGATTGATGCGGAACAGTATAATGTGTCGGACGAGGTCATGAAGTGGTTCGAAGAAACATATCCGCGTATACAGATCTGTCGGCAGGAGTGATTGGAAGAACAGAGAGACAGGCAGACAGGAAGGCTTACAAGCAAAGTATTGAGCAGGCGGTAAGGACGAGCACGGCATTTAATAGGGGGATTTATAGAGGGAAGGAGTAGGAATGAAAAGAGGTATACGTGCTCGCCATTTGTATATAGTGAACAAAGAAGGCATTTTTTTTCTTCTTCAATCGATGCGATATGTATTCTTGACAAATGAACTACTAAAAAAAAAAAAAAAAAAAAGAAGTGGTCTTGCTGTTCCTGAAGACCGCGAATTACCTAATCACAGAGGCAAACGCGCGCTGAAGGCTGCCCTTAAATATTTGTATCCATGTCCAACGATCCGAGCGCGGTACGCGTTGTTTCACGTCGCTGGTGAGAGGCGGTTTGGGCCGATGAACCTGTCAAAAAAAAAAGGAGGGGGGGGGGAAACGATTCTCAACATGAAGAGAACCCCATTCATTTATTTCAACGAAGTCTAAAAGTCTAACGATGCTACTATAGTCCCCTCTTGTAGACAATTCCGTTGAGGGTGATGGCCTTGAGCTGCTCAAAGGCCTGTGCGTGTTTGAACACAGCCTGCAAGAACACCCGGCTGTGGTCACGACCACATGTCGCTCCCCATGTCTGCATTCTCCAGCCGAGGATCGACAGGTCCGCATCGCCCACTGCGGCTGCCGCTTCAGGGCCGTCAAGGCATATCCCGCCAAACGTCAAGTCATAGCTTTTGAACGCAAGACTCTTCAACGAACCAGGGTTTTTCCAGTTCGCCGTGTCCAAATACGCGGTCATGTCCCATTCGTCCGCTCCGTCTTCGTACTCGAACGACTCTAGCTGATGACAGGACTGCAGGATGTCGAGCAGGAAGGGCTGTGTTTCCTCTTGCTCGACGGTGCTGAGTAGCTTCAGTTTTTTCAACGTCGCGGCATGATGCTTGATCCCATGGCTAATCTCGTCCGACACTACATCCACCTCCGCTTCCAATTCTTTGATTCCCCGGCGGTGGGCTCTGAGTACCCTAGCAAACTTCTCATCTCCTGTAGTTGTGGTCCAGTTGACGAGACGGGGACAGCCTCCGGAATGGAACAGCTGCACTAGATGTCCGACGGACAATTGGCTAAGTACGTCCACATCAATGGTTTCTAGATTCGGACATCTCTGCGGCAGCTCTTCAAAGACCCCGACACAGTCGCCGTCGAGGCGCAACAACTTGAGGGCCGGGAGGATCAGTTGTCCTATACAGGCAACTTGAAACACAATGGCGTCCATGTATAGTGACACCAAGCTCGATGATACCGGCTCAAGGGCCCTTGACAGGAACCTAGGATCCAAGCCGTTAAAGACGACTGGGGACATCATCAGATGAAGAGTTCTCAACTGGGTTAGATGACTGAACAGGAATTCGTCTTCTGCCCTGGGTCTCCATGCGCATAGACTGAGATTCCGCAGACACGGACTCGCCAGGATCAGATCCTTTGCTTCATCAATATAGGTCGACTGAAGCTCAATGAGCTGTCCATATTGAGGCTGTTGTCGATTATGAAAATTTCTCTGATAAGAAAAATTACGGAGGACCCTCACATGGTCTTTATATTTTCGAAGGAGGCTCAAGGGAACAGCACACATGATGTATCCATCAACGATGCGCCAGAACATCGGCAGGAGGGTCCTGCGAAAGTGTTTGGAGACAGATAAACAGGGAAGGAGGTTCTTTGGAAGGAAGATTAGATCACCTCGGGGGTTTATATCCCAGAATGGGATGAATTGGCCGACCAGGATGAGGACCTCCGTGATCTCAAGCGGATGTTTCTTCTGCGGAGGAGGAAGAGGAGGAGGAGGAGGAGGAGGGGAAGCAGCAGTGGGAGCGGAAGGCGGCATTTTTTTTTTATTTATTTTTTATTTTTTTTTTATTTTTTGTGAAGAACAAGACCTTGGAGTAGGATATACTGGAGCTGAAGAGGGATGGAAAAGCAATAGCCTTTTATATAGTACGACTTTTTCTCATAACTGTGGGTATCGGTACGAATTGTGCGCAAAGGAACGGCGACGAACCAAGAAAAAAAAAAAAAAAAAAGGCTTTCGGTGATAACTAACCACAATGTCTCTTTCACCGCCGTGCTTTTCTTTCTAGATCAATCGAAGGACTATGAAAGCCAGGTGTTATGTAGTACATACGGTTAGACAGCAGCTGGCGGTTGCAATAAGAAAGGCTTACCACAGTTGTCTCTTTTTGGTGACCCTTGCTCGAGTGTTCAAACAGGTCGCTTTTTGTATACAGTTACTCCACAGCCTGCCGGGATAAAGATACCGCCACGAAACCACATTTGAGTTGGGACCGAGGGCGGTTGCTCAAGACCCATGGTGTGGCCCGTGCTAAAGTCATTTGAAAAAAAAAAATTAATTGGACAGCATGTAGCGCAAAACCTTAGTTGTTTCAGTAACGTTTTTTTTTTTTTTTTTTTTTTTTTTTTTTGCAGGAATGCCTTTTGAACCTATTCAAGGCACACCACTTCATCTTACGATCAACACAACATAGCCAACTCCATCTCTGGCCTCTCTAATCTCTCTGGGATCCGCTTCCATCTCACCAAATATTTAGCCAAGGCTGGTATCTCCCGGGCATGCTGTGTATACGGAAATGGATTCCGAGGTGATTATGTCACATATAACTCCATTTGCACCGCAAGTCCATAACAGGACTGAAAAAAAAAATCGAGTATTTCTATATTTTATCACACGAACGACTCTGGTCCTCGAGCTTCGTACTTGATAGCCATCCCAAGGGCCCGAACTGACAAGATGTATGGCCTGGTCAACCGTGGCAGTGTAGGGAGGCATGTCTTGGTGATCTCTGTAAAGCGCGGACACGTCGTCAGGGACGTCGTGACTGATATTCTGAATGTAGTGGCGGTCTGTTCCTTTGGCTTCGACTAACGTTCTTTTAGGATCGGCATCTTGGAATAGCGCAGTGACCATTCTGAAGTGGATGACGAGGTTGCGCAGCTTCATGAGTCTTTGTAGGCGGCTCAAAAAAAAGAGAATATGGTGACTTGAGCGGCGCATTGGATGAGCGCAGGTCGAGAGATTAAAAACTAACAGCGCAGGACTAATAGGGGACTGAACCTTAAGCTAGAGGCAGAAATGGTGGTCAAAGGATTCTAGAGTGTAGGGCGGGACACATTATTCAAGGCCGCGAGGTCGAGAGGGTAGGAGAGAACCGGGTGGCGGAGGGAAGAGAAATATTGCATGGCAAAGCTGATCGCCAGGAGTGATGTTCAAAAGCATAGATCGATGGACAACCTGGTCGCTTTTGATCAGTGGGCATGGCAAGGGTCGGAACTATCAAAATCGTTCGTTAACGTTGCTGCGATTGCTTTTCTGGCAGAGGGAGAGATGACCCTGAGGGAGTATCTGATCATGGCTAAAGTGGAACGTGACGTCGTGGAGGCTAAACGAGCTAGAGGCCTCGCATAAGAGAAGGTACGGCTAGCTTGAAATGGACCAGACGGGGACATGCTTGAATGAGGGAGCCTCAGGTGGCGACAGAGTTGATGATGGTGTATCGAATGCATTTGAATGCTCACAGCAAAGGGCGCTGTCTGATGAGAAGGATTAGGATATCGACGCCGGGCAGGACCGGAGACTGAAAATTCCTCTATTATATCTTGAGTAACTGCTCAGGAACAAGGAAGGGAGCAAGGAGGGGCCATTGCGTGCATCGCGTCGAATCTTCAGGTTCTTTAACGATGTGCGCGTAAGGATTCATCCGAGGTCAGGCATTCAAAAATATTGGGCTCCGGCGCATCTTGTTGCGTATATTTTATTTTTCAGCGTCTGGAGACGCCTCGAGAATGCCAAGCAAGGTAATGTCGGATATTTGGCCTGGCGCGGGAAGATGCCAGTAAATTCAGCGACACAGGAGCCAAGGATCGGGTGTCCGAAGAGGAGGTTTGAGGGGTCGTAGTCTATCGAGATTCCATTGCTGACATGGATTTTGAAATGCGGGCTAAAGTTTTGGTCGACAGGAGAGAGTCTCGATTGAGATGAGGAATGAGGCGATCTCGAGAAGGATCTCCGAAATGGTGAAAGTCTTGGATTGATCTGTGGCGGTAGTGCTGATGTTGGCGCTGGTCATGGCGGAGGAGTGCGATTCAGATGAGAAAGAGTAAGGCAATGAGTAGCCTAGGTCTTTACCGCGCTTGTCATCACGCGTTACTACGCGCACTCAGTCCAACGCACTCATTCCGTCGTTGCTCATTCAAATGCATCATCCCTTCACCAAGGTCAAGATCCAGGAGTCTGGATCTAGTTTGTGCCCTATTTGAAGGAGACATAGATGTCCCTTCATACATCAATGAGGATTTCAAACTGTGTGTCTGTCTGAAGAGTGCTGGGGGACCAGCATGATACCCTTGTACCGAAAACGCGCTAGTGTCACGGACCACTCGGGATCAAGTGTCCAGATGCTCAAGCAGCTGTCTGTACTACTCTCCACCAGACTAGATGTGGAGCCGACCAATGAGCGCCCACTGGAACTTAGTCAGTTGTGGAGGAGGAATGGGGCGGTGGGTGCCCATTACTCGCCGTCGCTGAGAGTCGTGTGGCACGACTGAAGTCGACTTGGTCTGGAGAACTATGATCGAGGATGCTCAGAAATGCTCAGAAATGCTCCCGGGCGGAGGGCGCAAGGTAACGGTGAAGATGATCCACAAGCACATGCGTGTCTCTACATATTCATGTACTTGAAGAATTTAGGACACAGAGGCCGGGCGCCAGTTTAACTGGTCGTGTCCTCCCCTGTGCCCTCTCCCGTGCCCTCTCCCGTGTCCTCTAGCTGTTTGCTTCCTTCTTTCTCCACAAACAAACAGGCGAACAAACGAGCAAGCAAACATGTAAATAAACAAACAAGCGAGCGAGCAAACAAACATACAAACAAACAAACAGGCAAACAAACATATCTCTCCGTTCAATGAATCGTATGTTGCTTGTTTGCTGATTGTCTAGGAATGCACACAAACAACTTGTGTGCCGCTTTAAGAAGACGAAAGACAAGGAGGACCATCGCATTGCCACGGAGCAGGGCGAGTCCAATTGGGCGACAGGTTCAGCTGAGTGGCAACCTTGTGGAGAAAAGCATCCGCGGCAAGCAATGTTTTTGGTCTGTGGTGGTGTGGGGTCGTTTACAGCTCTCTGGGGGAGACATGGGGTGCGGCGGAGTGGTGCACATGGATGGGTTTGAATGGCTGACTCAGATTGGTAGGGAGGGCGACCTGGACGGGTCTGGATATTAAAAAGGCGCGGGGGTGGACGGGGGGGTGTGGCATGGTGGATGAATTCTGTGTAATACAGTTAGTAAGGACAAATGCACGAATGCACAAATGCACAAATACACAGAGGAGGACGGATGGTTGCGGATAATGGTGCTGACTGAGTTGTTTGCGTCCTTGCGTCTTTGTGTCCTTGTGCCTTTGTGGAGTAGGCGTGAGGGCTCCTATTCGCCCAAAGACTCTCACAAAATACAAGGTTCATTATCCTAAGGCTGCTCATTGCTCTCTGTCAAAGGCCCATTCCCGGTTGGTGTGTCCGTACCTTAGTCTACCCTAGTCTATCCACCTCTTTTTTCTCTCCTTATCACATTCATATCAAATGAGCACCTCGCCGATCCATCTCCCTCTCTTCTCCTCTTCCCTCTATTTCCTGCCTTTGTCGAGCGATGGAAAGTCGTGGTATTCGGCTCTGTATCCTGCTGATCCCGGATTGGCAACAACAGTTCGGATATAGAATCGCGTACGTCCGCTTATCTTATTTGTGGACTGGGATTGAATAGAGTGGAACACAGATAGCCGGCGCTATTTTTCGTCCTCCTAGTTACTCATGCCCTAAAATAAAGCTTAACCAATACTACGGCCTGGAATGTGATTGTGGAGCCGCAAGGTAGCGTTCCATATGTCCGGCAGTTCTGTCTCTTGCTCTCATCGATTCTCTAGAAAGGCACAAGAAACATGAAGAAAACGGCTCCCGCAAGGGAGGCTGCCTTGTGGCACCAGGGAGAGTCGTCAGTGGAGCAGAGACGTTCATGTTTTCTTATTTGAGCACCTGCAGGAATTCTCTTCTCTGTCCCCAGTGTTTGTAGCACAAGCCTTCTGTTCGTTGCACAGCGCGCGATTGTTGTCTAATTCTATAATTTTAGTCTATTCACTGGGAAAAATTGCTCTCACACCGCCGCACTTCCCCCTTTAATCATCCGATCGAGTAGCGCCCACTCCTCTCTTTACCTCTCATCTTTTGTTGTTCTGTCAGACGTTCTTTTGTCTGTCTTCATTGACTTTATTTTTATTTTCTCAAGGGTTCCGCGCTCACAACTGTGTCTCTTCCGTGCTTGTGAAGAATCGATCAGCTGCATTTAAGCGGAATAAACACTCATCTCCTCGAGCACCACCCATTCATTTCACAGCCTGACTGGACACAAGCTGTAACCTACACTGTCTTCATGCGTTATCCTTCTTCACTGTACTGTGACGATATTTTGCAAAAAAAGATCCTAATTTACATTAAATCAGTGCGAATTGAATTGAATCCTAGTGCTTTACAATAGAGACCACTATAAGGATTGGGAAACCAGGACCCAGATGTTGTTTACTGAACAAACGCGTCGCACTCAGGCACACTCAGACACTCCACCCACTCCATCCACCATCATTCTCGACAAAGTCTACAGCAATGGAGCACCCACACACCCCATATACCCACGGCCCCAGCAGCCGAGCTGGCTCTTCTTCCCAAAACCCAATTCCTAATGGTAAATGCACGCTCATCTTCAATGACAATCGACGCGACATTCGTCTAGACGGAGCACGTCCATGGCAGACTGGCGCTCAACGGTTCGCTCTCCTTTCGCCTACATGTCTGCATAGCAGCGTTGTCCGTCGGCGGTTCCGACAGAGGAGAGGAGCTGGAGGAGCTGGAAGAGGTGGAGCAAGAGATGGTACCCGAGACTCTTTTCGAAGGCCTCATTACTCCCTCCTGTGATGAGGTTGTCGACATGGGTCATGGCCCTTCCATGCAACCGCAATTCTCTCAACAACATGCAACCCAGCAACACCTGTCACCAAGAGCTCTAGAGAAATCTGTTCACCGTGAGATGTATCCTCGGCCCTCGGCCTTGCTTTCCAGCGGTTCCAGCGAGGCGTCCTCCTCTACATTGGTGACCAGCCTGTCGTCCCGCACGCGAAGCCGGCAAACAATATCCCAGGTCCAGGAGGGTCTGCGAGAACAACGTCGACGAGCTGTGGAGAACTCTCTGGCCGAGGCAGGAGTAGAAATGGAGCTTGCGGATGGACAGGTTTCAGGACAGAGATTAGGAATGATGATGAACACGCTGGCAGAACAAGAAATCGACCTTATGATCCAGCAAGAACGCCAGGCACTTTTGACCAAATCGACCGTATCAATGTACGAACGATACCAGCGGCATTGGGTGGTAAGTGTGAGGTTCGCACTGCCTCTAATACCTTATACTCGCAACAAGCACGCGTAAAACCTAATGAACCTGACCTAATGCTTGACTTCTATCTCTCCAGGAGTGGTGCCGTCGAAAAGGATACCCAGATATCAACGTTTACTGCAAGAAGTTTCAGCGATATATGGCTGAGAATGTTGCTGAGGAGCCAGACCCTATGAAAGGTATCGAACCTTTACGCGCCAACCCAAAGGTCCGATCTCAGCAACGGCTGGCGTACGATCCAAACCTGCCCCTGCCTTCCTACGAAACGGTGGATGCGTATATCAAGGCCGCCATCGATCTTTATGTCAGCCAGAAATCCGACTCCTCAAACAAGGCCATGCAAAACGAGCCCCACCCACGCTCCGCTCATGTCCGGACGCTCATGAAGAAGTATCAGCTAAGAGTGGCCGCGCTGAAGAAATCTATGGTCTCGACCGATCTGACCTTTGACGAGGGAAACGACTTGGAGGTGTTGAGGCAGACGATGAAGACAGCTTGGACCCACAAGTACCGGCATCTAGGCGGTGGAAGGAAGCACGATGTCGTTGGCCTCCGCACTCGGCTTAACGCTGTATGGTCCCACTATATGGTAATGCGCGGTGAAAACATGAGGATGGCTACATTGGCTGACCTCGCCACTCACACCGTCAATCAAGGAAACTCTGGAGGACAAAGTGTTGTTGG